ATCGGAGCTCAGCAAGACGGTTGCCATCTTCATTGTTCAGAAGATATTGCTAGATGACAACGGCCTCAATTACATCTGCGCCACCTACGAGCGTTTCTATGCTGTCGGCACTGTCCTGAGCAATATGGTTGCTCAGCTGGTCGAATCCCAGACTGCTCGCCTGCTTAAGCACGTGGTGAGATGCTTTCTTCGGTAAGGATCCCCAGGAAATGATTGTGTGACGCCCAAGGGGAAAGTTATTCTGACAAGAAGACGGCGCAGATTGAGTGACAATGCCAGAGCCCGTGAAGCTCTCCGCCAATGCCTCCCAGAGCCCCTGCGGGATGCCACCTTTTCGTCTGTCCTCCGTGACGATGCGGCCACTAAGAGATGCCTTGCTCAACTTCTGATTAATCTCTCCGACAATGTTGTGGACCCTAATTCTGCCGTATCTGCCCTTTAGACGAAGATGAAAATAAAAGAGAAACCGAAAAAAAGGAGAAGAAGATGAAAGAAAAAAGATGAAGAAACCAGACAAGATACGCAGAATTAGTGGGCACCATGATTTGCATTCACGGTAGAGATTTACGGGAGTTTAGACGAATGGTTTTCACGACATTACGGACGGCAAAAAGAACCAGTTGACCCAAAAAAGTAATCTGCATTATTGATACCCGCAGCTGCTCGACACATCTCATCGCAGCATATTTCTTCCCATCTTCTTCCGAGGCGCTCGACGTTGTCCTTTGCCTCTACATGCTACGAAGAATGCGGGAGTCCTACTCTAAAAAGCCTGGGCAAATCCCGGGTCTTGAATGTACCATTTTCCTCAAAGCCAAGGTGAGGTGGCTCACGTACGCACTGTGATTAGTGCCCGACTTTTACTTTTCTTTTCTCCTCGCGATATTTTTGCTATATTTTTTATTGTACCCTTTCTCGCTTCTCTCTATGCGTTTCATATGGAGGGGGGAAAATCACGTATATTAGCGGGAAAAGGTTTGCTTATTCTAGGGGCTTGCCGCACACGAGTCTTCTTGGACCGGGGAGATGTGCTTGGCAGGAAGGATTCCAGGCGGCGGCAGACATGGGCTCTGTATTGATCTGTTGATTGCTGGCACGGTTATATGGATTCGCGCTGTGTTGCTCTTGGACGGCGAGAGATGACTCGCCCTGGAAGGCGTCAAAGGTCAAAGGCGTTGGTTACCAAAGGGGGCGAAGGGGTGGGATAAGTGAGGTTTTTTTGACATGGCCAAAAAGAGAAAAAAGGTGAGCGGGAGTTGGGGAGACTTGATAGGAAATGGAGTACGATGGGAGTAGATAGGTTTGTGTGTACGAGTGTCTGTATGTATGGGTAGGGGAATGTAACTATATTGTTTCTCGCAGCCTTGCGTGATTTCTTGGGTCCTCGGTATACGTTGCTACTGCTTTTGCTGATTGTGTCTACAGATGATCTGACAGACAGGCTCTTTTAAGAACAACCATGTTTTAGGTTCGAGCACGTTACAGTACGCAGATGAACGATTGGCGCCAGGTTATTGGCAGGGGATGACAGGCTCATCACTTTATCTCGCGTCCGGAGGCAAAGTAAGATTCTACATGGCCCCGTCTCCCCCTCATCCCCAAGCTTATTCCCAGCAACCGGCATTCATAGCATTTTGATGCCATTTCCCTCGTGTTCATTTTTCTTTTCTTTTCTATTCAAGATTATGGCGATAAACCTTTTTGCCTCTTTTTTTCTCCTCTTCCTTTCATCCAGGTCTGCCGTGTTTGTGCTATCTTGGACACATTCCCCTTTTTGTTTCCTGTGCCGTGCCGGCAAGAGTCCGAGAACTTCCCCCAAGATATGACACAGACGCGATATGATACGATGGGGCCGGGTATATATGTTGGGAAAAAGGGTGGACGATTTAGCGGGCCGCGGGTGAGGATGCCGGGACTTTTTCTGCCTTGTATAGGCTGTTGTTTTGGGCTTTTGAGAGGGGGGGGGGGGGAGGGGAAGGGATAAAACCCTCGCGCCTCTTGTGTGTGGTGTGTATTACTCCTCGGGGAGAGACGGGTGAGGCGGGTAGAAGGGGCAAGGGGGATGAGAAGAGGGGGAGGGGGTGAGCCGTCTGGCGTCTGTGTGTTGAGGATATTCAAGGCCAAGGCCAAGGTCGAGGTCGAGGCTGTTTGGAGTGGATGAGGTATGGATGGTATCAGGAGGCTCATGGCTACAGACGGCATCTATCCGGATCTCGTCGACGAGGGGGGCGTGTAAGATGCCTAGATAGGCAAGTTTTGTCGAAAGAGAGGGGGTGGCGAGAGGCTAAAAAGAAAGGACGATGGAGATATGAAGTTGAACAAAAGAGGCAGAAAGCATGTCGTCGAAAGTTGGAAGTGGAGAGAAATACAAGCAAAGAGACGATTTTCGGGAGTGAAAGAAGAAGAGGGGAGGGGGGGCAAGTCTGGGCCGCAGAGGGGTGTAAGGCGAGATGATTCACGGAGGGAGCCCGGTGAGGGGAGGGTGTGTTCACCTTGTTTTGGCCGTTACGGTTAGGTTAGGGGGGGGGTTACTTGAACCAAAAGCTGTCCATTTGTATTTAGTGGTTTTTTTTTATTTCGACTTTTGAAACTGGGGCTTTTTGATCGTCTTGCATTATTATAGTTTGAGTGACCGGTTTTTTGATAGACGTTCTAACATACGAGTCTCGATATGCCGAAGGGTGGTTCGAGCAATGAATCTGGTTTAAGTGGAGTCTTTGAACTCTGGTTGGTTGGATTTTTTAGACACTGGTGTTAATTCCCAAACGGGCAATCCTGATTACCGGGCCCCATGGTCTTTTTGACGAGAGGCAAAAGACTTGACAAAAAAGATGAGGAATAAAGTATCACGGTGAGGTTAGAGTTGGGTAGCACAGGTTCGGAATTTCGGGATTACGGCTACGTGGATGAAAGAAACGAGTCGTGACATGTTATTATCCGTTCTTTTACACTTTGACAAATACTAGATGGGTATCGAGAGAGTCCGTGTATACGATCCTTTGATGGAGATGCGATGTGGGAATAAAAAGCAGAAGAAAAGGGGAGATGGAGGGGAGTGTGAGAGTGAGAGTGAGTACATCGCATGTCGTGCCGCACGCATCGCGTATCGTAGCGTATTGTATTGTATGGAGACCCCCAAAGTATTTGCATTTCCTCATCTTGTTCTTCCCTTTCACGGCTGCTTCTTCCCACCCCGTATTCTTGGCCTCCTGCTTTTTGGAATCAGGTTTGCAGCATTTGCCGCTGTTGGTCTTGGTCTTGGCTGTACCGCGCATTCATCTCTTTTCGCCACCAGGGGGGGTTAGAGGGCGAGGGGGGGCGTATAAGCAGTTCATTTTGGTCAATTTTGAGGCTATCTACTAATCTATCGGGCCCTCATCTCATGCAGATGTGCCTGTGCCTACAGTATGCATCTGGCCAATTCCCAAGACCAGACCAAGAATATGTAACCATAGATGCTACCTGTACTAACCTAACCCAAACTACTCGGTGCATAAGGAGCCGAAAATTAAATAAAATAACAAAGCACACCGAAAATGGAATTTCAGCATCTATTTACGGAGTGCAAAAAGGCCAGAGTGGCGTGTCCCTGAGCCCAAACTTGCTGCTCAGAGCTCGGCAATTGCCACAGGAAGATACTGATATGGAAGCAATTCGCGCCTAATACGAGAGGGTGACCCCATCCATAACTCCGTAATAGACAGAGATTGTTTCGGGGCTCCGCGCTCCGTTTCCCGGCCCCCAAAAAAGAGAGGCATCGCCTAGGCGAAAATAAGCGTCGAGGTTGGCTACTTACTACTTGCAATACGGCCGCAGAAGGGACGACGATCCTCATGATGTGCGCGCCTAACTCAACGTGTTGAATTTCCGCGCCGCAGGAATAAAATAAAATAAACCTCCAGCGGCTCTCGGGAAAATTATCTATGCGGGATCCGGAAATTATTCAAGGGTAAGGTAGAGCAAAAAGAGAGGGAAGATGAAGGAAGAAGGATGAGCAATATCCTAAAGCAGAAAGAAGATGCGCCGGCAGATGAAGGACGTTGGATTAGCTAATGATGGTATAATATATGATACTTTTTTGGAATACATGTACTTTTGACACATGACACACGGAGGATGCTACAGAGTTTACTCCAACGTAGCATCGCATCGACATCTCGTGCCGCAATCGCTTCGGGTTCCGTAGTTTCGCGCCCTTATTATTCAGGTACGCAAAAAAACGCACAAGCCAGCCTCTCCGCGGAAAAGAAATGGACTACACCCGGACCAACCAACCAGTATCAAAAAAATCCTCCATTCTATTTGCAAAGATCCCCCAATCTCCTACCTAGCCTCTGCTGCTATTCGGGCCGCCAACCTGCGCCCGCGCGCACGCGCACTACAAGAAAAAGAGAAAGTAAGAGAAAGAGGAAGCACATGCTACTCGTACACAGTCGAAATTGAAATTGGTCCCTTCTTCGTGGATCCGGCAAATCGCTAGGAGAGATGCGGCGGGCGTGGCTAGCGTCATGATCAGAGACAGGCATCTTGGCCCTCGGGCGGAGATGAGACGAGATACAGTGCTCATACATTGATTAGCTCAGGGCCGTATTCCAACCTACGGATACGCAGTGCAGCCAAATTGTAGGCATGGTCAGGGCATCAAAGGATCACTAGCGAGCTCGAGCTCGATCCTTCGAGCACCAGGTTGTCGACGAGGGGTCGTCATTGGCATGCTCATTCTCAGTCTGCATGCCCAGCATCCATCTCATAACAGAAGAGCCAACACCTATCTACCTCTCTCAATTGCCGGCCGGCGAGCTAGCAACCGCGCGCCAAGTCGTAAACTTCCGACTGCACTAGAAATCATACAAACACAATCACACATGCAGCGCCAAGTACAGCAGATGGCGAGGGTTTATACGAGGACTTGCACAGCGTCTCTTGAGCTCTAACGAGATGCTAACGAGATGCTGTGGAGGGGAGGGAGAGGGGCAATTCAACAGCTTCACTTTTTTTTATCTGCTCTCAATCATCTATGGAGACTGGTACTTGTATCCGTATTGCTCCTTCGCGGCATCGACAAGCTTCTTATCCTCGGCCACCTTGGCAGCCTGCTCCTCGCTCAGGCCCTGTCTCGGGTCATAAAACGGAGCCGAAGTGAGAGAGAAGCCCCTCTGCACCGCAGGCCGGTCCCAGAGCCGGAGCAGCCACGCCTTGACGTTGGGGAACTGGTCGTACGAGGTGCTGGTAAAGGACAGGCCGTTGACCCAGCCTACCAAGGCAATGTCGGCGATGCTGTACTTGCCGCGACCAGGGCCAACGACGTAATCGCGATCGGCCAGGCGGGTGTTGAGGATACCATAGAGACGCTCCGTCTCTCCCACGTAGCGCTGCATGGCATATGGAATCTTCTCCTTGGTGAAGCGCACAAAGTGGTTGGCTTGGCCCTGCATGGGACCAACACCACCGTGCTGCCAGCCAATCCACGCTTCGGAACGTGTGTAGTCGTCCGAATCGACTGGGAATGAGAAGAGGTGCTTGGTATCATAGCGACGCGCCAAGTATCCGAGAATGGCGTTGCCCTCGAACACGGCCAGGTCGTTGTTGTCATGGTCCACAATGGCGGGGATGCGGCCGTTGGGGTTGATGGCCGTGAACCATGGTTCCTTTTGGACGTTTTGCGAGATGTTGACGCCCTGGAAGGTGTACTCGAGCCCGTATGCCTCCTTGAGCTCTTCCAGCAGGATGTTAGCCTTGTGGCCGTTGGGGGTGCCTGTGATTTTTGGACAGAGTCCCTGGTCAGTGACTAATGATCCTCGAAGAAGGGGGTGGTTGATTTGCACGCGAGCAAGGAGGGCCGGGGGATCTTCTATTTCCCCGGGACTATTGAATTATTTTTCCCGGTGAACAAGCAGGTATCACTGCCATCATTGGGGCGGAAGCGACGGGAACTCGATGAAAAGCGTCCTGGCCTAGCAGGAACTTTTTGAATCCTCCTCGTGGCGAGACAAGGTTATGGCTGGCAAAGAGCCATGTGACGCCGTTTGACCACTCGGCCGGGACCCGTGGCGAGATGATGGGAGTCTGAGACGAAGGAATGGCCCTTGCCATGGCACTGGGCAAAGCTGGGTTGCTGGGATGCTGGGAGAAGAGATGCCGGCTTGATTTGCTTTGCATATCTGCCAGGGCTCTACTTCTAGACTCCCATCCTTGGTCGTTGCTGCGGCATTGATGGGCGCTTACTTGGCCACATCATGAAGATCACCGGGCGGCATCCCTCCTTCTAGTACGTCATCCAAGCTGTCTCTTGGCCGTGCTTGACCTTCCTTGTCCCTGCAGTCGCCGGCATTCTCGTCTTTACGGGTATTCAGGGTATTCAGGGTATTCAAGGACCCCGAGCGCAATGCAGGCACCGGGGGCTGGAGTCATGGCCAAGGGGTAGAGCAGGGCAGTAGTTTGCGATCACCTTGGATCGTTGATAAGGATGACAAAGAAGAAGACGAGGGCATAAAACATGGTGATACCGGCGGTAGATGCAAATGTAGATGGCTGTGCAGTGTGCTATGTATAGGTGTATGTGGTGTATATGATGTGCAGATGCAGATGCAGCGAGTAAGAATAAGAAGAAGAACAAGGCAGCACAAAAGCGGCTGCTAGTGCGGGACCAGCTTGCTTACCCCAGGTCAAGAGCTCGATGCCCTTTGTGGCAATGAGGCCAGTTGGACGCGCCATTGCAACGGATTGATGCTGATGCGATGCTGTAGCGAATAGAAGAGCTTGCGGTTGCTGTCGTAAGCAGGACGAGGCGAGGCTGAAGAGGGAGCAAAAGGCGAAGAGGAAGAGGAAGAGATGAGAGAGAAGCTGTCTTGCCGTCGTCATTGAGGAGAACAATGAGGAGCGAGGCCTTGTATCGATTAAGTACTAACGCGGGACAGCTTCCCTCCTTCAGCCCTTTTTTTACCCCTCCATACCTGTAGGAACTTGCCTTGGAGAATCGCGGAGAATTCCGCATTACCAGAAGATACCCAGCAGCAGGCAAGCTCTGCCCTATCAGCTCAGGTATTCGCACCTACGTAATGCTGGAGCTGTTTTGTGCTGGGTGCTTGGATTTGTCATGGTGGAGGGGCACGCAGAGGGAGATTACACATCAAGCACAACACATCAGATAAACCGCCAGCGTTACATAAGGCGGCCAGCGGCAAAGAAGCAATGCATCTCTGGTTGCTCAGCACGAGCAACAATTGCCGCGCGGGCCAATCCGTCTTCCGTTTGATACGATGGGATGGGATGCAATGCAATGCCATTAATCAGCCCTCGCCCTGGAGACGTTGCTTTTTCCACGGAGGTACTTGGGGTCTGCATAGCTGAATAGCGTAATGTGGATGTACCGTTGAAGATTCCAATTACCATTGCGACTCCATATGGAGCACTTACACACTATGGAGCAGTGTTACTAAGGAATCCGGTCCAGCGTCTCGGCAAGTTGTTTCTTGTGAAATTGTTTTGCGGGGGCATAACCGGGCGGCATTCGATTCCACGTGGCAGTGAGATTTGTGCACAGCTGTGTTGGACCAACTGTCTTTTGGATAGCCTATCGACTCCAGATTGCTTATACAAGCACTCGTACTGGCTGTAATATGATGTAGCATTATTAGCATTATTCGCAACAGATAGGATGGAGAGTCTATTCCTCATTCTGCAGAGACAAGGGAGATGAGGGGCATCCGGCGCTACCAGAAGCATTATTAACACGCGCGCGTCTTGCATTTTGCTTGGCTCCAAGAATAGTATCCTCTAGTCAAGTATCAAGGCAACAAACAAGGACGACGACGGCAAGCTTCACGGGATCTGCGGCTGCAAGTTTAGCCAACTTGTAAGTTATCACTAGGTACCTAGTAGGCAGTGCAAATATGATGGCAACACAGACGAGGGGGGGTAGAAAGAAACAATCGACAGAGAGGGTTAAAGTGATGGCCTGTCCAAGTTTCAAGATACCTACTAGCCACTAGGTAAATCCTACCGTACATTGCCGTACCTTTCCATTCCATCGTCCGACGGGCATTGTGATCGTCATCTCATTCCCCCGTGCCCGTGCGTGCTCGGCACATGGCAAAATCCCGCCGGTGAATCAATTGAGTTGCCGGGCTTCGCATGGCATTGGCATGGCATGGCAAGGCCAGGGCAAGGCTCTATTGGAGGGGAAAGGACAAGGAGAGAAGCGCGACCATCCGCTTCTCCGTGAATTTTGTGATTTCCTACAAATACTACCGCTGCTGATGATGCCCTGCTCGAATGCTACACTGCGATGGGCATCGGACGAGGGGGACGTGCACATAAGGAGAAATCATGTAAACGAAGACTTGAGAGATAGAGGGTAAATACAAGGGAAACAAAAAAGGGAGGGAGCAGGGCAAGGGGACCGTGATGCAACGACAGGGCCATAGACAATGAGGCCAAAGAGGCAAATACAGACAGTCCAGGAAGAACAAGACAAGGGGAGTGAGCACAGATGCTTGCCCTTGCTTCTGGATGGGGACCCCCACCCCTTGCCATGCCATGCCATGTCCATATACCATTGATGATGATGATGATGATGGTGTATCGAAGCGCAATGGCCTCGCGTTCGTTTCCCAAGTTTGTTGTTTATTGCTGGACGAGAGATTGGCACAGTAGCATTGCATGGCATCCCCAATCCCAGTGCCTCATCACCGGGACAAGAAAGATTACAGAGATTGCAACACGTTCCTTTGGACATTCCTAGTCTTGCATAGGCTGCGTCCGAGTCTGTCGCCGTGCATTTTTACTAGTCTGGGGCGGCCTCGTATGCACTCATACATTGCCGTGGTATGTCTCTGTACATACAATCTGCATCTACTGTAGAGAGTACTTTATCATTACTTGTACATATTGCATCTACAGTGCTGTGTACCTTGTACGAGTCCCATCTTGTTTACATGGACTGTTCTTTTGGCGTGCACCACTCGGAATTTGATTTTCATGCACGTCGTACGTTTCCATCCCACTTGGGAAGCGTGAATCGGCGTCGCAAACATGTCCAAAAGTAAATGGTTGGAACCCAAAACACACACTCCCACCCCCTTGCAATACAGCCACGAACAAGTCCGGAGGAATTAACTAACCAAATAAAAATAAACCGATGATGCAAATCAATTGAACGAACGAGAAACAAGTCGTTCGTTGTGGACAAATCAATTAGAAACAAATCGACGATTGTTTCTAAGATAAAAAAGAGACTTAGGCTAACACGCCAGCCCCGGTGCAGTCTCGAGTATTTTTGGATAGGCGAGGGTGAGGCGCAGTAAAACCCCCGACTAGCTAGACTAACGAATGGGAAGAATTGTATCGTATGGTCAAGACTTGACCAGCCAGAAACTGACAAAGAATCAACCCACAAAAATAAACACACTGACGGGCGATCAAACAAAGTCCTAGACTAGGTAGATGTAGAGTAGAGTATCTAATATCTACACCCTCGCTCGAATCACGCTCTGTTTTCTGCCTGGTGATATGCACACTGGACCCTGCTTGCACTAGGTAGTACATGGATGTATGTCTTACAGTTGAACATACACCTGTGCAGTGTTACCATGAGGTGTAGGTGTACAGTATTAGACGCTGGGACCCCTGGCCAGAGATCAAGCAGGGCAAGGCGTGCTTGTACTGTACAGGTTGTGGGATAATATGCCCGTCGACGAATGGAGTAAATCGTCTATCCATTCCCATCAATCCTCATCCTCATCCTCCATGTACGAGTATGTACTCCATGCAATACTCCATGTACTACTCCATCCTGATGTACCGGTAGATTCACCATCTTGCTACTCATTATGATGCTGCCTCATGGCTCATTCCCATTGCCTTGGTCGCGGTTCTCGAGCTTGTACCACTCGTTCATGTAAATCAACGTCTATCTTACTTAATATACCTGGCAAATACTCCAGACGTCAATGTAACCTCCAAGTACTAAAACCAACCGCATCGCTTTAATATTCTTACTCATCAAATCCCTTCTTCCCCTCCCACCTATGTCACTCGCTGCTACGGTACGAGTACATCATCCAAAAAGAAGAAGCCCAGAAACCGATAGATGTTCGGCATAAACATCAAAAAAAAGTCGCAGATTGTAAAAACGTGGCCATCCCGCCCTTGTCCATCCCAATCCTGCACCCTCCGCACGTGTCTCAATCCAGTCATACCGCCCCAGCCCTTTCATTTTTCCTCTTCCCTTCTGCTTCCTCTCCATGTGCAGATGCTAGATGCATCAAAACCCATCACCATCAATCACACTTGACATCTTTCACACGCCCCTCCCTCGGATCCCTTCCGCTTCAATTCGTTGACCCCCATTGCTGTCTGTGTGCACTTTTTTCTAAACCAACCTGAACTCTGCCTTGCGTTGCCTTGCATTGGCCTTTACAGTATCTCGCTCATCTCGCTCATCTTCCTGCGGTACTTTGCATTTCTCTTTTGGGTCTTCGGCTTGACATGTGCCGCTGTGCGAAAGCGGCCTCGGGGCGCGGCTGGCTCACGCGACTTCCGGAGGCCCATCCCATCCCGCATCTGGGGCCATTTAGTTGCAATTCTGCACACCCGAGGTAGTTGTTCCCATACTAGGGCCTGCGTCTCGGGAGTTTTGGGACGAGATAAATAATGTCCAAGACGAGACAGGTAACAAAGAGGAGGGCAAAAGAGACACCCCCGACTATTACCTTTCTGTCATTGTCGGCGAGTTAACAAGTCCGGCAGCCCGTCTGCTCGTACGCGAGTTTCCTTCTTTTACAATGCAAGATACAGAGTTAGATACACCCCGGAAAAACAAACCATCGTCATTACTGTAGAGATAGAGATACTAGATACATGCAGTATACAGAGGTGGACGATACGGGATAGGCGATGCCGTCACTGCTTTGCTTTACTTTACTTGGCAATTCCTTCACACCCACCCTATACCTCATCACCTCGCTTCAGCAACCTCTTCATGCAAACTCAGGAAGAAGAGCTGAAAATGTAGCCCAAGCTCAGCTCAAAGCCCTGCAAGTGAGCACAAACCACATACAACACATCACGCAGTAGACTCCTGCAGCCGAGTTTTCTAGAACAATGTGCGCTCAGGCTGAGGAAGCGACATGGAATGTGATGAGAAGAAACAAAAGGATCCTCAAGGGGCACAGAGAGGGAAGCGTGGGAGTGGGAGTGGGAGGGGTTAAGCCGAAGCGAATCACATCTACGAAGGATGAAGCTACAGTAGTGCCGTCGTTGCTGTACTATCAGAGGCGGGAACTTGGCCAGATCTTGGACGGTCCTCATTGGCCGCCTTCTCATTCCTTCAAAGATAGCTTTCCATCTTTACAGGCAAACGGGTTACAGCTCTTGCAGCTGTATGTCATTGCGCATCTTTTCTGCTTCCGCGTCTGCTTCTCTCGCTTCTTCTCTGGGGATCGTTGCAGATGGGACGAGATGGCGTCAACCCCCCCTCGTGTAGGAGGACATGCTCCGTATCAAAGGGTGTGAGTGGTGCCGTGTCGTCAAGTTTCAATATTGTTCCTACCGTAAAGTTTACTCGTACTTGTCGTATGCGAAGGAGTTGAGGAGGGGAAAGTCCGTCATTCGGACCGCGCAGCCCCGAAAAATAGCAGAGGCATCTCGCAGAAAATCAACACATGACAATTAATAGACGAAGAGGGTAAAAAGTCAAATCAACACGATCAACAACCCTAAAAACCTGTTTTTCATGGGTCTAGACGTTCATCCCCCGCAAATCCCGAGCAAAAACAAGCAAACGCCTTGCTGCACATCCTGCTCTGAAAAGAGCAACTCTAGCGAAAAAAAAAGGAAAAATAAATCTCACCACGACCTGGGGGGAAGGAACATCCAACAAAGACCACGCGTTCTTCCCAAGAGCTTTGACATTGACATGCCAGATTTCTTTGCTCCCACCCCCAAATCTTACGGGGGTTTCCCTTCTTCTCTTTCGTCTTCATTTTCAACCCCTCTCTCGATGCAACCCCCTCCCAGAAAAAGATGCAGGACCACCAGAACAAGGAAGCTCAGAAAGAGGCAATACCGACAGCAGAAGCCGGCCGCGAATCAGCGGCCCCAGGAACAAGGCACAGCACATCAAAGGTCGCTAATGCTGCCCTGAAACGTGCAAGAACGTGGCATCGGGGTCTCTCCCCCCTCGTGGAGGGTGTGAAGGAGCAAGAAAGAGTCATCGTGAGAAGCAGTTCAAGTCGAGAAGAGAAAAAGAAGAAGAAAAAGCGGCATGGCGTCGTCGTCTTGGATCAGAATGGCGCGCTTCAGCCCTTGTTCTTGTCTCCCACCCCTTGCGGCCCCATGCCATGATTTTCTTTGCAAATGCCTCTTCGGAAGGATTCACCTCGCCGTCCATCTCCCATCTCGTTCCCATCCTCTTGCGCGATGCAATCTGTCTGTCCGGTCCATTTGGCCAAGTCGTGCCGCTCCCCGGCTCTCTCTCTCTCTCTCTTTGCTTCCCCCCCTCAACTTCACGCCTCCATGCATGCTCTGTCTCTCTCCCATCCCATCATCCCGCATCTCCATCTTTTCTTCATCCCACTCCACGCCCGACGAGATGAATATGGACAGACGGGCAGATGATGCGACTGCTAGTGCCTCGACGCACGAGCCCCCCAGATGAGGTGCCATCAACTCTAACCGGCGCCCTGACAGGCCCGTTTCTCCAATCATTGCTACCAGACGCATTTGCTGTGCAGCGGCTTGCAATGCCGGCTCCTTGTCCGAACCATTTGCTGTGCCCAAAAGCTACCACGCCCATTTGCAAAGGAACCCACTTGCCTGTCAGTTCCGGCAAATCCTCATCCCCATGTCACGTCTCCAACTCTCTGCTACTTCCTGTACGCATACACACGTTAATTAGTGCAGTACAGGTTAATGCCACGCTCTCTGCAAAGGGAAACTCTGGGCGGGATATGGCATGACCCCCCCTGGTCCGATCTTGTTGAGCCTATCCTGGGCAATTTATTCTACTTGCTTGGAACAATGGGCAAAGCCATGCATTGATCTGGCCCTCTTTTTTTTGTGCCTCTCTTTCTCTTGGTCTCTCTTCTTTCTTTCTGTCCCTTGAAGATGTGCTAGTGCACCAGGGTAGGATGACAAGGGACGACGATGATCCGCCAAGCCAGTGGGAAGTGCTAGTAAGCACAAGGCCAATTTGGCCGGAATCAGACAGAGAATGAGAAAGGGGAAAACCACCACTCCACAAGAAACAGAGACAGCCTCAATGGGAATAAAATGGAAACAAGAAAAGAAGTGAAAGAAAGTGAAACACGAAGAAAAAAAAGCAAAACTCAACAGCGCATCATCACAGCTGGATTCTGGGGTATCCCCTCACCCCTTCTTTTCCTCCTCCTCTCTCTCCAGACGCTTCATCTCACGGAGCATCCCATCTCATCCCATCTCATCCCATCTCATCCCATCAACCAGGCCGAGTCCCAGAGAGAGTGACCAAAACTACTCGCACCACTCCCAGGTTCAGGTCCCTAAAGCATGGGCCAGATACCCATCCGTGATCCACACATCACAAGATGCTCCTCGTGGAGTCTCAAGTCTTGTTCCTACCTGCCCATCCCCCCTTCTCCGCGGTTCTACTCCCGGTGGCTTGGCACGTCTAGTGCACCTATCTCGAAAATCGAACACGCAAAAACAAGGTGGCAAATTGAGCTCGCCTTGTCCCATGCGATGCGATCCACCATGCAGCGATTACCTGTGCCTGTCACGTACGTGGCTCCCATGTAAGCCCACCAAGCAGAAAAGGGCCTGGGCAGGTTTATGGGGACACTTTTTTTTTTCTTGCTGTCCCGCGTACAGTAAGGCAATTACCGCGCAAAATTGATGACGGCACGAGGGCTCTTACAGTCCCAGCGCAAAGAAGAGTCCCCAATTAACCAGATGAGACCAAAAAAAGGGCCAGTCGAGAATGAGGCCGAGCCGGCAGAGAGGCGGCAGACATGGGGGAGACGTGGGCAATCTCATCAGCAATCTGGGGGGGCTGCTCGCCAACACGGAAGATGGCCATTCTGCAATGTGCCTCGTATCGACGATTGTGTATACGGCATCAAAAAACACCCCTCCCATGAGCAAAAGACAGAAAAAATCAAGAGCAAGAATAAGATCATGACATACCTCCTTGTCCTGTCTGAATCTTCAGCTCAAACGACCCGCCCGTGACAGGCCCAAATCACGCACACTCCCCGTGGATTCTTTGCGACGCGAGCCTCAATGCCTGCCACCATCGTCCTTTCGACATGCCATCTTGAGCGTTGACACTGCCCCGGTACTCACACCAAGAAGCCTCCAAAACTGGCCCACGACGTTGCATCGGGGGACCCCTCCCCCCCTTCCCTTGCCGCGTACAAGTGTGGCATGTAATACATGCTCTTCCCGTACAGTTTAGCCTCGCAATCAACAGAGCCAAGATCCATCCGTGCACGAAGTCACTCGTCGTGCTAACACAGAGTCGCATCGCACATCTGCAAGCGCTCGGGGGGATCTACTGGGAATCCTTCAAATCCCCTCCCACGCTGCTGCCACGTTCTCTAGAGTAGTGCCACCCTCCCTCTTCTCTCTTGAGGGCCCTTCTTTACTACCTTACTAAAGACGACTGGTACCTGGATTAGCACAGTCTTACCCCTGGGGGCTTTGCTATGGGCTCCTCTCTGGAGAATGCCACTTAACCATGCGATGCCGGCTCTTTCAGCTCAGTACGCGTGCATCTGGAAGACACGGTAGCATCGTTCTACGGGGAGTTCTGTCATTGCTTTGAGCTGGGTCACGAGCCTCTTTCGCCTCTCCGTGGGTTCTCACGGAATACGATGTCATGGGTGAACCATGCCTGGCCTGGCCCAGCTTGTCAAATTTTACACAACATGCCGACGAATACTCGTACAAGCAATGCGTGCCAGCGAGTTCTACTCCGTACTGAGTATTTCGTCCCTTGTAAATTGACGAGAGAGATTTCTCCAGCCGGGCAACTAGGCTTGCTGCCGCTGCATATTACCACGTGCTCTGCCAACCCTCCAAATCTCTCCCGGGAGCCAAATGGTGTGTACCAATGCTCCGTATTGGTCCGACACTTGGTTTGGCCCTTACTGGCTCAAGACTTTCGTGCAGTAACGCGTCAACTAGTATCGTGCAAGAGACAGGGCCCCTGGTTGCGGCTCCCCGACCCCCATGCTCACGGCCATCCCAGCCATCGCCGACCTATCCGGGAATCAACTGGCTGGCTCTTGCTCCAGACGCCTGATAGTCAGTCCTACGGAGCAGATACGGCGCCTTTCTCTTCCTCGACGCCGTTTCAACTTGACATCGGCGACTTCACCTCGGCACAGCCCTTCACTTGCTGAACATCAAGGTGCCATGTCCATGCATGAGACTCTTTCTGGAAACGAGGGACCCCCCATGCTACATACCGTGGCGAGCCCATTGGAACACAAGTTCCCCCAGCCCACATTTCATTACATACTCCGTACGACTATCACTGCAGAATACAACGCTCTACTTGGTACTCCTTGAAGCTTAGACCTTACCTAGCCGGATATCGCGACGGCAGCCGGGTGTCTGTCTTCCGCCTACGAGTCGCCTGCCGTGCCTCTTTTAGATATGGTTCTGACAGTCTGACTCGACAACTGGCCCCGCAACAAGCACAGAAAACGGCATTCAATGCTTCGCTTCACCTCAACCCCGGCAGCATGAATCATGAAGAGACTCCATGAAGCCATATGCCGTGTCAATAAGTCGTCAACGATAGATAGCTTCACTTGGCAAGCGAAGAGGGACCCGCGCGTCTGTCTGCTTTGTATGAACAGATGATCCCCGTGGCCACTTACTGATTACTAGGTAGTTCCTTTTTTTCCCTCATCTCTTCTTTTGTCACATACCATGTCTCTTTTTGGCAGGCAGAACCCCCAAAGCAGACACTAGGTCAGTGGCTTAGAAAACGTGAACCACGTTTACAGACCACATACGCCCTAGGACACATGATATGATAGGATTTTGTCTTCTGCTGCATGCATGAAAACATGGGTTTATAGGCAAAAAAACAGCCCCCAGGTATAGGGAACCTGGCCAGCACTAAGGCATCCCAGCGTAGTCCAGGGACGCTTTAAGGACGCTTTAAAGGGTTACAAAGGCGCAATTTTCAGGGTTGACAAAGCTAAGGAGAAGGAAAAGAAGGTGAATGGAAAAGAAAGGCGCATGAAGCAGAAACACGCCAAGGCATGGGACGCAGCAACTTAACTGTCCTATCGACGTGAATGAGGACTAGCACGCCACGGAGCAGGAATCGTCAATTAGGCCGTTCGGTAAGTAGCATCATTGGCGTAGGCCGGCAAATAACCATGGTTAGCGTTTTTCGGGGGCATCATCGGAGATGTGGATGTGCCTTTTCGTATGATCCGTCGCCGGGGTAAGCGATTTGTCGAGATTCCCTTTTCAGTCAATCGTATACATGTACGATCGCCGTCGATCATCAATCACAGGAAACAACCATTCCCGACTCTGATGCTTGCCGTCGGAAGGAAGAGAGGAGGCATCTATTAGTCCAGCATTAGTCCAGCTTGCATTTGATCTGACCAAGGGGGAGAGACAACGTGGATGGATATATCCCACGATGCCTTTTACCTGTACCTCCCCCACCTCACACTCAAAACCTCTCCCTCAAAAAGAGAGTTCTATTAAGCTTGAACATTTGTGCCTAACATTTCGAGGGGCCGTCTCGCTGTAGCAGGCGGTGGGCGGCACTACTTCTGCCACCGAAGCCCAACCTAGCTGGTTAGTTTTGCATCTAGGGTTTAGTTTCGTCTGTCATTCGTGGGTTAACCAATCCCCCAATGTCTCTGTTTCGACTAGGGGGATGGAGAGAGCTGCCGGCCCCCTAAAAGAAGGGGAAAAAAGATGAAGAAAGTTGCCCTTACCTGCTTGGCTAGTTTGGTGGCTGCCTGAAGAGAAACACTCCATTAATGCCGAGCAAAAAAAGGAAGAAAGAAGGCCAGTGAAGGGGGGAAAGAGGCGCTGGCTAGCCTATTCCAAATGTTTCTGGCGTGTATGAAGTAGAGACAAGAAGAGACGAAAAGAGGTGGGAAGATAATGGGCCGATGTAGAATGCGAGGTAGGTAGAGTAAGGAGGTGGTATCAGGGAGTAAAAGTCGCGGCTCAGAAGAACGGTGTACGCTGCCTAAAGGTACAATCTAGATACATCGTCAATGTTGCCCAAAGGGGCCGGAATGTGACGCTGTATGCAATGCTGTATGCAACGCTGTATGCAAGATGCTCCTGGCAGGTGCATACGGCGACGCCGTGGTTAGAGGAGAGGCCAGCACGTGTTGAATAGTGATAGGGACAAAAGCCGTTACCTCATCTGGTCCGTCCTGCAAAGGAGCAGTGGCGTTCATTGACTGGCTCGTACTCGCATTGGGGGGGGACGGCGGATGCGGCAGATTGTAGAATAGCGACATGAAGGTGCAGAAAGCGAGATGTTTTGGCATGGCAAACATCTCGGGCAGCACAAGAAGGATTAGACGGGCTCTCTGATATTAAGTTGTTCGGTATTGGAGCAAAAAATAAAGTGGCCTGGATAATGACACACTGCGTGACCCGGCACTCGCCAGGCTCTGTGTCTGTCCCCCAGCTTTCCCAGCTTCCCTGGCGCCCGCAAAAGACGGCCTCGGACGGGCGGCAGTGCCAGTACGGGATAATGACAAAAGAAACACCACAGTACGGGTAGTATGCCAATGATTTTGGGGACCCGGGGAGGGGCAAATGCATGTCTAGCACTGCAGAGTGTGCAGCATCTTGATGAAACACAGCCAGCCTGATTGCCACTACTGAAGGCGGTGTTGTTATCATTTGTGATATCACGATGGCATCTCGTGCGCAGTGACCGCAAGAATAACTAGAGACGCAAAGCAGCACCAGCAAAATTAGACGGTATGCTCCTAGCCTCGGCGAGACACCGATCACCAAGCGTTGCTGGCATCCTCCACAAGACTAGTCCACGACCTCCCTGTGTGCTGCAGGCTGCTGCGACTGAAGCTGCATTCCGGGGAGGCAAGAAGCTTTAGGGAAACGTGGACACTGCAGAAGCTGCATGCAGCCAGCTCTTTTCCCTTGTTGCCGTGGCCAGTCCGTCTGCCTCTCGCTGTGCTTCGAGGCCCACACCAGCTCCCAAAGTTTGTGTGCATTGTCACGGGCTCCATACCTTCAGGCAGAGCCCACATATGCAGTGCTGTGCTGTGTGTTGCAGTGCAGCGCACGAGGCGTGCCCGCTGCGGCGGTGCCCATCCCGCCTTTTCTCCCGCAAAACTGAAGCTCCCGCACTGAAAAAGGGCGGTCGACCAGGGAGCAGTCGTCGAGAGTCAAGATGGGGCCGGCTGGCCAAAGTCCACCAATGGTGGACAAGGGTGCCAGACAGGGCACCATTGACGCACCGTGAACGGGTTGCACGGCATGAGCGCACTGGGCACGAGTTGTTCTCGTCGTCGAACAAGCTTCGACGCCGCCTTTCTGTGCTGGGGGTGGTCCTTGAGCCATGACGACGACGACGAGACGGAGGCGATGGGACAGCAGACAAGCATCGGAGTAGATGGCAATGCTAGGAGGGGGCGGAAGTAACAGCCGCCGCCGGGCTGCGTACGCAATCCAGTCTCGGTCGGATCCCAGGGAAGGACGGCGAGCCGTTTTGCTCTACTTGGCGGTGTCCGTCCTTTGTTACAGGAGCCGAAATGCCAACATGGCTAGCAATAGCTCCATGCGACCAAGCAAGCCAGTCGCAGCGATTCCTACTATTTTCGTAGTCTCTGGACAGAGCTTCAAGACGGACCCCCTTTTCCCCTACTAGCGCTAAAATGTCGAAATAGCAGGATAGAAGAAAAATAAGTGATGATACCAATTACCGGCAGAGCTGGATATCGGTGACTCGAAACAGCCCAAGCTGCCATCTCAAATCTCCAGCGACAGCCATGACGCGATACCTGTTTCGGGGATCTGAAGTAAACGCTGTGGGAAACCCAACGGGCTGGGGAGTTTCCCCTGGTTGCTCGCCGAATCTCTGGCACTGCACCACCGATTTCGAGACGGCGACCCATTGCAACGCGGCCAATGGCAGGGGAAACGCCACGTCTTGCCTGGCCCGCAGATGGAAACCAAACGGTCTCGTTGCACCTTGTCTGCTTCCCGGGAGAGGGGAGCGGAGGCAGATCATTGGATCGTTCAGAAAAGGCTCTGGTGCCTCTGTTCCAAAAGAANGGGGGGGGGGGGGGGGGGGGGGGGGGGCGCGTGTCTAAACCAAGTTAGCACAGATGCGACGGCAAGGATCATGGGGAGAGGAGGGGAGTGAACAGAACGTAGGGCTGAACCAGGCCAGGCCATCCCACCTCGTCCCAGAAGACAGCACAGGTCGATGCCAGGATGCGGCCAGGGCAGCCAATAGGCGGCCACGGACAGAGCCCTGGGATTCTGCTGGCCAACAACATCCTTGCCCAGACCTCCCGCACCGCGTACGCCCGCTGCACAGCGTCCCGCTCGGCATCCCCGAAGAGACGTTGAATTAATTGCTAGACTCACCGCTGGAACAGCAGAGAATGGGTGAGTTTGAGCTGGGGGCCGCATCTCTGTCGTGGCACTGCACTGTATCGGGTAGCGAAGTCAACCTGGCGGCGTCCAAGAGCTATGGCCACGGTCCAGATTGTTGCATCTCTTTTTCTCACCCAGCCCTACAGCCCGAAATCAAGTACCGACCGACACTCTGGGTCAGGCAGACAGATGAACCGGTGTGAGCCTGACAAAGCAACAGGTACGACGACTAATCCGAGCTCGGTGAGCTGCTGCTCTCCCTTTCGATTAGCTTCAAACGCAAAAAAAGCAAAAGCAGCTCTTGCAAAAGGGAGCTCTCGTTTACCCAATTGCTTTTGTGAATTTCAATAATTCCTTTATTAATTTCATTTCCTTCTTCTCTTCCTAGTGTCGGTCTGTTTGTAGGGCACCGCGATGCGTTGTCGACCGGCGACGGGCTGCAACTGCAACAGCAGGGTCTCTGGCTGAAGCAGATGGGCTGCAGCAGCGCCAATGAGCTGTTTCTCAAATCGTACGACGGGGGGAGCCTCCTCGTCGATCAAATCTGCATTCTCGACGAGGGGGGTCTGGGCTGGGACTCCGTCAAGGAGCATGATTGCGTCTGCGGCGTCTGCAGGAGAGAGAAGCATGGAGCATTGAAGCATCTGCCACCCCCCTTTGAGGGCGTGGGAAGAGCGGCACCTCACGTGATCGGCCCTGGGAAGACGTGAAAGATTTAGCCCACAATGTCTGGGGCTACCAATCAGGCTCCGCCCTGAATACGGTTTGCTGTTTTGGAACAAGCTTCAAGGGCCAAGCTGCCAAAAATAAAGTACTGGGTACTTAATTGACTACGATAAAATGCAGGCAAGATTAAGTACTCGCAACCCTGGGCCGTCACGGAGAAGCTGCTCCTCATCTACCCGCCTCTCCCAGGCAAATAGCAGCCGGCCCCGCCCCGTCAAACTAGCCCCCAAAACGAAGGGTCGTGATACTGCTAGCGACTGCTCGCTGCTGCTAATAAAACTGCGTCGATGCGAAAGCGAAAGGACTGATAGGGCCACGACAATGGCCCTTGGGAAATTAGTTGAATCAAAGGATGAATGATGGCACCGCATTGAGAAAGAGTAGAGACTGCACAAGCTTCAGCCTCAAATCCTGCCTGGCGGTCTGGAACCCCCTGGGGAACAAAAGAACCTTAAACTCGCCGTGACAAGATGGACGGCGAACGCCTTGTGGACGAGGCATACTCCCTCCTGACGAGGTTAACGAACCCGTGATGCTGTCTGTCGCTCACAGCGATGTTCGGCAGCTCCAGTGCGTAGTGCGTATTACTTTCGTACAGTACGGTGCAGGCGCCGGCGGCCCCCTTGCGACAGGGGCAAGCGTTCGGGGAGCAGAAGCATTGACTCCGGGCTTGGCACCATGTCTGTTGATGATCGAGTTCCCTAATGGCATCACCGAGATCTGATCAGTGCGTGCGTGCGAGGGTTGGGGGGTCCCACGGCCACGGAGGAGGAGCCAAAAGAAAAAAAAAATATCGAGCTGGAAAAAGAGATAGCCGGGAAGAGAGAGAAAGAAAAAATTGCCATGGAAATTGTCCCAATCCGTGGCACCGGGTCTGGATATCCGGTCCGGAGGTTTGTTGTCCCTGGGACTGGGAACTCCATTGCGACTCCATGCATCACCACTTTTACCCAGATTTTGGCTTTGCACCCAACAGAGTGAAACGGGCGCTGTTTCTGGCCATCTCTCCATCCCATCTTGCCGCCGGTGGATCATCTGAAGCCTTCGCGGCAGTACTGTGCAGTACATCTCCCTCTTCTCTTTTTGCCTGCAGCATCAATTGATCCCCGGGCGTGGGGGCCAACCATGCGACACAGTAACGACCGGATCCGGCAAGGTGAAGGCCATCGAACTCTGGGCCATTCTACCACCTCCTTGTCGCATTCGCCAAGAGAGAAGAGAGAGATGTCACCAGTCTAGTTTAGCAAGCACCTTGCCATGCTCCGTTCCAGACAAGCCCTCCCCTTCCCGCGGATGTACTGCGCCCTTTTTGTCTTGTGCTTGATTGATTTCTTCTTTTTTAAGCTCTTCGCTTGGGAAGCACGGCACGAGAGGAGAGCACGGCGCCCGCTCCGGATGCTTGGGTCCCAGGGTAGCTTGGGCCCTTTGCCTATGAAAAGACCTATGAGAGAATTCCCTCTTTTCCCACCATACATACTTGCAGGTAACAATTCATTCGCCCGGGACTGCGAGTTACACTGGTTCGACGCAGCTCTGCCAAGGACGGGAAACGTTCCAGAGGGGGATCAGAGGGGAAGGGGGGAGAAGGGAGAGCAGCCAATCATCCGCGTGAGAACCTTATAAACTTGCCATTCGGGGAAAGATGCAAGTCAGAAAAGGAGGTGTTTGATGACGATGCTGTCATTCTTTGGCGCTGTTTTAGAACGGCACTGCCGGACGACGTGGTAAGGCTGAGATGCGCGCCGGCAGCTGCAGTAGCAGAACACACAGACGCACACGCAAATTACTACGAGACGTTTTGACAGGTTTTGGGCGCCTTCTCTCCCCAGGCACACTAGGCACACGGTTGGTGCGAAGAGCTTTGTCGTCGCACGTTGAGGCGAAAGATAAGATACTTGGTTTAATGCCTAGGTAAAAAATGTCACGTCCTTGTCCATGTCCCGTGAGGTGGCACCTAGGTTGTAAAAGAAGGTAGCCGGATGACGGGGGTGGAATGTGGAATGGAACAAGCCCAGAGTTGGTGTGCAAGCGAGAACGACATGTACATCTAGGGCGCGCAAAGGGAAAATGGGAGTGGGTTCTTGTTTCTCGTCTGTCTCGTTTGGCAACGCGGCTATACGGATATCAACTCCAGTCTTGAGGTCATTTTGTGACTCTCTGTATCCGTACCTGGGTATTTTGGCGTTTGGGTAGCCGAGTTGCGAGTACCTGCTACGGCTATCGGCCATGCACGATATCGGACCTTTGATTTTGTCCCAATTGCTAACTAAACCATGTCGTAGAAACTAGCAAGGGACGAGTACCTAAAAAAAACCAGGCTGTGTGCACTTTACAGCGGCCGCCTGTCGCCGCAATTCCAAATCTTGAATGCCATTCATTGGACTTTAACCTTTCCAACCCCAAATTTCCCGTTTCGGCGCCTAGTTCGTTTGAATCTGGCTTCCGGAGGAAACAAGTCCCGAGGATTGATTACAAGTAACAATGCAATTTCGAGCGCAGACGACAGACGACAGATGTACATACACACACCCCCAATTATCATGTTCCGAGGTATTTGGGTTTTTTCCATACCCTTCACCTTTAAACCTTGCAGGCGCGCGCGCGCGCAAGCACTTGGCGTGCGGCTTAAAACCCAGCTTTTCTTTGCTGATGATGCACCACTGACAAGGCTTAGCACGGCCACGGCACGCACATCATGGGTGGCCCAGATGCTGCCAATCTGCCCTTTGCACATCATCTCATTGGCGGCGTTTCTTTTCTTACACGCTGCCAACCTTGAGGCTTCTCGAGTTCCTCCGAAAGCTGTTGTGGACATGCCCCCCCAAAAGTACAATTGGTTTCCTAAAGCGAACAAAGCTCAAAAGGCAAATAGATTAATTGGAGCGGTTGCTGGTTTGCCAGCAAGTAGCACGTTGTAGAAGCGAGGGGGGTGGTGTGCGAGCGATGCCCTTCCCGTCGCTTGCCGCTTCCGACGACCTGGAACACGAATGTCTCAGATGCCTTTTGGTTCTTTCTCTTGTGTTGTATAATTTCCCCATTGGAACGCCGAACCCCATGGCAAATTGATGAACTGGTCCAAATCGGACACAGATCAGCCCTGAAATCCTGCAGAGATGAGATGGTGGAATTGTAATTGTAATCACCTCCTGGCATTAATCAGCACAGCAACTGCATCCCATCTGCATCCCGATTTTGATTTGATCAATGTTTGTCCATTGTTTGTAATCATCCTAAGCGAGGGTCAAGATGATTACACAACACGAACAATTATTCCAGTTACTGTACGAGTAACTACGTCGTCAGTTTGACAACTACAGGGTACATGTTCCGTTCTTTGGGCTCCAGTTGCAATGCCACCACTAAAAAGGTCTCCCACCACGGCGGTAGCCTCAGGTACGTACCGTGGGATTGAAGAAACGGAAGCGAGGTTAAAGATGTGGAACCCCAAAGGCCCATTCCAAAAAGATACAGTTACAAAGTACATCCCAGGCGAGCCGCGTCCCAGACGAGACGGACGAAAGTGGAGCACGCTTTTTCGATACGCACTTTCGCGCCTCTTTGAAGCTGTGCGGCAGATTTCCCTTGGGGTCTCTTGGGGTATTTTGATTGACCTCATTTGCAAGGCCCCGACAAACACGAGCCCCAATTATGGAGAACCCCCAAGGTTGGCGGCAAATCGAAGCGGGAGGTGGGGGGGAGGGGGGGCGGCCAGAGAAAGGCGCAGGCTAGCAGCTGTTCGATACTGTAAATTCCGGAAGCGGCTTAGTCGGTTACTGACTAACCAGGCCCCAAAAAAGTAGGGCAAAAAAAGAATTTGAGAAAGCAGAAACGCGGGGGGTTCGCCTCTCCAATTGGCTCCAAGGGGTGTGGTGTGGGAACCAATCAGGAGCCCGGGAGCAGCTTAAAAAAGAGGGCCCAGAGAGGGGAGGGGTAAAATGGAACTCGGCCATCTCCCGAGCGCAAATTGGAGCTTATGGCTGTCGGGTACGGGAGAGCCAAGTTCTGACTAAGTCAAGTTGGAGAGTTCGAAGTTCGCCTTTATTCCCGAGTTAGCCTCTCTTTTTGATGGCGGGAGATGAAAGGTGTAGGTTACGGAGCACCAAAGACCCGGCCCTCTTCGTGTGCGGTCTTTTGCGCACATTCGACGGAACTACCACAAGTACAGCCCGAGATGATTTGCGCGGCAAAGAGACCAGTGAGACGGAAAGACAGCGAGATGCGGAGTTTCGGCGTTTTTTTTGACTTTTGGGAAATCCCAAACCGCAAATCTGTCACATCTCGAAATAAGCTTGCGGCACTCGCAAAGTTGGCAACGAGATGCTGCTCTGGTTCGGGAATAAGGCTGTGTTTGCTTTCCCTTTGCTCCCCGATAAGGCCCTGTGGGGAAACGCTCGTGGGCGATCAAAGTCCCAAAGTTGACCTTGGAGTGTTGCTCAAGCTCAAAGATGGGAATACAAGTGGCCAACCGGAGTATGGGGGAGGGCGTTACGGCTTTCTGGAGCTCCGTATACTCCGTATACTCCGGCAAAACAAATTCCCTGTTGCCTGCTGGGAACTGCTCGACTGGAGAGATACGATACCTGTCGTATGCTTGCTTGCGAACAGGTGCACGAGTGCTACAGCATGCAAGTACATAGGTATTTTACCTTGCCCTTGACTCAATATTGGGTGGAGAGTCCTTGGCGACTGACTGACTGACTGACTTACATGATCCTGGGCACCACTAACCTGCACGACAAAGAAGCGGTACAGTATGCCTTGTCACGATCCCGGAGTGCCCCACGAGATACCAAATGAAAGTGCCATGGGAAAATGAAGGGAAAAAAACAAAACAAAACAAAAAAAGGCCGAACGGCACGATAGTGTGTTCCAAAAATCGTACGACTCTGTAGGGCGCCGTCGCGGATAAAGTTTGGATTCTCTACACTCCATTGTCCTTTTTTTGCTCTGCTTTGCTTTTTTTAGCTAGCAAATAGCTAGTAAGGTGAACTCATCCACATCCGTAAATAGATTCCAAGCTGCCGGACATGGATATGTGGTATTCCCAAGCGCGTTTTTTCCACGGTATAGCCTCCCACCCCCCAAACCGTGACGACGAGTAGGTTACCAGGATCGGAAACCCGAAGGCGCTGTCGCCTGGACCAAAAGGAAAAAACCACAAGACGAAAGTGGGAATAGGGAACAGCATTGAAACAAACAATTCCACAGGCTTTGTCCCGATGGAGCTAGGAGTTACTGACGGGACTATACCAAAAGGCCGGTAACCCCTTGCTTTCAATGCAAGAGAACAGGAACCAACGAAAAAAAAAAAAAAAAAGAGATTATACAAGGTGCTGTAGAATGTCTGTGCCCCCGTAGATTATTCCCAGTTCCCAAATGATGCTCGGCACGCAGATTAATCAACATGAACCCCATTACAGTACTACAATTTTTTTTTGACCTGGGTATCGGAGCCCCGACAAAACCAAAGGGAGCTGGCGAGACCACTCACGGCTGTCGCTGAGCTCCGTGATTGGATCTCCTCTACCGCTGTGGACCATGGAGATCCCGACCTCATATCAATCCATGGGCCCAGCCAATCAGTGTTAGAGCATGGCAGCGATTACCAAAGGAGCCCGTTTGGGAACGCTGGGAGAACCCACCGCGGTCGGAGCAAGATTCGCCCGGCGCACAATTTCATGCCGCCGGATGGCCGCAGCACGCCGCAAGGGTTTTTGGTCTACGAGTATGGTGGTGTATTCCGGAGGTTGAAGCTTGGTGGTTGATGCCGTGGAGAGGGACCTTGGGGGAACTTTGCGGCATGATTTCGTGGTTTGTCGGTTTTATTTTGGTGAATTAGGAGGTTCTGTCGGATTTGCTTGTGATTGCAAGATGGTGGCGACGGAGATAAACTGCACATGTTTTTCATTCATTTCCTGATTTCTGGTTATCTATTGATTTGTATTTTTTATTTTTTTTATTTGTATTTTATTTTAGTTAATGGATCTTCTTCTTCTTTGGTGTTGATTGACTTCCTCGCAAACAACAGCCTTGTCGTCACCACCCATGTAGCTATGATAACATCGTCGTGCTTGGCAGTCTTAGGTCCCACGTCCTCGCTTCATCATGTCTCGGCAGCATTTTTGGCATCGTCACACTAGCGGCGCCCAAGGAGATTGCAAAGTCGTAGCCTATGGCCCCCCTCGTAGCCCATCGTTCGCAAGGCAAAGCTCATCCTCTGCCCATCTCCCCGATTGGGGCAGCCGTCTATATTGTCCTTGAAGCCTTGCTTTCTCGTCTGGTACTTGCTCTCCCCGCCCCCCTTGTCCGCTCAAGGGGGTCCCAGTCGTACGGATCCAGTCCACCGGGAGTGGATCGTGCCAAAATGCCGGTTATCCGCCAGCAAAGTTGTTGGCACGAGGAGAGAAGAGAGAGCGAGAAAAGGGAAACAGGCAGCGAAGCCAACACCCCCCCGGGACTCGCTCAAAAAGTATGGCTTACCTAAAAGGGTAATACTTGAGATTCCCAGCGGGATGGTTAGGGTTGATGGGCGCCGCATTCGTGTTAGGCACGCCTGTCCCGTCCCTGTCCTGTTATCAAACCTGGGATATTGCAACTCAGTTTTAGTTTGTATTAATCGTGATTCAAGAAATATAGTATGGTGAAGCGACGGGGGGCAAAGAGCAAGCAAGAAAAAGTCGCCGCCGTGGTCCGATTCCCCAATAGCACCCCATGAAACCTCAATCAACCCTTTGCCAATCTCTCACACACGAGATTCTACTTTGGGCCATCGATCTCATCGTTCCCTTCTGTCGGTACACCCTCCTCCCCACCTGGGGATCCTCTAGCAATTCCCTCGCTCTCGCTTGCCTTGCCTTGCCTCGTTTATTATTACAGGTAACTTTTTTTCATCATGTTCTTTTGCGCATGGGCAGCTAGCCGCCTCTGCGGGCGCACACCGAACCTGCTTTTTCTGTGACCTACAAGCATGCGTGTGATATGGTTCTGACACTCACATGGCCGAGATTTGGGGTCCGTTTTGACGACTTAAGCGATGTCGTTGACGCCGTTATCATTATGCGACCCTTTTTTTTTTTTTCTTGGTTTTTTTTTTTTTTTTTTTTTTTTTTTTGCCTCACGAGATGGGCGTGGGACAAAGAACTGTTGCCCCCGACATGGCCAGTTGGTACTTTGTCGTAGCTCGACGATCCCCCTCTTTCAAAATCAAATCTTAAACCGCCCCTCATCAACTGGGCAAAAAAACTACATTACGAGTTACAGACAAAGAGAGAGAGGGAAATAAAACTAGCTTTTTGGCAAAATCCATGCAGCGGCATTTGCGCCCGCGAATCCGCGGCTGCTCGAGTTTTGGCCATGAGGGAAATAGCCAACAAGCCCACCCCGTGTTTCCGTCATTGATTTGAGAATGAAGGGCAAAGCTTCTCTGCTTAGACGCGTTTCATCATCAATCATCCGTTTTCCCTTTTTCGCACGGGCAACTTTAACAGAAAAAGGCGCGGCAGTGCGGCAGGTTTTTGTGGCTGGTGGGCGTGTTCTGTAGCGTGTGTGATGTGGTGGCGCCACTAATGGAAACTGGAACGGCACTTAGGCAATCTCTAATCTCCAATCTCCTACCCCGTACTTGTTTGGACATCAATAGTCCGGTTTGTTAAGTCCGGATTCCATAATAGGCAAACGATTTCGAGGTGTGGTTGCGACGTGAAATTAATAGAACCATCAGATGTTATGGAATCGTAACCATCGGCGTCACCTTTATTCCCGTGCGTCTCTTCTCGGCCATTCTATTTCTCCCTCCCACCGTTCCATTCTGCTTCTCTAGTCTGCGACCCTGCATATTTTGTTTTGCAAGCAAGCTTTATTTAGACTCAGGGGGGAAGAGCACTCCGATTATTATGGCCGGTTGTGGTAAGAATTAAGGAGCTGAGCACTGCACAGGAAGCGTGTCGTAGGGCGAACCAGATCCAAGGGATACGATCCCCTCCCTCCCCCCCCTTCCCGTTGACGACAGCACGAGAACCAACCGGGCTTTTGCCTATCCACAGCGTTGGGATAGTAGGGCTGAGAGGGAGGCTCGGCAGAGGTTGACATGTGGCAGATGGCGTCCCGACGGCTAGGGAAGACGACCCATTGGCTGGGCTCGGGGCCCCCACACCCCTGAAGCTTGGTGAATGATGACAAAAAAGGTCACCGGTGATCTAAAGCCCTGTTCAGGCAAGGGATCGGCCGCCGCTACTTTGTGCTTGTAGTGGCCAGTGCCAGAGTTTCTCTCTTCCCGGCCCTCGCTGTGGTACGCCGTCCGTCCGTCTTGGTCTTTTGCGACGGCCTTTTTTTGCGAGCCGGGGTCGGGATCTTTTGGAGGAGCTCCCGGGATGCCGCGGTGGCCTGTGGACGTGGGATGACCACCCAGCCCAACCACCAGAACCTGCTCACACTCACACACATGGTTCTGGCACGGCACAAACTGGACCCATACCCTCCAAAGTTAATGAAAGGGGTGCTCATGATGATGATGCTGATACTTTGGCCCCCTTGCCCCCCCGGGGAGTTTGGCTGGCAGCCCTGCTGGATGGAGATGGTATCGATTTTCACGACAGCTAGCTACGATACGAGCGATTATTTTCCCCTTTGTTGTTTTTTGCTTTCTGGAGGCGAAAAGATTGATGCGAATCATTTCCCATTTCTCCCCAAAGCCAGGAGGCTGGATTTGGAGATGTGGGTGCTTGGGCCTCTTTACCTCCGTAGGGCTCTGGTGCTGCTGCTAGTATGCGCTTCTCGCTGGCAGATGTGCTGCTAGCTGCGCATCAGATGTCGGTTGGGGAAATCGTGATTACACGTACAGAACGAACAAGGGGATTAGTCACCGGTCTATCCACTTTGGCCGGCCATTTTCTGTGCCTGAGCCTGAGCCTGAGCCTGAGCCTGTGCTCGGTACGAGTACGTGTACGTGCAGTACTCGTATGTACTGCTTTCAAATAAAATATCAGTGTGGGAGTCCACCTGACCCGGGCAGCAAGGTCGTCTAATTGGGGCCAGGCAAGCTCTGGCAGAAGCACAGATGGAGAGCTCCATACAAGCCGGTTACTCGTACAGGCCATTCGTACAACACAGCAATCCCCGCGCATCTCCATGCCGCGCAACTCGCCCAGTAAAAGAGGCAGAGCGGCAAGATACCAGACGGGAAAAACGGGGGGAGGGTCCCCCTTCTGGTTGCAACTTGGGAGAGACTCGGCGTACAGTACCGAGTTAGATAGGCGCGCATCTCGCACGCATCAACAACTTCACCCAACGCTGGCCAAAACCGTGGAATGGGAATGGGGGGAGGTGGGTTGGGACGGCACGGTTGGGCGCTGACAGTGGTGCCATGAAATAGCCATGTGCTGCAAATGAAAGGGCCCCCCCCGGGGGGTGGGGAGGGGAGTCTCTCCAACGTCGCAGAAATCTAGAGTGTTAAGAGTGGGAGATGGTTAGCCATGTCTCCGGAGGCTCTTTTGAAATTGCTATAGATAGGAACCAGTGACGGGATCATCAACGAGGGCGTCAGCGTGAAGCTTTTTGGAGGCCGGCAATGCTCGTCAAGCAAGAGCATTTCCACCCTCGCTTGCTAGACTCGGCGGAATTCGATGAAGCTAGGCGAAGAACCTCACCCAAAGCTGTGTCCGCGTGTAGGACTGGCGTGATTGGGGGTGCTAGGCGCTTGTCCGCGGCTCTTTTTGGAGGAGCCCATTGCCGGATTGTTGGAGAGCAACGCGCGCTGTTCCCAATATCGCCAGTGCACTAAGTTAGTCGCAGGCGCAATAGGTCCAGAGTCCAGAGGAGCAGGGATTTGGGGGAGTTGGGCGGGAGAAGGCCAATCACAGGCCCGAGCACTACCGATCCGTTTCTTTGGCATCGCTTTCGTAATGGGCGTCATGAGCGGGCCAAAAATAGCTGCCCTTACACAAGCACGTGTGCTGCCACGAGTTAGGCTGAATTCAACCTCCTGGTGGCTGGCGCCTTTTGCAAAGGTCTGGGAACACCGCCAGCCGGCAGCGAGAGTCTCCGGTGAAGGCTGAGCCCAAGCTTTTTCCTTTTTCTCCCTCGTCAACTCAAATCCAAGGTCAAGGTGGCCACGCACACCCCCTCCCCGCTGGAAAGCTCCTGATTAGCATTAGCAGGTAGTTTGGTTAGTTACGTTAGTTGGCTCCTCTATTTACAGTGCAGTATTAGACAAATGGAGGAGTAGAGGAGAGTCATGAACATGGGGGGGATGAGGATTTGAGATTTGGGGAGACGGGCAGTGCTCTCTCTCTTGGCGACAGCCGGTCGCTGTTCCAAATTCCTGCTTGCTTGCTAGCTGCCGCCTTACGAGGCTATCCTGCGTCACCGTTGACGATTCGCCTTTCATGGCGCGCCATGGCTGCTGCAAACCACGCTTCTCATTTGACGTCGGCCGTTGTCTCGGGATGAAAGAGACGCCACGCCGCCAGGGGCGTTAACCGTTTGACTTGATTACATATTCAAGACGGTTCTCTAGCGACAAGCGTGCCAAAAGAGTCGCACGCCCGTCAGTCACTACTTTTTCTATACTTTTTTCCCTCTTCGTTGCCTGTCTGATGCCGCAACCTAAAACTTACGTCCGTCCGGTACTCGTAGCCCATTCATGATGTGCCGCTTGAGCCTGGAGCCATTGGCCCTACGGGCGGAGACAGCATGAGCCCTACAGCGACGCCACCGCAAAAGTAAGGTACGGATACATGCTGATGCCCTTTGTTGGGGGGCTTGCTCTTTATTTCGAGAGAGGAGAGAACAAGACCAAGCCCGCCGCCACCAGGACGGCAAAAAGGTTGGCCGCGATAGGTAAACGTGGAGCAAAGACACGACACACACACGCCTGGCGATAGCGATGTGATTTGGGCTTGCACTTGGTGTTTGTATGTACCTTTTCCCACACAGCGCCATATTCGTACGGAGCTGCCTGGCCATTTGCATTGATGATTACTAAATAATTCTAATAATACTCATACTACAATCAAATTCAACCCTTTTTTCACGGCCTCTATCAAGATTCCGGAGACCAAAACGTGTTATTCGTGCTGCCGCTGTTTTGGGAGCTGTGTCGAGTCATGGGCCAAGAAGAGCGGGACGAGCGAGAGCCATCCGCATTGATTGACAAGGACAAGATTGGAAGGGGGGGCGCATCGGAGCCAGGTCGCCCCTCTCGCGCCGATTCGAGCAGTTGAGCCCCAATCCTTTGGCTCGGGTTAAGCAGCGAGGAGTTGCGATTCGATGTCCGAAGCGGCGACGCGGCAGTAAAGCCAAGGACAAGAATAACTCGCCATGCCGCGACGGGTTTACCAATGATTATCGGGACTCTGAGTGAGCGAGAGCGATATGGAGCACAGTATCCCGGCCGCACAGTTATACTTTTGTTTCTTCGAGCAGCACGCTTTCATGTTTGCCGATTTTACCGGGAGCCGGTAGAAAGCCTAAAGCACACCGGCGCCGTCTCTGCGTGCGTGCCAGAGCGGGCTGCGGGACGCATTGTAGACTGCCATTGCCAAAGACACAAGACACAAAGAGGCATTTCTGCCACCGTATCGTACTGTAACACATGTATTCACGGGCCTCCGGTCGGAGAATGGATGCCGGCAAAAGGTCCGCCAACGCATTCCATCTTCCAACAGGTGGCGGCAAGCCCTTCCTCCCAAGGCGCATTGGCCAATGCGAGGCGCGGAATGGCCAGATGCGATTTCGTCCGAAGATCCTTCTACACCGTTAGCCCAGCAAAAAGGAATGGCCGGTGCCTTAGCCGTGGTCGTTCCTTTCTGGGCGCAATGTTTCGAATGCAACGTCTCGACGTCTAGAAGGCTACCCCCCTACTAGGAGCAATGGCTTGGGCCTAAACAAGACACTTGAACTGTGTGCTAGCTAGCAAAAATAGGAGAAGTCGAAGCAACTCGCACTCGCGCTTGTGTCTGCTAAGCATTCTGAGCATCGAATAGCATTAGAGCCATGTCAGCGCAGCCCTATGACGACGACGGCACAGCGTTGGCTTTGCATCCTAGCCCGGCCACTTGTACCTTACTTGTTATGCCTGCCGGTAACCTAGCAGACCGACAGTCCCAGTCCCCATACCGCATCTTTGCAGCTTTTCACATCACATCACATCGTATAAAACCGCATCGTATCACGCCTAGGACACGCGGGCGGTACGAGTCCATGCTGGTGCGAGTTGCGAAACAGCCAGCGTATGTTTGGACGAGTACGAGGTGCCGACAGCCAGCGGGTATACGTCGGGCGGAAAGGCGGAGAGGGCCCAACAATTGCCCCGGCGCACGGCCTGCTCATCATACTGTAAACAGGTGCGAGTACCCACGTGGTGGTACCTACGTTTGGCATCCGGGCTGGTACAGAGCCATAGAACCGTAGCGGCACAGGTACCTGCCGGGCAACGATAGGCATGTAGGGGGGAAGAGGCGGGAGAGGCGGACTGGTCTTTTGGCGCTTCTTCTGGGACCCGCGGCTGGTCTGGTGGCAGTGGCAGTAGCAGCCAGGCAAGGCAAGGGAGAGCAGCCCAGCAGCAGACAGCGATGAATGCTTGCCAGATGGGGCACTGGCACTGGATGGGATGTGCGAAAAACCGGGCAAATTTGGCTCATGACAAAACCAGCGACCAGAGCCAAAGCCATGTAGTGCTACAATTAGTAGCGGCACAACAGCAAACACGCGCTAGGCACGTATTGGGAGGGGGGCAGCACTGACACTAAGAAAAGTACCTCCCGGGTGCCCTGTCCCTAAAGCTAGAGGCTAGAGGCAGAGGCAGGCAGGACCTAGAGAGTTGGTCCTCACGCCTCCCGACAGGCGGCAGTAGCGCCACTCCCCCCCTTGTTGCCTTTTGCTGCTCTGGCCCCCCCCCGCTCTATCCGCAGTATCCAGCACCCAGTATCCCACTCGCAACTGCCTGCAGACTCCCACACCATCGCCTACCGTCACTGCAACAGGCACAAAACATGCGTCGATGTGCTGGCCACACCCCCCTGCACAAGTGCAAGTGCCTACTGCAGCATAGGCCACTCCTGCCGCACCCCCTGTCCAGCCAGAACGCACAGCCAGATCCATCCGCGCAGCCCAAAACCTCGTGTCTTGTCCTGCTACCGCCACGCCCCGGCACCGATCGACCATGCTCCTGTAGACGGGATGGCCTGTCACAGCGTTTTTCAGTGCACGCCTCACCCCCCTCCACCTCCAGAACAACGCTAATTACATAGTACAAAGCCTTGCTGGGCGGGCTTCACAAGGCCTGCCCCATGCAGCCCTGCAGCATCCGTCCAGGGTCTCGTCGCATACACACTGAGCTTTGGACTGACACAGGCAGATAAGTCGAGGCATCTAGTATTTAACTCTCTCATCCTCCCATCTTGGTCCAACCCGTCATGACCATTCCGATCCAACAATTGCTCAGACTCACATCTGCTATATAATACCAATCGACATCTCATCCCAATCATCCATCTTCATCTTTACTCTTCAAGTCAAAGCAGAGCCTCTTTTACTTTCTTCCCAAGGCCGGCTTTGCTCAGCACCCCTCCAACAGTCATATCGGCTCTTATCTCTCTACTACACAACATCATCAACACATCAACACATCACACAATGGCCATGTACGCCATCTCACAACAACACCCCTACGCCTACGCTGCAGTTGCAGCACCGGCTCCTCCACCTCCCAGGCACTGCTCAAACCACGGCACCAGCAGTGCTTTCAGCAGCTCTGCCCACCCTGACGAGGATTGGACCAAGATCTCAGATCTTGCCGAGCGCAGGAGGATACAGAACCGCATCGCTCAGCGCAATTACCGTATGTCTCACTCACAGCCTCTTTGGAATTGGGAGCGCAATCTTTTTTCCTTTTTCTCTTTTTTCCCTCCCTCTAACACTCATTTGCAGGCAAGAAGCTTAAGCGCCGTCTGGAGGACCTTGAGCGCCGCGCTGGATCCGAAGAGGGCGATGCTGAGAAGCAGCCTTCGCCAGTGCAGTCCAACACCAGCCCCAACAAGATCACCAAGCGCCAGTCAATCTCCAAGGCACACAAGGCCCACCAGCCTGCTCCCGTCCGCCTGCCGACTCCTCCCAAGGCCATCGTGTCTCAGGGTCAATTCACTCCTCCCATGGAGTCGCACGAGGAGCTTGCCTTTGCCCCTCCCGCCTACCACCACCACGACGAGCGCGAGCGCTCCAACACGCCGCCCGTCTTCTCCTACACAACCTACCCGGCTCCCGATGAGCTGCTCATCAACCCTTACGGATCTGCTCACGCCTATCCCACCATGACCACCGCTGAGGCATACCCCAACTACCTGACGGCCACCGCCATGCCTGCTTCGCTGCCTCCTCTGGGACACTACAGCGAGCCCATCAAGCGGGATCTGTATCCCGACAACGTCATCAGCCCCTACATTGGCTATGGCTTCATGCCCACTCACGACATGGGCATGCCCACTCCCTACGACCCATCCAACCCTCTGGTGAGTTCGGCTAGGCATCTCTCCTACTCTCGGGATCTGCGTTGCTGATTCTGAATGCCACAGACTCCTCCTCTGTCGCACTCATACGACCACTCGGCTGCCTGCTCTGAGACGGGCTTCGAGTACCCTACAACCCCGCTGTCCATGCCCGGATCTCCGGCCATGATGCAGCACCAGCATTAAATGGAAGCAAAAAACAGAAAAGCAAAACGAAGAAAAAAACACGCAAAACAGAAAAAAACACCAGATTTCATACAATTCATCATCCTCCCTTTCCATCTACACTCCGAAGTACATATGCACCACCTTGTCACAAACTACTCTACCCGCCTCTTCACCGAGTCCGATCACCGGACTCAACAAGGTGGTGGTGATTTGACATCACGAAAAATGATTTCTGGTTTTATGCACGGGGTTCACAGCACTACTAGTGCGCAAAGGGTTACTTTTTTATTATTTTTTCATGAGGACAAATAGCATGGCGATTGTGGGTCTCGTTCACTCTTCTTGGGGAGCCTTGGTTGAGCTCAATATTTGTGTTACCACCTTTTTTATACTTTTTTGTTTGTGTTCTTTACGAAGTGGAAATTGGGATGACTTGAAAGATGGGTTGGGTTGGCGGGCGTTCCAAGGAGCAACGGATTGATCGATGTGATTAGCATCTCATCTGGCTTGGTCTTTTGGGTACATGTACTCTAACCTGATGCTCAGCACAGGTTTGTTGGATATAGCTTTTTTTGGTGTTTTCTCTTTTTTTTTACTTTATTCTCCATTTTGGATTATACTAGATATCCCCGCCGGAATACTTTACGGATCGGGCACTAGAAGCGTGCTCAAATATCAAAAAAACACACATTGTTCTTACACTTCATCATCTTGTGCCTACATCGTGCCTGCATCGTGCTTACAGCTTGCCTACAGCTCTACCAGGCAAATGATGATTTGGAAGTGAAGTCAAACAGCTGCTGTCCCGACGCAGCGGACGAACCGGCGACGCTACTGGCATGGCTTGGTTGGCTTGGGTTCACTGCCCAACTGCCATGTGGACGAAGCCACACTACCTCGAGATAGTTTGGTTGCGGCCGCAGCGGTAAAAATAGTAGCGCCACATGCGCCCGGCGCTTGGAGTGCAAGCGAAGGCTCGTTGCTTTCTTGTCCCTATTCTTTTTTGCTTGTCTACGGAAAGTTTCTGCGGGGAGAATTTGGCCGGAGAAGCGGAGGCTTTTTCTGCGTCTCGAAGTGGCATTTTCTTGTTTTGCCCATGGACATGCGTGTTGCGTGAAGGAAGGATTTCTAAGTAGCGCTTCCTTTGTTTCTAGGGAGCAGCCATCCCCGTCACCTATCAAGCACGTGGGAATGGAGGCGTTTGGGCGAGTTTGTTGCGTGTCAGTGTGTAGGTATTTGGCATCTTTTTTGGGGTTTGCTGGCTTTTGTGGCTCGTGGCTTGAGATCGGATTTACTTCGCCTTTGTTACGCCCCCCCGAAGTTTGGTTTTGACAGGTTTGTCTCCGCTGGAGTTTTCGGAGCTTAGAGCCAGAGCAAAGAGGGCATTACTAAGGAATCTGGAGAAAAAGTCCGGAGTAAGAATACTCCGCTCCAGCTTGCCTCGCCCGATCGGAGTATCCGCACGAGACCTAGCCGAAGCTACAACTTACTCGCTGCAACATTGAATCTTGACCCAACAAGGCTACCGCTGGCGAGGCTACGGGACTCTAGAGCAGCAAGTTTGAAACTTCGCCATCTCTTGCTTGCAATTAATAATTCAATATCAACAAAAGAAAAAAAAAAATCGCCGCCGCGCAATCTCTTTCCTTCGAACAATGATGCACGCCACGACTCGCTGGCAGCAACTGCTCTATCTGTATGGTGGAGACCAGTAAGAGACTCCCCTCCCTCAACTTTGCGCTGGTTCCTTATCCGCCTTTTGCCTGCGCCGCGATGGCTTCTTTGTGTTTTTTGTTTTCCTCACCCCTCTACCTTTTTTCCTCATTTGGTATACACACTGTGGGAGCCTATCATGCCCTAATCTGATCATTGGCTCGATTGGGAATGAGTTGGAAGCGAATCGGAAGTCTAGACCACACGGCGGTGGCTTTGGGGTTTGGAATCTTGCCTCTTTCCTTCTTGGCACCGCAGCACACCCCTTGATGGTATGAATAACTGGGGAAAGGGGGAAGATGAAGCCATTGGAGGTAGCAAGCAAGCGAGCGGGCAAAAAAGAAAATGAAAAAGGAAAAAAGTGAAGCATATCGAGGCTAACTGAAACCCGCCCCTACCAACAAAAAGACCGTGGGACTCTTCATTATGGGTCACTTCAGATGATCGCGTCCGCGGAGGCGCCAGCCAGTCCCACCTCTCCGTGATAAACCCCGAAAAGGCCCGGTTCTACGGCCATCTCGATACCCAGACGCTTGGAGGTGCCGGCTTCGCATCGCAGCATAGCTTGGGGGTGTTGGACTGGGACCTGTCGGGCTACGAGGGCATCATCGTTTCGGTGGCCGAAGCCGATGGCAAACGATACGCGCTGACGCTCAAGGACGAGATACCCCCGAAGAGGGGCGACGGGCGTGAGGAGGCTGGTATCAGCTGGGAGGCCGAGTTCACGGTCTCGGAGGCGGGATCGGAGATTGACTTGAAGACGGTGTTTTTGCCGTGGACTGCGTTTGAGCCGACGTATCGAGGCAGGCCGAAGCCGGATGCGAAGCCGTTGGATCTGTCTAAGATCAAGCGAGTTGGTTTGATGATGCGAAGGTGAGGAGAACCCACGATCTACCCCCTTTGAAATGACTCGATGCGTGGGGGACTCTGGAATTGACTCGTGAGAATTATAGTTTCTTTGGAGACCAGGAGGGGGACTTCTCCATCGAAATCCATGCTATTGCCGCTAGGAGAGAGATTGAAGAGGATGAAGAGGAAGAGGACGACGATCCTAAGGCTGCTATTGAAGCTGCGGAGTTGAACAAGGTGCAAACCTGCCGGCGTAGTTGGTTTCGAAGGCTGCTATGTGGGTTAATTTGAAGGAGCTGCATCAATTGGATTAATGATGGGCAATTGAAATAACGATGAAGCATATGATTTGACCTATAGCCGACTTATACGGCTTACGACAACTTATTCACAAAACAGACGGACAACTGCTCTACACAAACCAACTACTTAATCAACATCTGCTTTGGTCATTCGACGTCCTATATTGTGCTTGGAATGTGAAACTGTCTTGATAACGAAAATGTCTGTCTACACAGTGACCAGTTGCATGCGAATGGCTTCCCGCAGCTGGATCGCAACAGGTTGCGGCAACGATGTCGTCACTACTTGAAGCTCGATTTAGCTCTTCCAACGCCATGCTGCATTGTTATCGGACAAATTGCACCCCCTGCTCACGGCAATGACAGGTAGGTAAAACTACTAAACATTTTATTTTAAAACCTCGCTTTGAATTGATTATACCTAGGTATCGGTTATCTGCTGCTAGTTTCATCCAAGGCTGGTATTCTTTCCGGTTCTCACCAAAGCTGCCATTGCCACGCAAAGCAAGTTCACAACAAAATAGCATTGACACCACAACCATAATCCGATAACTACGCAATACAGTCAGACTCTAATCGTGTAATCGCCTCAGCAGCCATACCTCTACTCCGTACTCGACCGACTTTCACTCCCCCCTTCATGCGATCCTTGGCCTTGCATCGCCACCGCCTTTGCCCTACCAAGGCGCCGTGGCGATCCTTCAAGTTCGCTGCCCGGATCGGAGCGCTTCGTTGACGTGTCCGGGTCCGGGTGACCTTACCTGGCTGTCGGCGCGCTAGGCTTATATCTCCCCGCGACTTGCGAGCTCAATTGCGTTGCTTTGCTTACGCACGCCGGCGCGAAGCTTCCTGGGCTGCCGGCCCTCTGCTGAGAGGAGGGAGGGGGTGGATGGGCGGGCGCGGGTGCGGATGTCGCTGGCGGGAATGCTGAGCTCAAGGCAGCCCGTTTGACGGGAATGACTGCGGCATGGGCTGTGCGGCGTGAGAGCTCTCTTTTGACCTGTTAATCCCGGAGTTCCTCACGGCCGGAGGAGGGGAGAGAATTTGATCTTCTTACTTCCCCGGCTGTCATCCTCCGAAACAAATCAGACTCAGACACTTATACACACTGTTTTCTCTCTGTGTCCCCCTTTTTTGTAACAAAAGGCTGAAACTAATTGCTCTTCCACCACCAAAACCTAAAGTTGGCTCCTTCGAACCTCTTCCACCGCATTTCTTACCAACAAGCCATGATTCCAGATTTGCTTCCATCCGCCACAAGCCTGCTGCCTTCTTTTTCTAGGCCATCTGAGTCTCACTCGAGCTTATGCCCGTGATTTTATGCTCAACGCCGTTCCCAGCGGCAGTGCTGTCATCTGCTACTTCCCGAGAATGACTGCCGGGGAGGCTTTCGCTCTGGCTTGCGTGCGAGGTTGTTGGCAGATGCACAGTGACGAAAGGATGAGAAGCTTAAGCTACATGATGATGAAGAGTTTATGACACGCGGGCTTTTCTCAAAGAGGCATGTATAGAATCCTACGAATCGAGATCCTATAGGGAGAGTTCGAAACACATGGATGAAACTAACGGAGGATGATGGCTGATTGTCGGTTCTCCAACTACATACTTTGGAGAAATCGTACTCTGGACCGGCCTAGTTACTGCGACAGCCGGGGTGCTCGCCCGACGGCCGATGCAGCAATCTCTTGGTCTATCTGGGGGAGTCTTGGGTATCCTCGCGACCACTGCCTTGTCATTTCGTCAGTCCTGCGTTTGCAGCGTTTTTGCTCCTCAAGGTGTCTGGTGTACCCCTTTCTGAAGCAAAGTATGACAAGCGGTATGGCGACAGAAAGGACTATCAAGAGTGGAAGCAGAATACGCTGAGGCTGATACCGAAGCTTTGGTAAGTTGCTATGTGAGTTTCTCCCCATGAGTGTTTTGAGTCTCTCTCCTCAGGAGTTGGTTACTTGGAAGAAGACAGCAAGTTGCAATATGAGATTTGTACAATTATATATAAGTTTATATGATTTGAATCCATCTAGAAGAGATGGTGATATAGACGTCATGCTTGGTGCAAATCAATGGACCATGATGCAGTTTTACTCATGTCATGCATTCCACTCCACTCTCCCATTTTCATTCGCTACCTTTGCTTATTTGTAAAAGGACTTGACCTTTTCAATCTCGTCATAGCTGCCCATGAAGATACCTGACCTGTCGTGGATGTGCTCTGGTACAACCTCCAACATTCTGTTCATTGTGCTGTCAACAGCCTGGCCGCCAGCTATCACATGCCAAAGTTAGTCTCCAGTCGAATTTTACCAAACGGGCTGATATGACGACTTACCATTCTCAAAAACCAAGGCCATGGGCGCACACTCATACAGAATACGAAGCTTGCCCTTGGGGCTCTTCTTGTCCGCCGGGTAGGCGAAAATGCCTCCGTACAGAAGCGTACGGTACGCATCGGCAACCATGCTACCAATGTAACGGGCGCTGTAAGGCTTGCCGTCGGCCTGTGCCTGCTTGAGCGAGTTGAAGTAGTTGATGGTCTTGTCCTCCCAGTACAGCGAGTTGCCCTCGTTGACGGAGTAGATTGCGCGCGACTTTGGGATGCGCATATCCGGGTGAGACAGGATGAACTCGCCGATGCCGTTGTCGAGCGTGAAGCCGTTGACGGTGCTGCCCTTCATGGTCATGACGAGCTGTGCGGAGGCGCCGTACATTGTGAAGCCGGCGGCGACGAGCTCAGTCCCGGGCTTGAGGATGTCCTCCTTGCTGGCGACGTTGACGCCGTCGGGGATCTTGTGGATGGCGAAGATTGTGCCGACAGACACTCCGGCATCCAAGTTGGAGGAGCCGTCGATGGGGTCGCAGGAGACGATGTAGCGGGCGCCGGCGGCCTGGGGGAAGTGAATCTCGGTTTCTTCTTCCTCGGACACGAGCATGGCGACTTTGCCGCAGGAGCGCATGGCCTCGATGAAGAGGTCGTTGGAGATGACGTCGAGCTTCTTCTGCTCGTCGCCGGTGGTGTTGGAGGAGCCGGCCAGACCCGTCAGGTTGACGAGGGTGGCGCGGCGGATGTAGTAGGCGATGGACTTGAAGGAGTATTGGAGAGCATGGCAAAGCAGTCTGTTTGAGTTGAATGTTAGTCTTTTGCTGTTTGCTTCTTTTGTGGGAGAGTGGGATAGCAGTGGTAACGCAGTGCAACTCAATGGAGTGACTTCATTCAATGCTCGTGCAACTCGTGCAGTGGAAAGTCAGCAGGTGAAATTTGAAAACGTACGTGAAATCACCAGTGGCTTCTTTGTGCTTAATCTGCTCTTCGGTAAGGAAGCGCGTGAGTGTGATGATGTGGGTGTTGACTTTTTCGCCCGTGTCTGCGCTCATGGTGGCGGTTGTGAAGCGATGATGTAATTTGGGAGAAGCTTGGTTTTAGTTATACAGCAGAGGAGCTTGCTGGTGGTGGTGAATTCCGTGTCCCTGGATGTAGATCTCGGCGACGCGGGTATTATGGGAAGCAATTGGATTGAAATGAATCGAATTGAGGTTGAGAGAAAGAGTTTGGGGATTCTATTTGGAGAAGAGGGTAGAGCTGTAGTGAGGCAACGGCTAGCACTGGTACAGCTCGGCAATACAAGCGATGACGCGGGGTATATCGTGGGGTTTTGGAGAGAGTTTCAGAGGGCAGCTTTTTTTTTTTAGGGGCGAAGAACCACGGCTCATATATAAAGACGAAGAAGAAGAGAAAAAAGGGGCAAAGGGAAAATAGAAAAGTTCCCTGACTACGGACAACTGATCACAAGACTCCCGAAAATCGAAAACGATCGCGTAAACCCGCGCTGTCCATCCGGCCGGAACTAGAACGCAGGTCCCTCTTTGGCCAGGTTAAGTTCCCTCAGGATGGCTTGTGCGGTGCGGCTTCGTTCAACGGGAGCGGCTACTCTAGGCCCTTGAATTTTGATTTGCATTGGGATGTGCCAGGCAGGGGTGGGAGAGAGAAGGGAAGATCCGTCTTTGCATTCTTTTGGCTTCCTTTTCTCTCCTATCAAGTGACAAAACTCTTACACAGCATAGAGTCATGCTTAACCGACTATACCGAAGGGGCACCGGGCATGAGACTTGGCTTCCGGGCTACGGTATTCACCGGATGAGGGGAGCTTTTGCCCTCTTTTCTTTCGGCCCCCCTGGAGCTTCTTTCTTTCTCTATCGTGTTGATAATCCTTCCCCCTACGGACGGAAAAAGATTCAGACCCTTTTTTCTCCTTTGCCCGGTTAAGCCCGTTCGTTCGCTACCCAGCTGCCGAAGCAAAGTACAAGTGCGCAATCTGTGTAAGAGGATTTCCCGGGAAGAAGAAGCCAAGGGGAAGCTAAAAGATTCCCGTTTCGGGGCGGTGGCGCGGAGGGTCCACGTGAGTTGGGCTGCAGCTCGGGATGGGGAGCCGAGCGGTGCCGAGAGGGAAATGATAAGTAATGATAATGATTAGCTAAGGAGTGTGTCAGGGCGAAAGCTTCTTGGAGATTTATCCGGCATTACTCCGCTGAACATATTACATAATCTTTCAACTTACATAATATAGTTCCATTACATAAGCTTTCTCTGATTTCACGTGCCAATTGCTGCCGGTTTGCGGGCGGGTCTACTCCGGAACCCGGCCTCTCTTACCCCAGCCCCAATTCTTTTTTCCCTTGTCCAAAACCGATCATAACTCTCCCTCTCCAGTTTTTTGGGTGGTTGTCTCTTGTGGGGGAAGTTCAAGTCACTCACTCACTAACAAAAGTTATACCTCGGCATGTGGCCTTCGCACGCCAACGACTTGCCGTCGGCTTTGCGACTCCAACGAACTTCCAGTCGCGGCTAAACCATCACCCTCTCTCTCCAAACTTTCCTCACGAGAACTTGTTCCTTTTTTGCTTCTTCTTTTCTTCCCCCATACTATTCATTCTTGTTGCTTCAATTTGATACCGCCTTTTGTTACCTTTTTGTTTCAGAGGAGGAAGAACAGACGTCATCACTCTTCAGCGATAAACTGCCAACTTTTTTCTCCCCGTCCGATGAGCGCGTGCTCTACTACACATCTCACCTAAACAACATACCCTCCAAAAGAAAGACGTCAAACATGGTTGCCGACACCCTCGTCTACCACCCCACGGTGGCCCATTACCTGCGCTTCGTCGCCACCACCGTCGGCCGCGACAAGATCCTCCGCACGATCCAGTACTTCGCCCGCTTCTACGCCTGGTACCTCCTCCGCACAAACGGCTCCCCCTCGCAAATGGCCCCCTGGAACGCCATCAAGAAGCAGTTTGGCCTCGCCCGCAAGATCATGCGCGTCGGCAAGAACGTCGAGCACTTCAAGGCCGCCGCACAGGCCGCCGACGCAAAGGCCGTCGAGCCCTTCTTGCGCTACGCCGCCGTCGGCAGACAGGTGGGCTATGCAGGGTATCTCACCTTTGATGCCCTGACGGTGGGTGATGCTGCGGGTATTCGCAAGTGGCATGCTGCCAAGACGCTGCAGCAGCACGCTTCTCGCTTCTGGGCCATGGGCCTCATCTTCAGCATTGCCGGCCAGGTCTACACGCTGTACCGCCTCAAGCAGCGCGAGGCCAAGATTGATCGTAAGGACGGCGAGGGCGTCGTTGAGAGCAAGCAAATTCTCAAGTGAGTTTCCCCCCTCCACACAACCATTCACCACCTCGTAGAAATCTCGTGCTAATGTGTGTAATCTCTCCAGAGAGCGAGCCGCCAGCCATCTGCAGCTCATCTCCGACGTCTGCGACCTTACCATTCCTTCCTCTGCCCTCGGCTGGGTTGGCTTCGACGACGGCTTCGTCGGCCTGGCCGGAACTGTCAGCAGTGCCATCGGCGTCTACTCTCAGTGGAAAAAGACCGTCTAGACGGACGGATTCGAGACAAATAACGAGCTTCTAATACATGTTCGCAGCACCAGCAGCGCCCATCCTTGGATAGAAGCGAGCATGTTGAATGAGAATGTGTGAACAGGGAAACAGAAACAAGGCCTGTGTATAATACCAATGATGATGACCGGCCATATGTGGATTTGTATATCGCGTTTCACCATGTCCTTGTCAAATATTTGCATCTTTTACGTCATCTTTATTTACTCTTCGACTAGCACGTGCCTGGGTCAACACATCTTTTCTTGCAAGAATGTCAAAGTAAGATAAAAGAAGAAAAAAATCAAAATAAAAGCAATCAAGTGCAAAGGAAAAAGACCAAATAGAACCCTGCGTAAATCCCGTTAAATCATACAGCCTGACTCTCTTGCCTCCCATGTGATATCATGTGTTCCGGAGCTCCCCCCCTTTCCAGCCGGTTAGTAGTCCCATGTTCATTCTGCTCATCAAGAGCCTCGGTCCTGGTATATCGTCCTCCGGTATCCATTCTTATCGAAATAGCAACTAGCAGGCTGCTTGACCTATTGTTAAGTCCAAAACTCCCATCCCCCCACCTAGCTACGAACCCGTAAGAACCAGTCTGTCCAGGCCAGGCGGCCAGCTTTTCGAATTGAGAAAAAGATCCGTGTGCGGTCATCTATCACCTTTGGTCAAGGCCAATTCCGCCAAGAGAGCGAGTTTATACATAAAGGACACGTTGAAGAAAAACGGGCGTAGGGGAGATAGAGTAAAGGCTCTATGACATGTGCTCTGAGACAAGAGACAGAATAGAGAGAAAAATTTACCAGTAGCGCCCGCCACGATCGTAATCACGCGCATACCCTCCCTCTCGGGGGTATGCTGGTTCTCTTGGAGGGAATTCTCTTGGTGGCCGATCGTACGCCGGTCGACCACCGTTTGCGTAAGGGTCGGGAGGTGGCGGGTAATCGCGGCGGTAAGGCTCCTCATAACGGCCTCGAGGCGGCGGGTAATCTTCCACCGGTCGCCGGGGAGGCGAACGATAGCGCGGTGCTCTATCATCGTAGTACTCGCGACGGGGGCTTCGGTCACGATAGCCGTACGACGGGCCAGCTTCGCGGCTGTATCCTCGGTGAGGGGGTCCTCGGCGGTCATAGTTATCAAACGATGGGGGAGGGTAGGGTCGGCGTCCTGGCGAACGGGATCGGCCACGGTCCCGCGGTGGCATATCGGGTTGAGTCTAAAAGTCACATGGGTGAGCAAGCGGCCCATGCGAGGGAACATGCCAACAACTTACGTCAACGAGGCACTGGACGCGACTTCCTTTGAATTCGCGGCCATCTAGCTTTTCGACAGCTGTTCTCAGGTCTGCGGCAGTCTCGAATTCGACAAAGCTGAAGGGCGTTTTTGTTAGCAACAATGGCATGAGTTGAAATGACGGATTAAAACTTACCCTCGACCATTGGAGTCACGGCCAGTCTCAGAGTACACCACGTCAAGGCTTGATTGACGGGCGAAATCTTTCAGGTCCTATTCGCAGAATCCACGTAAGTCGTTGCCAAGGAGGAGGAGAAAAGCCTCGAGTAAAAAAAAGTCCACGTATCGGCACGCCAAAAAATCCATCAAGTCAGGAACCAGGGATGCCAGGCCGGAGTCGCCAGTCCAGAACGAAGGGGGAGGGAAGGACGATGCCTGGTGCATACGTCGACCCAAAGCAAGGCACAGCAAACCAAAACGCTCCAAGTATATGATAGAAAAGGCACGCAAGTCCCGTGGAATCCAGGAGCAATAAACTGGGAGAGGGAACAGACCTGCCAACTGGTATCATTCGGAAGTCCTGTAATCTGCATTCGATGAGGAGTTCTACGCGGTCGCGGCGGAGCACGCTCGTGCCCCATACCGCCCTCTCGGTGTCGAGTTCCACGGGCAAACTGAACGGTGAGGCGTTCTCCCATAAAATCGGATCCATCTTTATTACAATCGCGGATTAGCATCCAAGCAGAACGAAGGCGACAGGGTCATTGGACGGGGAAGGCAAAAGATGTTGGGGTGATGACGTACGAAAGGCTATATGACGGCGGCAAGAAAGCGCGACTGGTTAGCAACGATGGACCCCATAGCAAGCATTGGTTGGACGGGGCGGGCGAACCTGGGACGACATCGCGGGCGTCCATTGCGTCCTTGTACTCGATGAAGCCGAAGCCATTCATCAGCTTTACTTCGGTAATCTCTCCGGTACCGTGGGTCGCAAAGTGAGCCTCGACATCGGCCTTGGTAGCTGCGGGAAGCCAGTTAGTGGTAGCCACGGGGAGCGGGAAGCAATGGAGATGGACCATGTCGAGGGAGGTTCCCCAAGTACAGCCTGGTGGACGAAACCTCAGTCATGGCGGGCGACCTAGAGTCCGCGTCTGGTAAGAGTCCGGAATCTGGTGCTTTCTCGTGAGCACTGGGCCAGTGGTTCTGGTTCCTTTTTTTCTTCTTCTTCAGCGGTCCGGTGAATTCGTCCAAGGAACACGGCGGGCGAGCGAAATATCACAAGCGCAGCCGGAGGAAGGATGAAGAAAATGGACGGCGGCTAGTGTGAGGAGCTGAGAATCAAGGCCAGAGCTGCTATCTATCAAGCGAGAGGAAGAGCGAAAGAGGCTGGCGGCTGCAAGGTTGCGTGGGGACGGTCAGAGGCGGCAGAATCGCCGAAAGCGGCATAGTAGGCCCCGCGTTTGAGTGTGTTAGCGGCAAAGAGGCAAAAAAAAGAGGCACGAGCAAGAGCAAAAGAGGGTCGAGATGCTGCCACCTGCCGGGCCTTTTTTCTGCCGTCCGCGTGCGCTCGCAGAGACGCAGGTGACCATGCAATCGGGACCCGCCTAGCCCATGCTCTCCGCCTGCTCTTGCCTTGCTACTGTCCTGCACCTGCGTACATAGGCGACCTGGTAGGCGAGGACCCGATTACGTAGTTGGAGGTACGGAGTGCGATGGTGTGCATGAGGCGCTGGGAAAAGTACCAATGGACCGCAGTCCATGGTATGTAGCTCTCAATTACACGCGCATACACGTACTTCGCACTACCACCACCTGCTATGTACCTTGTCCTAGACTGCAGTTGCCTCATCCAGACAGCGCGCTAGGGCCCTATCTGTCACCAAGCACGAGTTACTCAAGTTACATGGTATCATTTGTCTCAATCTTCCTTGCAGATCCAAATGTCATGGGGTGAAAAAACACTCACAGCCACAACCCAAGCGAGCAAACCTACATGAGACAAAGCAATTGCGCTTCTGCGAGTTACCTTATCTCTTCCTAGGGTTTCATAGCCCTCGTCACCCCTACCAATTGCCATCCATGACCAGCTTGCATGATGCTCTAAGGACTGACTTGGATGGCACGGAGCGCTAAGAGGTTTGTTTGCGTATTGATGTCATTACAGTACGACTACGCAAACAATGGATTAATGAGAAACACGGCCAGACAGTGTTTCGGAGTGAAACAATTCTTGATAGTACAGACTGTACTTGTGCTAGGTAGTATTTGTTAGTGCAACTCGCCTTGCGTGAAACATGGATGCTTCCTCTAAATACGGTCAAACATCACGCATCATGGGTCAAAGGGATAACAACTGATAACACATGTATACTCCAATGACTATAAGAAAAGAACCAAACAACAGGAAAGAGAAAATTCCCATATCGCGAATCATATTGCTATTTATTAATACGTAATCTAAGCGTGGATGAGTAACCAAGATGTATGCCTCATGTGCTCCCCAATGTGATTAAAGCGCCACCCCCAAACAATTCTCATCCCTTCGCTGGCGCTCATCCGACTGCCAGTCCCGAAATCCTCACACCAACAAGGGTAGAAAAGAAAAGTGGAAAACGAAAGAAAAGAAAGAAAAAAACTCCGGCTACGTACGTGAAATGCCGCAACATGCCATATACAAAGGCGCCCTCTCCCTCTATTTTCAATAATTGTCATTACTCGCCAGCATGGCGAGAGAAACTTTCCCCTCTGCAACATCAGATGGAGGATCCCTTTCCCATCCCTCCTTTTCCCGTCCTTTGCTTTCGCTCAAGCCAACTGTCCCATGCGTTCGCCGATGATATCGCTGGCCTAGAATATGCGTCTCCTTTTTTTTCGTCTTTCGTGTCTGAGAGAATAGATTAAAGCCTCAGCTCCTTGAGGATCTGGTCCGCCATATTTTTGTACTGCCAGGTGTTTCCAGTCATTCTCTTGAACTGGATGCCGTGAAGAGAAAGCAGAGGAACCTTGACGATAAAGATCTCAAACTCCATCACCATGCTGCCTCCCAGATCGCTCTGTACTTGCGTCGTCGTCTCTCCAGGCACGCGTCTCGAGACTCCTCCGCTCCTTCGGGGGATGCTATCCACCGACTCCTCGGAATTGGAGTAGCTGTGATCACGGGTGCGGTCACGATCCTGTCGTCCCGGGGTCCTTGGGGTTATGGGGGATCGTTCCATCTGGGGGATGTCGTCGCGATCACGGTCCTCACCTCGCATGAGGCCACCAAAGCTAAAGCGACGGCGGTGCCCCGGAGTGTTTGATGGCGGGCTGCTAGGGGTATCATGAACCCTGTTCAAGTCGATGCTTGGGGTGTACTTGCAGCTGAAGCCACCTCGAATTTCGATGTAGTCGACATTGAGTTGCTTCAAGACCCTTCGAATATCGGTACGAATGGCTGGAACCGTCTTGCCGGAGGTGGTTGAAACGCTGAAAAGACCCTTGAGGTATACTGGCTTGGCCAACTCAGCGCTGTCTAATCTATCAGTGGAAACGCCACTTTGCTCCTGCTCCAAGTCCGTTTCTTCAGGCACATTAGACTCTTGGGCAGCTTCTCTACGAAGTCGACGTTGCTGAACGCTCTCACGGCGGGCGTGTCCCAGTGATTTAGCTCTCATTGCCACCGACTGCGAATGCCCATGGCCCCTTTGCACCGTTGAGGACTGGTCGTCTGAAACTGATTGGTCCGAGCCGCCCGTCAAGGGTGGCTCTCTCGCTGACATGCTGCCATTGTCTCGTCGACGAAGGTCTGCTGAGTTAACGCTGGTCGATCGTCCGAGACCTGATTTCCGCGATCCACGAACGCCGCCTGCAGACATCGGGGGGCTCAGAAGCTCGCTATGTTGCGGCTGGCTGCCGCCAGACGGTAGTGCGATGCGGCCTTGGTCGTCACGGTCTCGCCGTCCTCGTCGGATGCTGAAGCTCTTTCTAGGCGCTGTAGGAGCACCTTCAGGTGGAGAGTGAACATGTACCACAGGAGGGTGGGAGCGGTCTCTCTCCCTTTCCGTAGGCTCCCTGCGTTTTCGAGTGCTGAAGCGGCGCAGTAGGCCGGCAGCGGTGCCTTCTTTCTTCTGTAGCTGATCGGCCTTTGTCTCTGGTGGTATGGGGACATGCTGCTGCTTCACCAGATCCGGTGCATCATCTTCACCATGAGTACGAGCTCTGGGCCGAGTTCGCCCGCCCGTAGGTCTCTCGCCCGGCATTTCATACGCTGCAGGATTGGTGTGAGCTGCCTGCGGGGGTGCCAAATCTGGCACGCCCTCTGGTAGTTTTTCACGTTCACGCTCACGCTCACGCTCGCGTTCTTTCTCCTTCTCCTTCTCCTTTTCGCGCTCTCGTTCCCTCTCCTTTTCACGTTCCCGCTCGCGCTCGCGCTCTCGTTCCCTTTCTCGCTCCTTCTCCTTTTCCTTGTCGCGTGACGTAGTCGGTGGTGGGCTCATCTCCGCATGTTCACGATCTTGCTTCTCTTTGACGAGATAGTAGATGGAGGTGAGCGGGTTGAATGCGTTCAGCGGATCAGCGCCAATTTGCAACGCCTCAGAGCTAGGCCCGCTGAGGGTGTCGCGACTGTTGGAGTTTCTTCTCTTGTAAAAGTCAAAGCCAAAGCCGCGCTTCTTCTCGCTGTCTTTGGTGGGTTGCGGCAGCTCCTTTTCTCTTTGGTACGCCTTGACAGCCGCTTGGTAGTCCTCAGACTCGATGACTTTTGTAAGCTGAGCACGTATGGTCTCGGGCGAACCAAAGTTGAATCCTTGCATGGCATGAATAACTTCGGGCTCGAGGTCTGCGGTAAGCGGCTCTCGGACTGGAAGATAGTTGTCTGGAGGCCCACTGAATCCCTTAACCATCCATGGGTGGTTCATAACTTCTTGCATGGTGGCTCGCTGCTTGGGATCCGTTACCAGCATTCGGGACATGAGGTGTTTGCATTCTGGATGAATCAATGTCAGCCAGTACTCAATGACGAAGCTTTGGGTGCGTGTCAGGGGATCATGAGTACTCACCATTTGAAAGCCAGCTCGGGTAGTCGACGAGTCCCTTCTTGATCTTTGCATGCAGAGCAGGCATGCTCTGATCGTCGAAAGGCACTTTACCACAAACGAGAACGTAGAGGACGATACCGAAACTCCACACGTCGACTTCGGGCCCCGTATATGCCCTTGCCTGCAGCAGCTCGGGAGCGGCGAAGTAAAGACTGCCGCAAAAGGTCTTGAGATGGCCGCGAGGCGAGAACAAGTTACTCAAGCCAAAATCGATGATCTTGATGTCGCCAGTCTTGCTGATGAGGATGTTTTCGATTTTCAGATCGCGATGCACGATACTGTTCCGATGACAGTAATCAAGAGCACTGGCTATCTGGCGACTGAATTTGCGAGCCTGCTTCTCCTTGAGTTTGCCGTGGGAGATGATGTAGTCGAGCATTTGACCACCGTTGACATACTCAAAGAGCATGTACCAATGGTAGTTTGTGCGGACCACATCCCGCATCCCGCAGATGTGAGGGTGGTGGAGAAGGGTGACAATGGCAGCTTCGCGAGCCGTTCGGATCTCCTTGGACTGATCCGCGCGCTCCTTTTCCGCCCGACTCTGGTGGCCATCGTCGGTAGAGCCACGAGGGATGATTTTGCAGGCAACCTTGAAGCAAGGCACAGAGTTAGCAGACAATGTCAAAAACCAAGAATATCAAGCTTAGTATAAAGGGGGTTTAGATGCGCACCTGTTCACTCCCATCTTCCTTGCGAGCCAACTTCACCTTGCCCATGCTGCCAGCGCCGATGGTCTTACCCAAGATCCACTTGCCAGACTGCGTGGGAATGGTGGTGCGCGACCTGGATTGTTTGGCGCTGGATGAGGCGTGAGTCGCGTCGGCGGCGCCATGGGAAGCGCTGTGCGACGCAGCAGCAGCGCTGCCATTGTTGGCGACGGCCGAGGGAGGCATTTCGGAGTGGCCTTGACGATTGTGTGCGGAGCGGATGCTGGTGCTCCTGCGATGGGATCGAGAGGCGTCTGCTGCTCTGTTATTAGAGGAGAGCGGAGGGCGATCTCGGCTGGAGCTGCGCTTGGACTGGGATGCGGCTAGATGCGAAGTGTCGTAGTCATTTTGAGCCGACGGAGGCTCCTGAGCTGGGCGGGACGAGGAGGAGCTGCGGCGACGGTGGCGAGGCTGCTGCTGCTGCTGCTGCTGAGCCTGTTGAGCCTGTTGAGTTTGGCTTTGGCTCTGGCTCTGAGCCTGGGCTTGAGCTTGGTTTTGGTAGTGGTGATGATGATGGTACGTGGAGTTGGAGTTGGAAGACGGGGCAGCCGCGCCGCCAGAAGAGGATACTGGCACGGGAGGGGGGCGGGAGCGTGTGGAATATGACCGGGATGGGGCTCGCGAGGGGGAGGTGTGGGAGAAGTCGGAGCCTTGAGACGCTGTGGTTGTCATGGCGAGCGGTCAAAGTGCACTGGTCAGGTCAAGCTGTGCTTGGGCTTGGGATGCCAGGGCCGGCCTCGGGCTGCAAAAAGGCTCACAGAGGCCGTCAAAGGCTGGGCGAGGCGAGATTAAGCAAGACCCGCGTGCGTCACGGAAGCATCAATGTCCCTCCTCTCTGCTGCGAGATAAAAAAGGAGAAGATCCACGCGTTGTCAGGGCGAGGGCTGGGGGAGAGCAGGGTGAGAATGGATGGATACAAGGCACAGAGGATGGATGAGGTAACGCAGTGCAGTGCAGCGCAGCGCCCGGGGGGGGGGCTGTACGGAGTATCCCACGAGGTATTGAGATATCACGGAGCGGCAATGTCAGAGGTACTGCCAGCACGGAGAAACGGAGAGATGGGCGAGATTTGGCACGGCTGGGTACGGGAGCTGATGCTCCGCAGTGCTATCCATGAACCTTCTAGCCGGGCAGCGCTGCGAATCCACAAGCAGCGGTACTTCGTACCTGCGTACGAGCACCTGTCAGTGTACAGCTGCCCCGACTCAGCATCAAGGTACAAGTACAGGCAACCTACGTCAGGTACCGCCTCGCCTCTCCTCTTCGTGCACCAAGACAAAAGCATCACACACATTCACAGCTCAAGCCGCTTTGTCGCCCAGCTTTGTTGCATCAGGTACTGCAAGGCTCGTGGCTAAACCTGGCTCGCTGGAACTAGCACACCAGGGGCCGTGAATCGCTCAGTTGGTTGGATGGGGGCTGGGGACAGCTCATCTAGGCGGCATCCCTCAGGCCCCTCAGGCGCCATCCACAGCTGCAGGCTCCACAGCACATGTCCAGTTCGTTTGGATGGAGTCATTGATTGAACCTGAAGGTTTGTTTGCGCAGGCCTGAGCTGGCATTTGGGTTGGGCATCTGTGCTGCAGCTGTCTCTGTCTGCCGTCCCACCACAAAGGCCTACTGACGGCGTGCCAGCAAACTCCATCCCTTGTCCATCCCGTCGACGATAAACAAGGCTTGAAACATCAATGCACCAGCTTTCTTTCTTTCTTTTTGTCTTGGCCCATTGTTGACCCTTTTGTGCTCTCCTTTCTCCCTATTTGTCTTTGCTTTGTTTTCCCCCGTCCTCTACCCTATTTCATCATTGTGCTTGCGGTGGCTGGGTGTCCAATTTCTATTTCCGTCGTTCTCAGACACCACCGTCATGAATCGTGGATGGATGCATTACCAACTGGGGCAGTCAGCAGAAAAGCGCCCCTATTGCAGACCACTTATATGGATCTGATTAGGGAGCTGAAAGCTAATTGCACTAAAGGAGACTTCGTGTGGCTTTTAGCAGCCCGTGAATCAAAAGGGCATCGATAGCTCCGACTAGGCGCAGAATCAACTGCCTTGGAACCACATCTGATGCCCATCACTGAGAACAGCAATATGCCTCTACTGACTGACACGTAAGCTGGCTGACGAGTGAAGCCCATCACCATGACCAGAGCATGCGCAGTGCGTCTTGCAAAGAATGGCCGTCAATTTGCTTTTCATTGTGAATGATTCACTGAACAAACTCAAAACAAAGCCGCAAACGGAAATAACACCAGACACAAAAAAGCAAAAGGGCACTGACTTTAGGTTAGAGGATCCGAGCAGCTGGAAGCACTCGGTAACAAGCAGCCAAGCGTCTGAGTGCGTCATGCTGGAGTTGCTCTGGTCGATACGAGTGGGTCAAAAGCCGGCACCAGGCGGTCCAGTAATGTTCAAAGTACGAGTAATAGAAACCTTGAAGGCGGCAGTAGGCTTAAGGTACCTTGGTAGCATTTCTTCAACTTTATCGATAGCGCATCTACAACAAGCCTGTTCCTGATTTGTGCCGACACTTGCAAAACTTGCCCATTTGTTCCACGCCTGACATCGCCATCCCTTTTGCGGCCTCGTTGCTGGACCGCCGATTGACGCGCATTTGCCATGCTCTGAGCTGCCTCGAATTTCCCTAATGCCACAGACACTTGCTCGCGGCACTTAACCGAATACGAAAGCCTATGTCCTACAAACGATCGCGGGCGACATTTGAGGCCGACCTCCATGCGCCTTACGCCATCTTCGGCACCCCTTTGCCTGAGGACGGCGAACGCGACGATGGCTCATACCTTCCATTGTGGAAGCAGGAGGTGAGGGATGATAAGGGCAGGCGGAGACTGCATGGAGCCTTTACCGGTGGCTGGAGCGCAGGGTAAGTCGCAGCTCTCTCGACCTTCATCTAAATCACTAACGTCTGACTATCAAGAAAGCTACTTTAACACGGTTGGATCTAAGGAAGGATGGACACCATCTACTTTTGTGTCGAGCCGCTCGAATCGCCGTAAAGATGAAGCTGGCCAATCCCAGCAGCGTGCCGAAGATTATATGGATGAGGAGGACCTTGCGGATGCCGCGGAAGCGCAGACGCTCAAAACCACACAGGCGTTTGCCGGGCTGGGATCGTCCACCCAGGAAGAACTCCGTGCCGGGGGCCTGATGGGTCTCTTCAGAGCCGACGGAGATACAATGGGCCTAAAGCTGTTGCGAAGAATGGGCTGGAAAGATGGCCAGGGCATTGGACCAAAAGTGCTACGAGGTGCACGCCTGGACCTCGGCGGGAAGTCTAACACGATAGATGGAAAAACCCATCTCTTTGCACCTGACAATACCGAGGTCCTGCGATTTGTCCGCAAGACAGATCGTATGGGCTTGGGGCATAATGGCCAGGGCAAGCTTTTTTCATTGCGCCGAGAAAGCAAAGCAGATAGCGACAAGGAGGCCGATTCTCGCGATGGCGCGTTGTCGATATTATCTCGAACAGAGACCAAGAAGAAGCCACAGCGAGGCGGCATCGGAGTTGGCATCCTCAACGACGACGGCTCTGACGACGAAGACCCTTACGAGATTGGACCCAAGATCAAATACAATCGTGTTGTTGGCGGCGACAAGAAGAAGAAAGGAAAGAAGCTATCTGCAACAGCGAACCCGTCGCTTAAAAATGCTCCAGTATTCATACCGAAAACTTCCAGAGTTGGCAGCAACCTGCGGAGATGTCAAGACGGGCGGCTTCCTCTGGATGGGTTTGTCTTGGCAAATGCCATGCAAGACTTAACCATTACTCTAGCAAAATATGCACCACCGCCAGTTCCCCCGGGCTGGATGTCATCCAAGGCCACCAATGTTGAAGATCGAGCCAGTACATTTGTTTCGGCCGCCGAGGCTGCCAAGTCGTCAACCCTCGATGCAAAGTCTCGAGCCGCTATCCTTGGAGAAGCTGCCCTCCCTGGAAAATCTGTGTTTGACTACATATCTGCCGCTTCTAGAGAGAAGTTGGCCGCGGCCTCAGGAAGGGTAGATTTGCCCCCTGGCCTCGGCGAGATCCCTGAGAAGTTTGCAATGTCAGAAGAAGAAAAGCAAACAATGTTATGGGAGCAAGTCCCCAAGCTCGATCGTGAAACGGCAATAGCGGCCATTGCGAGGGGATTGCGAGGACCGTACGCAGACGATGAAACTAAGAGGGCTCGCTACAAACGCTACCTGGAACACCACACGAATCCCAAACTGTCACTTCCGGATAAACCTAGGGGAATGTCGGATGACGAGTTTCTTCGAGAAATGACAGAATTCCATAATTGCGCGAGGATATTCAAACCTATGACTGGCTTCATGGCATCAAGATTTACGACGGCTAAAACACCACATAGCGTTTCTGCTGAGCCAACAAGAGAAAGGGAATTAATCTCTGTGCCCGAGCCAAAGATATCAGACCCGGCAGAAGAGGCTGCCAAGATGGGCATGTTTGGCAAAATGACGAGATCTGTGGAAGACTTTTACCCTACGCGACTACTCTGTAAGCGATTCAACGTCAAACCGCCGTCACACGCCCGTCGAGACGACGAGCCCGAGGCCAGCAAAGCAACCCCAGGTCCGAGTGCGAGGCCGGCTTATGGCAGTCCCATGGAGGACGTACAGATGCCCTTGCTCTCGGCATCTCGAACTCGAGACGAATCTCCTGTGGGCGTGGACACAACGGCTGCGATAGCGGCAGGGGCGACGACACAATCGGGCAAGCAGAGCCCCGTAATGGAGAGCCAAGTGAATCCAGACCGGAATGAAGCCGTTGAAGGTAAGACGGCCAATGCTGACGTCCTACGGGCGATCTTTGGCGACAGTGATAGCGAATGATGCGGTTAAGGATTTAAAAGAAGGGACTGGAGTTTGATGGTGTTGTGGTGTTGTAGCATTTGTGGGATGGAGTTTTACAGTATCAAGGTACAGAAGATCTAGGATTTGTTTCATGGAATCAAATCCATCAATATTAAATTGATGTGCTCAACTGCACGAGCACGTACAATAACAGTTGTGGCTTGACCTTTGGATGCTTCTTGCCCATCAGCCTCGTCCTTGGCGGATCAAGTAAAATGAGGAAAATTTCAGGCTGGCGTGAAATTGGCCCCTATACTCTTTGAGATGTTCAATTTCATTGGCGGTTCCGCAGGTGCTCTGTAGTTTTGTTCCCAATCACTGTTGGCTCTGGCGGCTAATGTGAAGCTTGGTGTGGCTGGAGCTCTGCCATTGGCTGGCGAGTGTGCCCAATTTAGCTACCCGTTCCATCTGCAGTGGGGCTGATGACCAGCCAGGCCGTTTGGCGAGAGGCTAACCCGCCTGTATTTGGCAGAGGAGCCCCTAAAAGGATGCTGGAGCATTCACTGGCCAAGCACCAAGGCCTGTGCTGGGTACGGAGTACGAGCATCATGCACTGGCGCTGGTTCGGTGGGCAGCCTATGGCAGTTCAAGGTTGACTTGGTTCGTCCCCACCCAAACCATCAACTCATCAGCGGCAATCCCATCGTCAACATATCAATCGACCAGACCAATCTGCACCCATCAATCAGCGGGCTCACAGCGCTTAGTTCGCCCCCCGAAAGACGACGGAAATCCATCTTCAGTCGCTTGCATCGTACCGCCGCGAAGCCTTTGTTTAGCACGCGAATGCCCGCCTCCTTTCCGCACGCCTACTACTAGCACCATCCATCTCTCGCCCGGTGATAGAGCCAGATGCACTGACCCGCCCGAGTCAATCTCCCTTGTCAGCCCCCATCGCCATCGACCATCACCGCTTCCTCGCCGAGACGAGCTCCTGTACTCGTACAGCACAGTCAAGAACAATCCGCCACGTTGTCTGAGACGGAAGAGTCTGGAACCGGACCGTCTGAGTCCTCGGAGCTGATCGAGGCCAAGGTGCATCACGAGCACGCCGCTACGGCCACCGCTGCCCGACAACAACTGGATCTCGACCTAGATCGCGACGCCGCAGAGAACGAGAGTGCTGCCCACGAGGCCGAGCAGTCGCCGCCGCCACAGTACCCCATCTCGGAGGCTTCGTCTTCCCGCCCTCCGCCGTTCTCGTCGCTCTTCTCGTCGGTCCAAGATCATCCCAGTGGTGAGGCCTTTGGGAAGTTTCCTGCCGTCGTTCCAGAAGGAAGTGCTTCTTCCGCATCTGTCGCCGCGCCAGCTTACGGCTACGACTCTCACGCTCCCGAGCCCTTTGACCCTGATCAGACTGCTGCGCGTGCCTTTCAAGGCCCCGTAGCCGAGACCAAGCGTGCGCTCCCCAGGGACACCAAGGGAGAGTCAAGTCGCAAGGACGACGACGCCGAACCGCCACCTGCATACTCTGAGGGAGACAGTCCTCTCCACGCATTCTCATACGTAATGGCGGCCGCAGGAGGAGCCTCGAGTATCATTACTCAGGTACAGCAGGGTGGACCACCTATCAATGCCATCGGAGGTGAGCTTCCTTGTCAAATCTATGTCTCGATTTCCAAAAAGAAAATAAAAAAAGGGGACAATGGGAGAAAGCAGCGAATAGAGCAAATTTGCTAACAATATCCTAGATGTCGGCGCTGATGAGACAATTACCATGGACCTACGGTAAGTGGCAATAATTCTCAAAAAGAATGCAGCGAAGAGACTAACAAACGGGAACAGGGGTACCAGATTCGTCCTTTCGCGTGATGAGCTACTCACTTTGCCCGAGTTTGTCCTGTTATCTCTATTTCCCAATGGGTTATTCCCAGAAGGCCACATGAGCGGGTTTCCTGATAGCGATGCGGTGCAAGTTGACGTTAGTAAACCACCAGTCTCAGATCCCTAGTCATTTACTAACGACAACACAGTATGATCCTGCATCACTGCAGTACATGCTGGACTTCTTCCGGACTGTTGCTCAGTCAATCCCTACTGAATCATCGCCCGGCACGTCTCAAGATGGTGAAATTGTTCCCCTGGATCCAATGGGCTCCCGTGAAGACGCTTCAAAGAGGGCTGGCATTATCGTCCTAAGAGAGGATCTTGACTTTTATGCAATCCCACCCAAGTCAGATATCAGCCAACCCGACATGATTGAAGTCAAGCGCGCAGCGGCACGTGCCCTGCTCAAGCAGGATGGCATCTTTTCTGGGCTAAAACGAAGCGATGAACCCGGAACGACTGAAGCTCACCTGATTGAGATGCTGACGGCAGGGTATGTTATTTCCCCTAACGAGTCATTCTCTTCTTGTAGCTTGCTTTGTATGGCTAACTTGGTATTTAACAGTGGCTTTAACCACGATGACTGCTGGGGCCACCGGGCTGGCGAACCTAACAAGGCCGTCATCTGCAGCCTGGCACTCGCTCGATTGCGTAGCGACATTCGTGGTAACGAAATGGGTAACAATGCCGTCGGCATGGCACAGAAGCTGCTGCTGTTCTGGCGAAAACCGGCCAGACGATGCTGGTGGGAGGGCATCGAGCTGGACAACGTCGAAGGCGTTGAGGGCAAGCTCAAAGTATGGATCAGGCGAGTGTGGACGTTGGAGATGAGTGTGATTGGACTCCGTTGAAAGACGGGGGGTTAAGAGAATTTATTGAAAAGCGACTTGCGGCTGTTGGCATTTTCTTTTGTTGTCTTTTCTGTTCTTTTCTTGTTGAAGGGCGTCAGGGTATATAACAGATCCGGATTGGTGTCGAATTCCAGCGCAGAACGCCTGGGCCATATGTTACTTCTTTCATTTTTATTCCCTTTTTTATATAGCTACCTACCTTTTTCTGAGTTTGTGCTTTGCAGGGGATTATGAAGATTTTGCTCTTGTTTTGTTTTGTTTTGCTTTAATTTTGCAATTCCTTTTTTTCGGCTTTGCGTTGGGCATCATATGTCTCTTACTGTTTCACGTCTCCCTAGCCTCGTCTAATGAGTTTCCTCCCTGTTTTGTTGTATATAGGTGGTTCCTGGCATTTTGCATTTCCATACCGTGTATTGCCTGTAGAGGTAGCGTTGGAATAAGCGAAGCTCGAAGAATCCATCAATTGTTGAGTAAAGATGTATGTTGAGATGTTTATTCAATGTTATTTGTCTAAGGAAATATTATGTTTATGGGCTTTGAAGATTTCGTTTGCCTGAAGTAGTTCAAGTGTATATGGATTTTTGGGTTAATTTAATCTCTACGTATCAATTTGATCTCGCCTTCTATTTATTTATTTAGGTTTGCATTCATCTTAATATGGTTTTTTTACCATACAGATATCAAGTTGATATGCTCGCATGATGTCTATCTGTATTTGGGCTAAATAGGTAGAGCTGCAGCATACACTGTCCACTATAGGCTAATGTCGCACTATTCACTTTGGCCATCCGACAAATCTTACAGGCACATGGCAAGCATAAAGTACCTCCTCGTACTAAGAATGCGCTGCGGGGAGAGTTAATGACACGGAGGTCGATTCGGCCGGTTGCCCCCCTTAAACAATTGGGGATCGGCGCCGTGTTTGAATTGGGTTTTGGCTGGCTGGCATTATTACACCTTCACAGTAACAGGCCAATCCCCGGTGTATTTGTTTTGTTTTTATGTCTAAATTGGTAGTCTTGGCACCGCCTTTTTTGCTCTTTTTATTTTATTTCTTCTTTCGACGCCAATTGCAGTCGAGATGAAGAGGAGCGTCGACTCATAATGGGGATAATCAATGGTCTGAGCTTGCCGCGGAGGGTTGGGCGCCTGGTGCTCTTCAGCGGCTTCCTGTTGGCTGCATTGGCTGTCTACTACCTGACATCGTCCAACATACCGCAGCCTGTCTTCGTGCCGAGCTCGTTCAACTGGTCGACGGTGCAGCAGCATCATGGCGTCAAGGACATCAAGCCGCTACCTACGGGCAAGCCAGCAGCGCTTCCTCAAGTCCAGGCGGAAGCCGGAGCCTTTGGCCATTCTGCGGTCAACGAGAAGCGCCGCAATGCCGTGCGGAGGGCCTTTAAGCGCAGCTATGATGCCTATAAATCACTCGCCTGGATGAGGGACGAGCTCACGCCCGTGTCTGGATCTGCAAAGGATCCGTTTGGCGGTTGGGCGGCGACGCTGGTCGATTCCTTGGATACGCTGTGGATCATGGGCTTCAAGGACGAGTTCGCCGAAGCTGCAGGCGCTGTGGGCGCGCTGGATTGGTCTGTGACGGATTCGACGGCGGCCAACATGTTTGAGACGACGATCCGCCATCTGGGAGGCTTGCTGAGCGCCTACGACCTGAGCGGCGAGCGAGTGCTGCTGCGCAAGGCGGTTGAGCTGGGCGAGATGCTGTACATGGGCTTTGACACGCCCAACAGGATGCCTGGCTTCTGGCTCGACTTTGAAAAGGCCAAGTCGGGGAAGCTGGTCGCCGGCACCAACGATCCGTCGGCGTCGCCTTGCTCGCTGAGCATGGAGTTTACGAGGCTGTCGCAGCTGACGGGCGATAGCAAGTATTACGATGCGACGGATCGCGTGACTCGCTTTCTGGAGAAGATTCAGAACGACACGCTGCTGCCGGGCATGTGGCCGACGACGCTCAACTTCAAAGCTGAGATGGCTGTCGACAGCAGCTTTACGCTGGGTGCATTGGCCGACTCGCTCTATGAGTATTTGCCCAAGATGCACGCGCTGCTTGGGGGCGTGGACGGCGTCTACGAGAAGCTGTATCGCCCAGCTATGGACGCGGCGGTGAACAATCTCCTGTTTAGACCTATGCTGCCGGATCAAGACGACATCTTGTTCAGCGGTGAGTTCAGTGCTGGCAACGGGCTTCAGGCTGACAGCCAGCACCTCACATGCTTCGTCGGAGGCATGTTTGCGCTTGGCGGGAAGCTCTTCGACATCGACGGCCATGTCGACATTGGAGAGCGTCTCGCCCGCGGGTGCGGTTGGGCGTACGGCCGCTTCCCCACGGGTATCATGCCCGAGATCTTCGGCATGCTGCCGTGCAAGACATTGGACAAGTGCGAGTGGGACGAGGCGCGCTGGGCGAAGGAGGGAAGCAAGATGATGCCCAAGGGGTTCAAGCACGCGCGGGACACGCGATACATTTTACGGCCGGAGGCGATTGAGAGCCTGTTTGTGCTGTATCGCATCACGGGCAAGGCGGATCTGCAGGACACTGCGTGGGACATGTTTGAGGCCATCATGAAGGCGACGGAGACGGAGCTGGCGAACTCTGCGATAGAGGACGTGACTGTTCAGGGACCGACGAAGAAGATGGATTCCATGGAGGTGAGTTTTTATTTTTCTTTGTTTTATTGGGATGGAACTTTTTTTTTTTTTACTTGGGAACAGCGTTTACTAATATGTGCTCTCCTCGATTCTAGAGTTTTTGGATGGCTGAGACGCTCAAGTATTTTTACCTCATTTTTTCGCCTCCTGATGTTATCAGCTTGGATGAGTATGTGTTTAATACCGAAGCACACCCGCTCAAGAGGCCGAGGGTAGGGTTGCGATGAAGCGGGAGGGGAAGGTAGGAATAGATGAGGGGATTGGACTTTTTGTTGGACTTGGCGATTTTCTATACTACCATCTATCTGCCTTGTATATTGAAGAAGAGAATTCTCTTTCTTTTGCCGAGAATGAGAATGAGCTTTTGTTCACAAGGATATGAAGTATAAGTGTACTGTTATTTGGTATTGGCTAACATGCACATAGACTCTGCCTAGGTACATACAAGATTTTTGATTCATTCTTCTCCTCGTCACTATTCCAGATTGCTGCGTGTATTTGGATCGGCGTCCTAGCATTGCGCATGCCCACATGGACCACGGAAGTTACGTGATTCGATGAATCACCAACAGTTTACGATGGTTGCATTATATGCTTAACCCTTTATTCCGCTACTCTATTTAGCCCAAATCCGGGGCAAGCCCCCACTCGGCCAACGACTATCCAGGATCTCAAAAGCTTGGCTTCTGACAGCAAGTCTCAGCCTTCAGCTTTCCCCTCCCCCTTCTTTTGGATGTTGCGACGGAGATCTCGCTTGTCATGAGTTTAACCACGGAATGAACGACGTCTTTTAGGCGTAAGGAAGGATGAAAAATGGCCCGTTGCTGCTACCTTTTTTAGTCTGACGCGATGTCTCGGTCTTTCAAACCCTCCGTGGTTCCTTCTAGATGCGTCGTTGACGTATATCTTGTTGATTCGCTCAGGACGGTTGCCGTTGTAACTTCGATTCAACAACATTCTTTGAACATTCTTTGGAGAGGCGGCTTTTGATCATCATTTCTGCTGACCACCGCCACGATGAACAAACTCTTATCGTTATTGATATACTTGCTGATGCAGCTGCTCCAACGGCGCACCGCGGCACAGACATGCTCCAATAATCCCAACGTTACGTACCCCGCGCCAGTGGCGGCCAGTGGCTGGGAGTACCGCCTCATTGCGAATGGCTTGACCAGGCCCAGGGGCATTGCCTTTGATGCTGATGGGGGGCTTTTGGTGGTGCAATCAGGAGTTGGGTTGACGCATCTGACGCTCGACGATGGCGGCGGAACCTGCTTGGCGGTGATGAGCAACACGACACTGATTGCTGATCCAAATGTAAGTGATGATATGATGATCCTACATGGCAAGGATTTAGCTAAGCTAATGAATGGAACACTAGCTCAACCATGGACTTGCTCTCTCGGGTGATGGCAAAACCGTCTACGTCTCCTCAGCCGAGAGCGTCTTTGCCTTTGCCTACGATAGCCAGGCCGTCTCTGTTGACCTATCTTCCAATGTCACTCTGGTCACTAACATGAGCAACACGGATCACACGACTCGCACGCTGCTCGTGTCCAAGAAACAGCCAGGTACACTTCTCGTTTCTCGTGGCAGCAGTTCGAATGAAGATAACGATGCCCATGACATCAATAGCGGGCATTCCCAAATTCGTAGCTACAACATTGCTCAGATTGGGCCCGGCGATCCACCATACGACTTTCTCGATGGAAACCTCATTGGTTGGGGGTTGAGGAATTCTGTGGGTGTTGCTGAGCATCCTTCTACCGGAGGTATCTGGTCTGTCGAAAACTCAGTCGATCAGCTTCAGCGCCAAGGCCAGGATATTCACCAAAACAACCCTGGCGAAGAGCTCAATTACCACGGTGTGTTGGGGTCTAGTGGTAACCAGGGAGGCAACTATGGCTATCCTGACTGCTATACACTCTGGTCGATGGCTGGTTTTCCCGACCTAGGGGATCTCCAGGTTGGAGACCAATTTGCCGACGATGACGCGCCGTCCAATGTGACGGACGCAAGCTGCAATACTGACTATGTTCCTCCTCGAATTGCTTTCCAAGCGCATTCGGCTCCTTTGGACATCAAATTCACCCCCAATGCCTCGGAGGCGTTTGTGACCTTTCACGGTAGCTGTAAGTCTCCTCTGGGCTGTCTATAACCATATATACTGATGCTCACTCAATCAAGGGAACCGAAATGAGGCTACTGGATACCGCATCGTCTCTCTTGCCTTTGACTCCAATGGCCAGCCCACCGCTCCACAGAATAGCACCAACGCTGTTACCGACATCATCGCCAATGCAGATGTTATAAATTGTCCCGATCAATGCTTTCGCCCTGTAGGATTGGCTTGGGACTCTGCTGACCGCCTGTGGTTCTCATCTGATGCTACTGGAGAGATTTTTGTTCTTGAACGAACGAATGCTAGTAATGGTGGTGGTGGCAATCCTGGTGATGGCAACCCCAATGACGGCAACCCCAATGACGGCAACCCCAATGATGGCAACCCCAATGACGGCAATCCTAATGACGGCAATCCTAATGACGGCAATCCTAATGACGGTAATCCCAATGACGGCAACCCTGGTGATGGTAACGGTGGCGACGGTAATGGTGGTGATGGCAATGGTGGTGGTAATGGTCAAAATGCTGCAGGCGGTTTAATCTCAGAGCGACATGGCACTGTGGTAGTTGCCCAGGCCGCTGTGTTGGCGGGTTTGCTGCTTGCTTAAGCCTTCTCTACTGCCTATGGACTTGGGATGTCTCTACACTTTTACCCTGCGATAGGTCCCCGAGTCTTTCTCTCTTTTCATTAGTTTATCAGTAGTACATATGCAAATATCAATATCTTTTCTTACTCCCTTTAGCGTAAAGTGTTGTGAAAGTGACTTGTTACATCCACCTCCTTTATTTCTCGAATAGCTGCTTATTCGGTAAAACCGATTCACGATTATAATTCTCAATGTCCAATGCGAGTGATCGTATAGACGGTGATTACACATTGACTGTGGCCACCACGTTGGCGCAAGGAATTCGGAGCTCAAGTCTTGGGCAAAGCTTGAGACTGTAGACGGAAGGCCAAGGTTCTTATGAGGATCACAAGGACAAAGGCCGTTGAGCTGGCATGTGAGTGACGTTTCGGTTAGGCATTTTAAAAACATGCCGTTGAATGAGACTTGGTCCTTGTGCACATTCTTGGGATAATCTGCTCTTGATCTAACGGTATGGGTTAAGAACGTAGATGTCTCAGCGCCTCACCGTGTTCTCTCAAGTTAGGAGATGAATGAAGTCATTAACACGCAAGGTTGAAGATTCCGAGTCTCTGTCTAGAAGAAGAGTTGTATAGAGAAGGACTATAAAAAGGTCGAAAAGCGACTCTGAAAAAGCATACACTTCACTCTCCCGTCTATAACGACAGGTCACCTAATACCAACATCCACACAAAACAAACAAACATCTTCTATTCAGCTTCTTTGAAAGTCAATAGTAAAGATGAAGTTCTACTCCGCAATCTTCGCCATCATCGCCCTCTTCTCCGCGGCAGAAGCCTGCAAGTGCTGGAACTCGTACGGAAGAGCCGTCTCGGAGTACACGCACGCCTGCTGCACCTACACGGGCGGCTTCTTCAGCGACCACAACTGCGACGGCGACATCTTTGATAAGCTCGACGTGTTTCGAACGTGCTGCGAGAACTTGGGCACTGAATCGGATTGTGATTGTCCGGATTGTCCGGAGGAGGATGCGAGGCGGAAGGCTATTGGTCTTGCGCCGATGACGGATGCTGAGAGGCATGAGTTTGCGGTGAAGAAGAGTGAGGGGAAGACTGAGAAGCAACGGAGTGTGCCGTTTATTGGATAGTTAAGGACATTATGCTTGAATTGGGCTTGTTGGACCTTGAGGGCTTGTTGAGGCATCCGGGAAGTGGAATTGGTATTGTTTGCTGTTAAGTGATTTTGGAAGCATGTTGGGAGGAAAAGGGCACCATTTATGTATTAATGACCATCTGTATTCGAAAAGATAAATTTGATGATAACTGCTTACACACTCGCATAATGGATTATGATTTGTGTTACTGAACCGCTTCCTTTAAGTGTTGATGTACAGGTTCAAGCTACATTACCCATCAATGTGCTGAACATTATAATTCTGGGATTTATATCGCATCCACCATCAGCATGTCAATAGATTGGATGTGAGAAAATGAATAAACGTTACTACATCGATATAGGTCTGTCCATAACTTGATAACCAATAGACGCCATGAGTGAGAATACTTACAGCGTGCATGCGAGCTCGGTCAATAAATATTGCGGCTACATTTGATTTGACGTCTGAGATGCAACTCATTTGTTGGAGGAAACACGGTTGTGTGCAGCAGCCTTTTGGCGGGCGGCCCATTATCTGGCCCAATTCTCCGCGTTTGCTGCATCATTCACATCAACTGAGCTCTCTCCTGAGAATTTATTTTTTCATACCGCCCAGCAGCTTTGTAGCACATCTGGGACCTGTCGTTATTTTATACTCTCTCCATTTTATGGCAGTTGGTGGGAAGGGATAGCCTCTTTTATCGCCTCCTCCGCATGTGCGCTTCCATATCGTGCGTTCTTTCAGACATTTGTGGACAGCATTTCCGAAGTACAAGAGAAATCCAAGAGAAAATGAGGATAACTATCCCCAAGAGCCGTTTTGCCGTGGCATTAGGGGCGGGACGGTATTGGCAGGGCGTCGCTCGAAGCGAATATCGGCTCGCAAAGAGGTCGCCCTGGTCAGATCCAAGCCGACCGCATCAAGTGAGGTACGGATTGAATATCGGTCAGATGCCTAGGCACTACACCACAAGGCCCAACAGCAAAGATCGATCAACAAACATATCACATGAAGCACCGAAATCGGGAAACATTCGCCTATCACCCACAAAAGGGCTCGAACTGCCCATCTCCATGCCCTTCACCCGCCTTGACGAAGGCACATGGCTTCACAACCGCCCAGAAACCGACGTATATAAGCTTCTCATCGACTCTTATCGCCTTCGTGTCGAGGATACTCATGTTTTCAAGGGCGAAGCGATGGAGGACAGTATCTATGCAGGTTGCAAGAACGGACGGCGTGGTTTTCGGAAGTTCTTGAGAAGGGCTGCTACTATTCCTGGTCTGCTGCCTCCATGGTGGACCAAGGAGAAGAGCACAGCCTGCGAGAAGTTTGGAATGGTCCCGTCGCAATGGCAAAATCTGCGATACACTGCCAGGAAAAGAGAGATCATGGAGCACTATGGGGATCATCTATTTCCTATGCAACTACGAATGCTGGCTGAGGCGGTCTATGGGATTCATCCCTGCGGGACTGCTGGAACAAAAGCGAGAGAGTATATGATGGCAGAAGAGCGAGGAGAAGGAAAGACTACTGTAATTGATATGTCTGAAGGTATAAAGGTCGATTCTTTTTTTGCTATGCTCATGGCCATCATGTTCAAATAACAGGCGAAGAGAAGAAAACATTAAAGTAACGCATGTTATTGTCTATTGCAACTCGATATGAGAAATCTCTTAGTTCAACTCGACGATTCAATAAGTCTCAGGGCCTCTTTCAAAACAAAGATATCTCGCTCCTTAACAAAAGAGCCAAATTCGGTCGTTGGCTCGGCCGCAGACATGGCATCCAAAGCCTTGTTAACCGTCATCCACTGGTGAACAAACCCATCAGCAAGCTCCTCTTCCGTCAAACACGGCTCCCCCGCATCATCAACAACGTCAGCCAAATAGCAGTAAGAAATCTGATGCTGCTGGAAGCGAAACTCTTCAGTCGTGGCAAAATAGTCGGTGCTGCGGAGAACGACTATCGCGCCGGTTTCTTCCTTGACCTCGCGCAGAGCGGCATCTGTGGGACTCTCTTCTCCCTCGATGCCGCCGCCGGGGAGTTTGTAATAGTTTCCCTCTTTGACGTAGATTATTGCGACTTCGCCTGAGGGTTTGAGGGCCACGACGCGAGTGGATTTGCGGTCGGTGTAGGATTTGGCTGGGTCTTTGGTGCCGATGATTTTGTGGTTTGGAGCTTTGCTGCTTGGAGTTGCCATGATATACGATGAGAGCTGAGAACGGCGAGTAGATTCGCCCTTGAAATTTTCTCTTAGGGTGAAGATTGGAATCGAAGGAGCAACGAGAAGAGAGAAAAGCAATGAGAAGAAGTGAAAGGTTTGTGTCGTTGGTTGTCGTGAGCAGGCAGCAGCGCGTCTCATCAACAAACTAGGACGCATGCAAACAAACTAGCCCTTGAGTTGCCAAATAACAATCGAAAATTTACATGTCATGATAGGAAATGATCTTTTAAATGGCAATGTATTATCCGGTAAAAACAAACATCTCTATTTAACATCTTGCAAGTTAGTTTACATGTTATCAATAAGACAAAAACTCCCCCAGATCCCCGTACCAGTATTCAGAACTCCAGTTAACAAGCAGAACAATCACGCAAAATCCTCCTCATCCCATTTATCTTGCCCAAATGAATAGCATTAGCTTAATCTCGCCTCAATTTGAAAGATAGATATTAGAACGTCAAAACTTACCAACGATCGAGTGGTTCTTGGAGGCGTCAACAATCATGTTGCGTCTCAGTCGAGCGATGCCATCGGCCTGGAGTAGATTATGTCCAATGATACACTTCTCAATCGAGCCATACCTCTTTCGAAGCTTCATCAAAAAGCAAAGCATATTCTCCTTTCTATAACATAGCTGTCAGTAAGTCAAGAGCCCACGTACGCCTTCATATCTATAACATAGAAGAGCAGCTACTCACCGCGTTCGGACCAAAATCTCTGCATCATTACGAGATCCTTTGAAAGCCCGGTTGCCTGAAAGTTTTTCAGCATGCGATGGAAGAAGCGGAGCCAACTCTTTTTCCGAGAAGGAGTAGTCCTTGGCCACGTCCTCGTCGCTCACGCCGCAGAGAGATAGAATCAAGGCGCTGATGACGCCCGTTCTGTCTTTGCCTAGGCTGCAATGAATTAGCATAGGAGTTGGAGGGTTAGTATCAGAGGACAAATGCTCAAGAATGGTTGCAAAGGGGCGCGCTTTGTTCTGGACATGGCTTGCTGAGAAGAGAATCTCTGAGAAGGCTTCGGCGAATCCCTTTCAAAAATGGTCAGTAAAATGTCATTAAGCATCTATTCAACATAGACGTCGTCATGTTTCTCATCTTCCAAGTAGAAACAACTGTCTTACCTCACAACTTGCCCCGTGCTTTGCGAACCTCGCAACGACAGCGTCAGGGGCATACTCCTCGGGCCGGAACACCGGTACGGACACTCGAGTTGTTGTGCCCGCCCAAATCAACTTGCTTCTGTCATAGGACTTCGAAGAAGAAAGCTCCTGTGTTGAGCGGAGATCATACGTGTGAGTGATGGCGAGCATCTGTAGCTTTTTCTTCCCGCGAGATGTCGAAATGTCAGGCCGGGCTGAACGAAAGACAATATTGCGCCGAACCTCCTTTCCCGGATGAGAGGCGATGGGAGTGCCGCCAATGTCACGAAAGTTGGCCACTCCTGGGATGGAGATATATGGTGCGGACTTTGCCATCTTCGCTGCTGAGGAGAGAGTAAGTGCCTTGTGAGTAAGATGGACGAGATTGACACGATTATAAAGACGGAACCTGGACGATATCAGTAGGACTTGGGAATTGAGAAGACTGGCGATCAAAATGTTAACTCGGATTTGACAACTTGATAGCATTTATATTAACTCGATGCTTTGAACATTTCGAGACATCAACACCTATCCTGTCGCGTTCATTTCCGACGTTGGACGACATTTTGTTCCCTTTCATCATTCTTTCTCAATCTTTTGTTGTTTCTCTTTTTGAACGTATTCGCTATAAATATCTTTTGAACGTTCTCGTTTTGTTTTTCTATATATATCTGGACAAGGTCAATGCCGATGTTAGACAAAGGAAATAATAATAGCTACTCATTGACAAGTCAGTAATCAGCAAGGTCAAAGGCAAGGCGATCCAGCATCATGGCCATGGTAAACTCATTATGTCTCTTGGCTCAAAGTGAAAAGTTGTTGCTTAATCTCTATGTAAAAGCTCTCCAAAGAATTATTGTATGCAGCCATAATGGCTCCATCTAACGTGACCAGTTTGCCGTTAGGCATTGACATCGTATCCGCCCGCAGTGCTGCGCTCTCTCACTGGATAGGGTACGCATGGTAAATCGACTTATCCTATCCATTATTGTTTCCTCTCTTTTTCCTCTTCTTGCCTTGGACACCTAGCTCACCAACAAACGCCAAGTCATGATATCAAATATTTTCGCATTTCTTTCTCGTCTCCTCGTCATTGTCTTACTCCTCAATCGACTTGACGCACTCCCATTCACCACGTAGATTCTCTTGCCACAGGGACACCTTGTTGTCCGCGCAGCTAACAGCAAGGACATTGCCGCTCAAGGACCAGCTAACACGCCAAACAGGGGCATCAAAGTTGAGCACCTTGCTTGCCCACTGGCCACCACTAGACTGGTCCGATGTCCAGATGCGGACAGTCTTATCCTGGGAAGCTGACGCAATATATGACTTTTGCAGGACGGTAGGAGACCACGCGACGTCGCGAACCCAGTCGCTGTGACCCGTCAACGCTTCACCCTCTTGCTTGTATGATTGCGTGGCAGGGTCGAAAGTCCAGATTTTGATCAAGTTGTCAGAACCACCGGTAACGAACCGTCGGTTACCGGTTGCACCAGGGCCTGGGGCGCTGCTAACGATGCTGCCAGGTGAGGTGGCCGGGGCCCAGGAGACGGAGTTGACGCCGAGGCCGTGAGCCTGGAATGTGACATGGTCGACGCTATTGTCTTTGAACTCGAGGACGCTGACGTTGCCATCAGACGATGCGCAGGCGAGGAGGCAGCCTGCCTCGTGGGGAGACCAGGAGACAATGTTGACCGAGGCCTTGTGCAGAGGGAAGTCGTAGATTCGCTGCCACTGGCTGTTCTGGGCACCCTGTTCCTTCCAGATAAAGACCTTGCCATCGTAACCGGCCGATGCCAGGATATTACCATACTTGGGGTGTGCCCAGGCGACGCACCATACAGCACCTTCGTGACTAAAAGGGACGTCATATTAGTGACTGTGTTGTCGGAAAGGTAAGGGCATCGGCATGTCCCAGATGTCGTCTCACCCTTTCAAGGTCTCAACTAGGCGTTGTGTCTCGCCCTCAATCTCGAAGATCTTAATCGTTCGGTCGCTTGAGCAGGTCGCCAGCTTTCGTCCATAGTAATCGAGAACAGCATCGTGCTAGATTCGGTATTAGTTAGCCAAAGCGCACTCTTTGTTGCTTATCGCATAACTGTGAATAGCCATAGAGAGAGAGGGCACAGCAAGAATTCGAAGCGTATTATATAGCGATATCAAGCGGGATCGAGGTGAAGGACGGTAGAGGTCGAACATACAATCATATCATCGTGGCCAGAGTTGGAGATGACCTGCGCCGCCTGGATGAAGATGCCTTGGTTAGCCACCTCGGGAATTGCGCAACGGGAGGGGGGAAGGAGCTGCAAAGAGCTGCGCTTCTTACCATCTTGAAGGTATAACTGCGAATAGACTGGAATATAGAGGGAGAATTGGGGTTTGCGGGTGGAAGAATCGAGACAAATGCGATCTGGCGAATCTGGCCTGTGCTGCTTTCCTGCCAGCAAGCTACGATTCGATACGTAGAAGCGCCACTGCGATTGGAGATGGACAAGGTACCGACCGGGCTAGTGGGGAGCTTTGGTATGTGCACGTGATTTGGTAGACGGGACAAATGTGCAGGGGTTAATCGCGACAGGGAGTGAGAGCTGCTAGGACATGCAAATAAATAGTATGGAAGCAAACATCACGGTACTAGGATATATATAATTGTTTTGTTTCATTCATGATATCTGATTGGATGAGATACGACAATTCAGTCAATCCAAACAATGTAATGCAACGATGCTATTACACAAGATGAGAAATATAGACAGACTAGTCATGCATGTGTGCCATCGTGGACCCTTGTTGAAACCAGTGGATTTAAATACAATAAGGATTAGCAGCAAGCAAAAGAAGAAATGAATGATCTCCGATTATAAGATAATTTGAGTCGAAAAGAATTGTTCAGCAACACAAAGAGGAGCGGAAGATGGGCTAATCAAGAAACAACATGAGACAACATGTGACCCCTCTACACTCCGGCTTCCAACGGATCTTGACGCAACTGCCGATCCATCACCCTCATTTGCGTCATCCTCCTCCATACAATCACAAACTTTATTACCAATACAAACTTGGCATAAATTTCAATCCATCTAGCCATCAAAGAAGAACATCAGCAACAACAATTGCCCTCCCCTCAGCTTCACAATCATCCCCACCAAGTCAAAACGCCATGAATCTCATCTTCGACTTCGACGGCACAATCACCGCCAAAGACACAATCTTTCAGCTTGCCCAGTCCGCAATCTCCTTCCAATCTCAGCGCAACGACAAACATCTGCAAACAGCATGGGATGATATCGTCCAAGCGTACGGCGATGACCACAAGGCCTTTGCAAACGCTTTCACGCCGCCTACGCACGAGCGCTGCTCGCCCAGCCAGGAACTCGCCTACCTCTCCAGTCTCACCGACACGGAGAATGCGTCGCTGGATAGAGTCGACGAGTCCGGTTTGTTCAAAGGTCTGACGAGCCAGGATCTGTTTCAGATGGGCAGGGACCAAGTTTGCAGCGGCACTATCGTCGTTAGAGAGGGCTTCATCGAAATGCTTGACATGGCGCGGGAGAATGGGTGGCATGTTGCTGTCATCTCCGTGAATTGGTCCAGGGCATTCATAGAGGGCGTGCTTCATCCGCACAATATCCCAATCATAACCAACCGCATCTCCGCCGAGGGTACGATCCAAGGCCCTGACGAGTTCAACGACGGCGTGAGGTTAACCACTTCGCGGGACAAGGCCAACTCACTGAATCAACTCATCTCCAAACAAGAACACTCCTCTAATCCGACCGTCTACTTTGGCGATTCAACTACCGACATGGAATGTCTCCTTGCCCATCACGGCATTGTCATATCCGCCGACGCCAACTCGTCGCTCATGCAAACACTTGAGCGAGTGGGCGTCCACGTCCCGCACGTCGGCCGCCCCGGGGACGGAGCAAACATCTTTTGGGCACGAGACTTTCGTGAGATTTTGGAGAGCCAGACCCTGGATCGTATTTTCAAAGCTTCATGATTTATGAAGCAACGGTCTCGCCATCGGAGCCAGGCAAATAGCTAACCCGGATTCTATAACTACCTATTGAGACCACTTTCATCTTCTCAAAGCCAAAGAACATTCCGCCTGTCAAGCCATACCTCTCCCTTCATCTTGCTGCTACTCTCTACTTTGAGATTGCCAACCTTCATCAAGACCTTTATCTCTTCGGAATCTTACTCCACGTACAATTCCGAGGCACAATGTCTACCATCTACATTCTGACATCGCCGAGTCACACAACCGAAGCTCGGAGTCGGCGTCTCAAATCATGCGGCACCAATGATTATGACGAGATGGGCGGTCACTATCATCAACTTCACTCAAGAATTCCGCCTCGAAAATGCGAATGCTGTGCCGCACCACGCCATAAAATCGCATGGATTAGGACCAGTTCCAATGAAAGTGGCGAAATGCTTTGCAGCCGCTATCCAGGGTTGAATGGGAGGAACCATGGTGCGGTCAAACATGACGTTCTTATCTATCAGCGGCGAAGGCTATCCGCCATCTTAGAGGAGCCATGTGTACAGAGTTAGACGAAGGAACGAGATTATACTGAGATGAGAAAGCGAGATGGAGAGATTTGTATATGGATTCCCTCTTTTTTTTCTTTTCCGATTTTTCATATTGAAAAGCACATAACTTTACGTCAGGGACATCAACAATACGTGCGCAAACATATAGATATTAGAATTGGCATTGGCATCTGAACGTTCAATCAGGCATCCCAAAAGGGGAAATAAGAATACAGAATAAATAAATTGACATAATTGAAAGCTTCGCCGCCATTCAGAAGAGATATATCAGCGAGAATCTTGCCATCCTTCAAACACGCGGTCAAGATTGAACGCCGCACTGATCAGCGACAAGTGACTAAAAGCCTGTGGTGTGTTGCCTAGCTGTTCACCACTTCGAGCAATCTCTTCCGAGAACATGGACAGGTGGTTTGAAAACTGGAGCATATTCTGGAAAAGATTCAAAGCTCGTGGAAGATACTTGGGTTCGTGGATACTCGCGCGGGTCATGGCTTCAACTAGCCAAAACGTACAGATCGAGAAGGCTCCGTCCCTTCCTCCAACACCTTTGCCAAAAGAATTTGATGGTTAGCTTCATCGAACTTTCTATTTCGATATTGGCCCATAACTTACCGTCATCTGACGCATCAGTGTCATATCGGTATACCAGCCCAGTACTCGTTAGTCCTCCCTCTTCTGGTGGCAGCATAATTCGATCGAGCGTGCTCGTAAAACGAGGGTCGCTTGGGGAAATGAAGAACACAAGAGGCGCAAGCAAAATGGATGAATCCAGCACAGTATTGGCTTCATAGCTTTGGATGAACGACTTCATCTCTTTGTTGTATCCTTGGGGTGTGGTGAGAATGGAGTATTGACTTTTAATAAGACAGAGGTGGTTACGTACCTTTTTCCATAATCTCTTCATAAATGCTATCGCGAGCTTCCAGCCATTTTGCTCTGTTGGGACATGGGAGACATCTCTTTTCTGCGAGTCGAAGACCGCGATCAAATGCCACCCAGAGGAAGACTTGTGAAATGGTGAACCGTTGCTTATCACCTCGCACTTCCCAGATGGACATGTCGGTTTCTACACTTGGTCAATTAAATTGCCTAAGATACGTAGCTTAGCAGTGTACTTACTGCCAATAATGGTCAAGACATAGTCTGCCAGATGACAAAGTCAGCGAATCATAATAAGCGACAAATTGACGGACGATACAGACCTAGCATTCGCCGAACAGCACACCAAATTTCCCAAGACACTGGCTTTCCATATTTGTTGTACAAGTAGATGGAATCCATCAATTCACCATATACATCAAATTGAAGGTGGAAAGCAGCACCGTTACCAATGCGGACGGGAGCACTACCTCGATAGCCTTCAAAGTGATCCAAAGTGATCTCGGGGATGTCAGTCTCCCCACGAATGGTAAACATGATGGGCAATCCACCATCTGGTCCTATGGATTGAGTGAAGCGCTCCATGATAAACTCCATGTAGGCGTCGGCCTCAGCTTTGAAACCAAGGCGGAGAAGAATGTATATAGTAAAGCTCGAGTCTCGAACCCATGAGAAACGATAATCCCAATTTCTCACGCCACCTATGTCTTCGGGCAAGGAGAAGGTAGGGGCGGCAATAATGGCGCCGGTCGGTTCTATTGCGTGTTAACAAGGCTTCTAAAGATTTGTGGTTCTTTATGGCGGTTTACCATATGTTAGTAACTTCAAAATCATAAGGCTCCGAGCCACCACCTCTCTCCATCGCCCCTTGTATTTGGATTGGGTGATGAAGTTGTACCAGAACATCTGAGTATCGTGCTGTTGGTGGTCCACGATTTCATCCGTGATAACTTCGGCGATATGATCGGGGATGTCGTTCCTCAAAATGAATGAGATGGATTGGCCAGCAGTGAGAGTAAAACGAGATACCAAGCCCTCTCCAAGCATCGCCTCTTTCTTGACTTTTTGAAAAGTGATGTCGGGATAATGATGCCCCATTTGGTTGTCAACCGCTACATCAAGCTGAAGTTTAACATCCTGGCTGTGAAAGGTCCCGATCTTGCTTTCCCGATCATTCGATGAGTGTGTGGGCCGTAAAAGTGTTGTTTCATGGGGGTGTAAGCCATAGCCAAAAGCAGGGAATATTTCAACATCTGTGGCAGTTGTTAGAGTAGTCCTATTGCACATGTTCAAAATGATTCTCAAATCTTGCCCATGAGAAATGACAGTGTTTCATACCTACGGGCAAAGATCCACGAATGCACTCCACACGCCGGACGGTCCATTTCTTCAACTCTTCTTGCACAGTCGTGGCCTCACGATAGGCATTCTGCTTGTAGCCTTTGGTCATGACTTTGGCGCTCTTGGGCCTAGGAAAAAAGTCCACGACATCGACGACGCCTTCCTCGTGAATGTACCTGGTCTGTAAAATGCACGAGGAGGGCAGATACTGCTGTTTAGTAGTACAACCGAGATCATGAGGCGGAGAGACACTAAAGTAGCCTCCCTTGTTCTTGTCAAGAAGGCGGCAGAAGACAGATGGCGAATCAAAATCAGGCCTGGATTGAATTCAACATCAGATGGCCTGTGGCATTGTGAGTCGGCCTTTAATGACTCACCAGCACATGAAGTCGATACTCCCATCAAGGCCAACAAGAGCACAAGTGTGCATATTGCCCACCATGCCATAGTCTTCAATGGGAAGATATCCGCCCGACTGGGCACGGCGATTGGTTGCGGAGTGCATCGCCATTGTGCAGGCCGGTAGTATCAATCTGGTATGTTCCAATTATTCAGCAACAAAGGCGGTAGCTGTATTGCCGTACGTTCACGATATGATCCGGGTTGAGTCGCTGCTCTGTTTACTAGGTTCTCTCTCACAAAAGGCCGCGCTTCGATGAGAGAGCAAATGGACCCCGGAACCGCGGTTTCCCGTTCTATTATAGCTTCTATTATGGCACCGGTCTCCAATGCCTGCCACACGAGGTGGAAATACATTACGAGCATGTCCACCAAAGTAGTGGGAACTGCTGGCATGTTAACACTCGTATGAGGTCATCACTGGCAACACTAACGACTACCAGTCTATCATTATGTACGGAGTACGTTGGGGTTGTGTATTAGGCAGTGAGGGGTTCGCAACCAATGGCTTCAAGGTTGCGACTATCTTGGCTTGGGAACGGCAACTCGCAAGATGGCAGCTAGGGAAGGAAGGGACAAGCTGACTCCCGTATTTTGGCTGATGCAGAAGTCTCGATTGATGCTCATCGATGACGTATTAGATGTGATGCTGTCATAATATCTGTATCCCCGAGCTAGAGATAAGATATGTACTTATATGGAAGACACAAAAAAAGCAAGCAAGTCGGTGGGCAACTTCTATCAAAGTGATCCGACATTACCGTCCCTGAATTGACTATCTGGATGTAACCCATAATGGCGATGGCATGCAGCCCGTAATTAAAGATTGATGGCTTACCCCGGGTTAATCGATTCTGACATGACGTACCTTGGGTGAAAAAACGCCGCTACTTCCGAGACAGCACAAGCAATTGCTGGCCAATCAAGAGCTTGTTGCTTGTAGTAAACCGGGCAAATCAATATCATGCTGCTCTATATATGGCTATTATGTAATAGTTAAAATTACAAGGCTAGGTCAGTTACTAAGTAGCTCTCGTCTTTAATTCTTGATACCAAGCTCCATGTGAGCAGAGCAGTAAATACATAGGTGTTAAGTGAAAGTCAGTCATAATCCTTTGATTCGATCTATCCCCTTAACTAGGATCATCTATCATGAAGGGTATCAAATGCTCTAAGCGGCATGAACCCAATATCCAAACGCCCCAACGCCAATCGACATCCATTGAACCTGTTTTCACAATTAACTGTTTTCGTCACCTCCTCCTTTGAAATATAAACACCCCTCGGTGTCTTATACATGTATTGCCTCGTCAAAGCATAGGCAAGGGCATATCGAAGAAGCGTTCACTGCATAACCAGAACATCCTCCATTTCTTCTCCCTCATCGTCGTCCCCATCGTCATCCAAGGCCTCCGCAGCAGCCTCCTTGGCATCGTTACCACCCTTATCTCGATATGCTTCACTTAAGCAGTAGTGGTTGGCAAACGGGCCACTCTTGTTGAGCACGGCAACTTCTTCCAAGACCTGGCGTAGGTACGAATCCGGCTGCTGAGTTCTCTGTCGCAGTGCCTTCATTGACCAATACTGATATTGACGGAAACAATCGAAAATAAGATCGAGAAGCTGGTTTTTCGGAATACGAGTTGCCTTGAGAATTTCGCCCTTCTTGGGCTTGACGGTGGAGGGAGCGTTTTTCTAATCGGGCTTGTTAGCAGCAACATCAAACTATAGTGGGGAACAGGCACACGCACAATGAAGTTGCCTCCCCAGCTGACAGAGCCTGCAGATCCGGGGTTGATAATGGAAGAGGCCTTGTTTCTGCTAATGATTTGAAGCTTCGACTTGGAGTTTTCTGCTTCGAAAATACGCTTCGCCAAGAGCTCTTCTTCCTCTCGAAGATTCCGTGGTTCGACGCGTAGATCATATCTAATCTTGCCAAAGATTTTCGTCTTCTCTGTGGAGAATATTCATTAGCATCCCGCGCGAATACCTGTCTTGTAAATGATTGCCAACATACTCGGAATAGCTTTGCGGTAATAGGGTTGGTATCTGCTCCTTCGATCGTAGGTTGGTCTCTCGGAATTGCCGTTTCCTCTTGATCGTAAAAGGGCCAGTGGTATACCGGCACTTGCAGCATCAGCGCGCGCCTTGTTCTTGGATTTGAAGCCCGGTAAATCTTCTTCGCTGAAGATGAAGGAATTATTCACATCCTGGTCGAGGATTTCCAGGTCGTACTCGCGAGGCAGAAGCTGATGCTCGGGAGTGTTTGCTGTGAGAAGCATGCGTAGTTTGGTGAGTTCGCGAGGGCTTCCATCTGTCATTGAGTCCATCTGTGGCTCGTTCCAGGTTCGTAGCGTGCCGATCTGGATCTCGTCATCGTCGCCAAGCTTCTCCGTTAGCTTGATCCAAGCATCCCACATGTACTTGGGGACGCGCGCAAGATACAGTGTCTCGAATGTGTTTCCAGGAGTTGTCTTGTCATAGAAATCCAGGTCGCCGGCATCTTCGAAGAGGTCGTCCTCGTCAATTGCCATTGGCGATGCCGCCGGCTCGGGCTTGACGAACTCGGACTTGACGAACCCTGAGTCGGCCATCTCGAGTCTTCTCTCTGGAGGTGCGAGATATTGTGTCGGGCGATTCGATTGGAGCGGCACAAGGAGGAGCTGCGGCAAGTCGGCGAGCTGCTGTGTGTTGAGTTGTGAAGTTGCAAAACAGAGCACCAGGCGTCACTGTGAGCCGGAGCTTGGTGGTGACAAAGAACATGCACCAGCGCTAGCCTGAGGTTCCCAACTTGCAGCGCTGCTCCAGTGGCTCCTCTGCACTATCAGACTGCTGAGTGCCTGTCGAGCCCCTCAAGGTTGCTGCGCACTGTGTACAGTGACGAAATGCTTGAGCTCGATTTGCGATACTGTGTCGGTACTTCGTACTCCGTACTTGCACTGCCAACCTGCAGCAACAGCTTTAGTACTAGCGGATGCAGAGCTGGTCCGTGCACGAGGCTGACGGTTTGACCCTTTCCATACCTAGACGTCAGATGCGCCCCGTAGCAACTGCAAGCAATTATCGTTACCGCGCATTATTATATCCCCATTATCCAGTCTCTGACTCATATATAACCTCGTTTTCCTCTCATACTATCGTGATGGTTTGCATGGCGTCCGATTAACTGCCCCGATAGGCTTGGGGGGTGGGAGATTCAAGCCACGAATCGCCAGGGCACTCGCTGGTCCTCACTTTCTACTCACTTTCTACCACCTTATCGACGCCGCCTCACTTTAGACTCACTACCTGTTCACTGCTACTTTGTCCGTTGCTAGGGGCTTGATCAAAAACTGACTCTTTGTTGATTTTGTTTTGAAAAGCCTATCAGACGCCATTCACTTTTGTTTACCCATCCGTATTTACTTCCTATATAAGTCGTCGGCTCCCCCGACTCTCATCCTGCCCATCATGTCTTTCCTCAAATCACTCAGAGAACTCGCGATCATGGCCTGCCTTAAGAATATCCGGGATATCGACAACATTGGCTTTCTCAGTTATGAGACTGTCCGCGAAATTCTTATCAAGGTGGACAATCCCGCTCAACTCCGACAGATTGAACTCAATTCACCTCAAATCGAAGGCCAGACTGCAGAGATATGGCTGAAGTTCATTGAGCGCGACTTCCCTTTAGAATCCAAAACCAAAGCATACCAGCCAAGGGACCCCAAGAAATGGTACAAGGTCTGGGAGAAGTACAAGAATGAACACGACACGGCTCTCCAAGAGAGCGAGAACAAGCTCAAGTCCGCCCTCGCCGGCCTCCGCCAAGATAAGGAGAAAAACACCAGCAAGATTGTCAGCGGCAAAGCCCTTCCCAGTTCCGCAAAGTTCGCCATCAGACGCTACACTGGCCCCCGTGAGGGTAGTTCCAACGCCCTGATGTTTGGTGGTGGCAGCCGCACAAAGACTGCAAATGGAGCGAGCGTGATGCGAAAGGTCCGCCGTGAAGTCAAAGAGATTGCCAATATCCACGGCTCCCTTTCACGGCCCATCAAAGCTCCGTCGAGGCGCCCCATCGTCATGAAAGCCCCAGCGGCCATGATCAATGACCACAAAAGGGCTGCACAGCCAGCATATCGACCAGCCCCCAAGGAAAAGGTCTCGCATCTGGAAGCTGCCCTGGAAGAATTTGAACGACGAGCCACCTTTGTCTCTGATTCTGAAGACGACGACGGTGGCAATGATGACTACGATAATTCGGCCAAATCAAAGCAACCTACTCCCAAATCCGCTGCCAAGGCCGCACCAAAGGCACCTACCAGCTCCCTCCAGCGAAAGTTTGGAGGTTTCAAGCCTTCTGTCAAGCCTGCAGTTATCACCAGAGCACCAGAGTCGAAGCCGTCAAAGGGTCTTTCGAAAGCTTCGTCAAGTCACCTACCCACGACGCGCACCACCCCTCCCATGGACGAGGGAAGCTCGCCTCAGTCAGTTGAGGAACTTCTGGCAGATGTGGACGCTCGACACGAGGCCGCGGCAGCCTCCGTCTCAGCTCCTCGCAAACGCAAGGCGGTGGACATTTTCATGCGACCCAAGCGGAGATAGAGTGAAAGGCTGGGGTGTGTTCTTTTCCTTTGTCGTGGGGATTTGCTGCGTTCTCGCATTGTCTTTCTTCTTTTGATACCTGGGGCGAGATGTACCCATACCAACCGCATGGTGAAGGGAGTTTCGGCACGGCCCTCGAGGCTTAGATATTTTGGTTTGAATAAAGGAATAATGATCTTTGTTTTTCAATTTCTCTTTTGTTTTTTAGGCAGTGACACAGGCAAGATGGTCGAATATCGCCAAACATGACACAAAACTCTATGCGAATTATTAGAGACAAGTGGAAAAGGGTTCAAGTAGGGAAGGATTCAGGCAGTGCTTACTATAACATATGTGATTAAATCAATTCAAGGTCTTTTGAACAGATATAAATATTCCTTTTTGCTGTGATTCGTAGCTGCGTCATGCCTGTCGTCAGTTTGCTTGCGTTCTCGTCAGTTCAAGTCGAAATATGACTTCACAATCCATTTGTCGCAAATTACTATCCACGTCATTCTCAACACGAAAGTTCCGCGATAATAGAGCTTTCCAGGGAGAGCTTGTCATAAATTTATGGAGCTCAATCTATCAAATGACCAAATGTACGCAACGTAACCGGCAGCAAGATACCGTATATCAACCACAAGAATGATGGCCCTTCCGCATGTTTGCCTTCTCTCTCACCCCCCATCTACCGCTCTCCTCTCGGCTCCCTTAGAGACATGTCGACATATTCGCTTCGCTTCCGTCGCTCGTTTCATTGAAAGTGCCGTCCCCCCCTAAGGGCGAGGACGAGATGCAGAGTGTCGCCGGCGACAAGGTTGTACTCGGCCGCGGTCTTGTCATCGGTCCTACATTCGAGAATTAGTAAGCTATAGTGTCACTCTTTCCGCTGGCTTCGGATTTTGGGAGAAATCGGTCGATGGAAGGGGGTTGAACGCCATACATTTGCTTGCCGCCGTGGATGAGGCGCTGCTGCACGGGCGGGATGCCCTCCTTCTCCTCCACCTTCTCCTTGATCTGGGAGACCTGTAGGCAATATGATTCAGTCGCCGGTTCTCACGGCAGGAATAAGAGGTAAATGGTGAGCGCATGTATGTATACCTTGTAGTCCGACTCGATGTCGAGTTCGATCTCCTTGCCGGTCAACGTTCGCACCCTGCAGGTTGTATGCTCTGTCAGCCTAGTTGCATCACTCTTGGGTCGAGGGAGCTCTCTCACTTGATCAACATGTTGGCGGTGGTATCGGGCGATGCACTGGTTGGCTATCAGACTGTCCAAAGAAAGAGAACCGTGGACGCGTTTATCCCGCGCAAGTCTGGATGCGTTGATGCTCTGCTTACACAGACAAGGCTCTGTCGGGATGACTGTTTGTGGAGTTGACAGGTCTGGGATCACAAGGCTGAAAGTGACGGCACGGAAGCTGGAGGTGGGATGTTGGAGCTGGCCTGGTGGGGTTGCAGATGGGCGCCTTGCGCCACCCAAAAGCTGCTGTTAGGCATGCAAACGAGGGAAAAGCGAATACTTTTTCGGGAAAAAAATGAGACAACAGAAAGATAAGAACTTCCAAGGTTAGAAGAGATGTAGAGAAATATAGAGTCGAAAATAATCTGTCTGATAATCTCAAAGGTTAGGTACTATTAGTGCAGATGCATTCGCAGACCTGCCTGAATCGCCGGCATGATACTTGCAGCATGAATCATAGAAGAGAGTTCACCTGATGCCGATGACAGTATATGCTTTGATATAATCTGAGGGAGGATTCGTGTCTGTATATTTCAGTGGCCAGTACCCTGAGCCCATTACAGCCTCCATATAGATTCTTATAATACAGTTTTCATTGTACAGACAAGCATGCAGCGGAGATTATCTTCCACCTTCACCAGGTTTCCTCTCATTTCTTCTCCTCCTCAAATACGTTCAGACCCAGGCCCTCAGAATCTAGCATCAGCCTGTTCTTGGCTCCAGATTCTTGCAGCTGCTGGGCAATGAGTCTGGCATTCTCAATCTTCTTCAGCTCAACGTAGGCCTTGCTCTTCTTGATGGCCTCGCCAATCAGCTCGGCGGATCGAGCCTCACCCTGAGCCTTGACAACCATGGCCTGCTTCTCCTGCCGGGCCTTGTCGACAACAAAGGCTGCTCGCTGTGCCTCTTGTTGCGCAACTTGCTTGGCTTCGACAGCGGCTGTGAACTCTGGGGAAAAGGCAAGATGCTATATTGGAGACGAGACATTAGAAGATGTTACATAGACATTTGCACTGGGCGCTGCTGTTTGGGGGAGGAACTTACCGTCAAAGAGACATCGTCGAGTAGGATATTGAATCGCGCAGCTCGGCGAGACAGGTTCTCCCGTACTAATCGGGCAACCATCTCTCGCTGTGTAATGAGCTGACTGGCATTGAACTGAGCGACCACGCTCTTCAGGACCTCGTTCACAATTGATGGCAGCACTCGCTCATCGTAGTCGGTTCCGAGTGTTCGGTAGATCTGAGGCAAAGCTTCGACATTCGGTCTTGACAGAACACGGCAGGTGATGTTAACCATCTGCAAGTCTTTGGTGCCAGTCAGTGAAGCAACGTTGCGCGGCTTCGCTCGTACATCGTAGATGACGGGTGTCTCGAACCAAGGAATGTTGATGTGTGTTCCTAGAGCAGTATTCCCATGGTCAGTTTATCTTTCTTCCATTGAATGTTATATTGACTGAATGTCCAGCATAACCCCAAAAGGTTTCCAACAGCTCCCTCATCTCGATCCATCCTTACCTTCGCTGTAAATCTCCTTGCTCACGCCTCTTAATCGCTGGTACTTGATCGCTCGGTGACCACCGTCCACGTTGAACAGCGAGTTCGACAGCACCCAAGCGCCGCCCGCCAGCAAGATTCCTCCAATCAAGGCGCCGTTTGCTCCTCTGGGCATCTGCGGTCCTCCTCGTCCGGGATACCCGCCCCGCGTCTGCATCTGGCGCAGACGCCGCATCGCCTCCTCCTGCCAGTTGTTTGGGTTCGACATTTGCCCTCTTCCTGTGCTCTGGTTTGCGCTCGAGTTCGAGTTTGGGGGTCGTGGTTGTCGGTTTCTGCCGCTGTCTCGAGGCATCAACTGAGCTTGTTCGCTTTGATGATGTTTGCGATTGGATACCTAGTCGGATGGTTCTTCTACATGAACTAGCTCGGGCGGCACCAGCCCCAAAATTTCGGCGAATGGAATGCGCCCACTCTTCCCCGCGCTGGGTCCCGTGCTTACCCTAGAACTTAGAAGCAACCGGAATTTCTTTACAGAGAAGATAGCTACGAACAACCCAAAGCTTCATAAATGAGGTTAATTCATTCGGTAGGTACTAGATCTATAGAAGCAGAAAGTGAATAACTTTTGAATAACCAAATCTTGGATGGTGGCAACGCTGGTAGCAGATGATTGAATACTCGGGTAGATAAAAGATGTTTCCCCTGTTTCTCATTATGGCACTTAAATCGTAGTCACTCGGGGGTTAGATATCCAACTTAAAATCAGGTATATAATCGTATTCCATTCATTTTCCTATTTAAGCTTGGGTAGTTATAATTTGTAGGTGTATACTATCATTTGGATTCCGTGCAATCATCATATTTCCTCCCCTTGCCCCCTTAGGATAACTCCAAATACAACAAGCTCTTGCGAGAACACCAAGTATTACTCGCTATCCCAAGAGTATCTCGTCCATCCAGGGACCAAACAACGCCGGTAGCTTGACATTCAGTCTTGATATAGACTCCCAAAGCAATACATGGCAAAAAGGGGAGACAAAAGAAACAAGCAAAAAGAGCGTCCTGGCTCATCAAGTGTTCAAAATAGCTTCATAACATAGCGGGCAATCATGCCTTGGTCGCTAGAGGCTTCCTGGCATACCCGTTGAGCATCCGGAAGCCTGCTCTGCTGTTGCGTCCCTCCTCCATCACAGCGTGGACACCCTCCAGACACTTGCCCGCTTCCTTGATGGCTGGGCTAGCAGTCACGGTGTCCACAAGTCTCAACTCTCCGGCAACTTTCTCCATCTCGCATCGGAGGAGCCAGCGCTCCCAGCTCCAGCCGCCAGCGATGCTGCAGACGCTAGCAATATCATCTGTGCTTCCCATAACCATTGCGTCCATCTGGCAGACCTTGACATCTGCTCCGGATGGGCTGTCCTTGGGAGGAGTGGGAGGCTTGACCACTGGCTTGGCACCAACAGGAAGACATACCCAGGCGCGACGGACATCGTGGAAACCAGCACGAGCAAGCCGGCCCAGCCACAGCTTTGTTGGGCTAGGGTCATAACCGAGAGTCTTCAGGGTGAAACCAAACTCCACGCTCTTAGCAAGGCCCAATGGACCAGCGTTCATGATATCTGAGTCGAGGAGGGAAAACTCAAGGTAGCCGCCAGGCTTCAAGACCCGCATGCATTCGCGAAGGCAGTTCTCCCACTCATCCTCACCGTTCTCTCCAATAAACTTAAGGAGGCTGTGGAGCTCACGAGCGGAAATCAGATCAAACTGGTTGTCCGCAAAGGGAAGCTTGGTCAGTCGCTCCACGGCAACTTGGCGGTGGTTGGGTGGGCCTCGGATGTTTGAGTTGGAGAGCTGGCGAACCGCCTTGGTGGTGACGGTGTAAACCTTGGTGTTAGGATAAAGGAGGGCGCAGTGCCATGCCCAATCGCAGCTTGACTGGCCGCCAAGGTCCAAAATCCTGGCTCTATCGCGAGCAACACCATCTTTGCCGGGTGCCATTCGCGAGAGCCGGGCCAGACGCTTGGTGACTGGTGCAGAAATGAGTTTCCCACCGTTGAGGAATTTCACTGCAGCCACATGCCACGAAGCCATGGTCATTTGCTTCATGGCCTCGGCCTCCTTCTCCTTTCGCAGCGTTTCCGGGTCATCGGTTAGAATGTCGTCGCCGCGCACAACGTTAGCACTCAGGCGCTTCTTTGCGGACTGGGGAACAACACTAAGTTGGTATTTTCCCAGCAGTTGGCTGTGGTGAGCAGAGCGAAGCGCAACCCTCTGCGCCTGAAGAGCCTCGAAGCGGGCCTGTTGGAAAACAAAAACATCGCTTTGCTGAGTTCGGACGACGTAGTCTTGGAAGGCTCGGTAGTAGGCGGATTCCTTACGAAGAAGCTTCGATGGGAGGCTCTTTGGCACCACGGTTGTGGTAATGATGTTGGAAAACCGCACAGTCTTCTTTGCCACAACATCCTTCTGGCCATGCTTCTGCTCGGATTCAGGCTCGGTTTTGGTCTCCAACTTGACGTCCTCTTCATCTTCCTCATCCAAATCTTCCTCAATTGTTTCCAAAGCGCCATTAGTCTCAACATCATCTACGCCTTTGAGATACGCTCGCTGTGCCATAAGCCACAGCCCAGTGCGGTCAAGATTGGAAAGGGCTTCCAGTTGTTGCTTTCGAGCATAGCTAGGGTCGTAGTCTTCCACGAGTTCGGTTGGGATATCGTCCGCATCGGGAGAAGAAGGAGACTTGGCGGCCTCGCTTACTTGGGTATTCGTCTGGAGATTTAGGATGGGCCTAGCAGTAGGTAAATCATCCTCGTTGATCTCATCGGCTTGAACCTCTACGATATGCTCAACAGGGGCAGACGACATCAAGCTCACGCTTCGGTAGAAGTCCTCAGCTTCGTCCCGCTGAGGAACTGGGGGAATGGATGCATCGATGCTGGCGTTCCAAGGGCAACGATAAAACTGCTCTGCTGTCGTAGATGTCGGAGGGATCAAATCGAGCGGCGAGAGGGTTCTAGGGTGCCAAGTATTCCTGCTTCGAGGTGACAATCCAGAAAAGAAGCCGCCGGGAGATGGAATGCTGAGCCTTGTAAGCCCTGCCAAAGACTGACGGGCAACATTGGTGTTCTCCCGAGTTGCCTGAGATAGAAAATTGGTAACGAGTCGCAGAGAACTCTGTTGCATTTCAGGGGCCTGCTGGGGTTGCGCCTGATTGAATTCGGCAGCCTCATCACCTTGCTCCTCAAAATCTTCATCCTCATCCCTACCAGACAAGGCGTGTAAGGTTGCCAGAGCACCAGGCTGCAAATGGACGCCTGTCCAGGGGGCTTCGGTGTTGGTCTCATCGTTGCCGATCACTGGAGTTGGAGGGGAACTCATGGTAGCGAGTTGCTCGGATGACAGGCTTCCATCAAGAGACGGTGGCGCTGAGATTGTAGGGATATCCAAAGCTTGCTGCTTGCCGAAGAAGTCCTTCTGCGCAGGGGACATGGGAAGATTTGCAGATGGGGTCAATGGAAGCGGAGAGGTAATTTTCTTGAGCTCATCGACGGCAGTCCAGGCTTCGTCACTCTCATCTCTAGTAGGTGGGATCACGAGAGGAGTGGGTTGTCTGATGACCGGTTCAAAAACCATGGACGTGCCTCGAGATCTTCGGACGGATGATGAACGGCGCAGCCCCCGATTCGCTTCATCGTCGGATACATCATAGAGATCGTACAACTCATCGAATTCGGTACCATCGGTAACTGAACTGGTTCGGTTCCACGAGTTCGAGTTGGAGAATGATGTTGGTGAACTCTCATCGGCAGATACTGTCGATGGCGATGATGGAAGGATCGGGGCAGCGAGATAGTGTACTCCCCTTGGAGTCGGAAAATGGTCACTCATTGGCGATAGCCATGCTGTGATGTTGAGATGCGACGTATCGGCCCTCTTTCCCTTTGCACTGGCTTGACCATGAACACTCTCGGTTTCCTCTTCTATTATGGGATTAAGACACCTCCTTGATCTTCGATCCAGCGAAGACTCTCGGGGTTGACGGTTGTTGGGTATAAAGTGTGTTGGCTCAGCCATTGTGAAACGTAGACACTATTCCGGATAGTGGCCAAAAGAGATGTGATATAAAAGAAAAATAAGGAAATAAACAATTAATATGTATCGTAATCGAGAGGAAATAAAAAAAATAATTAAAGTATTAAACTCAAAAACGCTCGACGGCCGGCGACGATATGCAAAAGCTCGAACGATGGGCTGCTTCGATCAACAAAGCGTCTATTACTGCACACAGACACACGCCGCAAAGAAGAGAATTAGGAGAAATAGAGGCAAAGAGATAGAAATGCCGACACTGTTGGTTCGGGCAGGTTGGGTCTTATTAGAAAGCTAGATGGCGCTCGATTGGGGATGGGCGGCTAAAGGTTACTCGGCGCCTATGGACGGCCCAGCTCTCGCTCGTATGACGAGGCGGTGCATATTGGGCACAGGGTGATGTGGCGGACAGCAAAGACGACAGAGCCAAGTTGCAAGGTAGTGCCGCCGCGCCGGCGCATCTAACCCTGGCGATGCCTCGAGAGAGGGCGGCTTGAAGGGCATCAGGACGGGCTTCATGACCTGATCTGAACGATGTCCATCGCAGGCGAGATCGCGGTCAAGTCACTATTGAGAGAAACTCGTCCAATCAGCTATTGAGGTTTGCTTCTATATTTAGCCAATTTCCTGGCCGCCGTCTTGGCACAGCGATGACTGGCTGGCGGCTGCACACACACTCTCGCCGTCGTGGGGAGTCCAGCGAGAGAAATGGCCAATGGCGATGGCCTCCGCCAAAGCTGGGCGGCTAACATGCTGGTCGTCACCAGGGTGCAGCTGCAGCTGGGAGGGTTTATTGCAGCGCCAATTCCAATAGACGAGATCGCTTGTTGTTGACGCCTGGAAACCTGGTTCGCAATCAAGTGACGGCAACTATTGATGCAGAATGAAGTGGCCGCGACTGATGATGAAGCTTGGAAACAGTACAAGCTTCTTGCTGCAGATGCTTGCTCACCAGCTTCAGTGTGCCGACTGTCGACCGCGCAGCGCTACTGACGCGGGTATGCACCAGGAATTTTTCATCACTTGATGAAGAGACTGCTAGCGCTGCAAGATAAGGTTGTCAACAGGATAAACGAAATGACGAATTTCTTCATTATGCTCATGTAAGGGGACGGCGGCTCGACTGCGACAACTTCTTCAATGAATGGAGCGAGTATTCACCTGAATGTTTACTGTACTCGTGTTAGAGCTCTCAGCACTTTCTGGCCTCAGGCGTCCAGCCGCTGCACCAGCACGGGAGGAACCCGCTAGCAGGTACGAGGTACATCTGCCAGGTACCTCAGGCAATTGACGTCGCCAGCAAAAACGAGCCCCGCCATGCCTCGCTGAATTTACCCCGCCACGGGCCTGGTTGTGACTTGACGAGAGATACAAGGAGAGAGTGCACGCGTCTTGCTCCTGTAGCTCTACTATAGAACAGCCAGCGTCTGCAACCAACAATGGCAGACACAGAACAACCCGAGGCGCCCGTGGAGCTTCAGAGCAGAAATGTGATTTACTGCGGAGGTACGTTGCATCCCCCTGTGCCCCTGATTATTTTCTCCTGGCTGCTCAATCATCTTGGTTTGTTGGTTCTAACCGGTGCTTTCTTGCTGCAGTGTGTACTCTACCTCCAGAGGTATGAAAAAATCGACCACGTCCCCGCTGTTTTTGATGTCTCGAGCTCAACTGTGACCAAGTAGTACTGCGAGTATGGAGGCACCGTCAAGAAGTGCCAGGAATGGCTAGAGAAGAACCAGCCGGCCATGTATGAGAGGATATGGTCCCCCGAGGCTTTGGAAGCCGCCGCCTCGTCTCTCTCGATCGATGCCCAGAAGAGAGCCGCCAAGGACGCGCAGAAGAAGGCTGCCAAGGCCGAGGCCGCGGAGCAGAAGCAGGCCACCAAGCTGGCCACGAGCGTCGTCACCATTAAGCGGATCGAGAGAAACAAGAAAAAGTTTGTCACGGCTGTCATTGGTCTGGAGGCGTTCGGTCTGGATCTGAAAAAGGTGCGTTGTTTGGTACAGCTTTGGATTCTGACGCTGGAAGGTCTCTAACCGGTGTTTCGCTATAGGTTGCCAAGGATTTCGGAAAGAAGTTTGCAACAGGATCCTCCGTGACAAAGCTCCCCAGCGGCGGCGAAGAAATCGTCGTCCAGGGAGACGTAAGCGACGAGCTGGAAGAATTCATTCTGGAAAAGTACAAGGATGTACCAGAGGACAACATCGAGTTTGTTGATGACAAGAAGAAGAAATGATATTCCTTATGAGCAATTAATCGAAACAAAACGCCTGATTCCCGTTGTTTCTTAGTCCAACAATGCCTAGTGTTGTTACATGCCCAGACTCCGTGTATCCCAAGTGCCAATCAAAACAGATTTGAACCGCTTCCAGTAAAACACGCCTACCGGCTGCCTGCCGCCGAGGCTTCCCACGCAAAATTTCCCGATGCCTAAACCCCAAGATCCTCAAAATTTCAAATCCATTCCTCATCCTCTCTTTCTCAATGTTCTCCCGGTAGCAGTGGTAGACACAGCGGTTCCTGCCTTCGCTGTTGACTTCACTATGCCTCCTGAAGCGGGTTTCTTCGCACTCCCTGGGACAGGTTTTCTTGCAATTGCACTGTTGTCCTTCCCTGCAGTCTTTTGGAGCACTGTATTTGCGCTTCCATCACTCGATTCGGTATTGTCGCTAGCCTTGCGCGTTGTTCGAGCTCCAAGCTTAGTTCGGAGGCCAGTAGGCACGGCTATTGCGGTACGCTTTGTCCGCGCTGCCGCTGCCGGTGTTGCTCCACTGGAGCTCGAGCTTGAGTTGGATGTTGTAGTGACCTTTCTGAGCCCTCCCGTACGCGTCCCCAGATTTGTGGCAGTTGGTCGAGTTGGGCTACCAGCCTTTAGAGGAGAGTTGGATTTATACAGATATGACTTGGTGGGGGACGTTGCGCGACTGCGGTTTGCCAAACGAGAGTTGGACGAGGTAGGTGACAAAACCTGTGCCGGGTGAACCAAGCCAGCATCCTCGCCGCGAGTCCTCTTCTTAGGACGCTCGCCTTTCTGAAGCTCATTCTCTTTATCCATAGTGATTTCATTGCTAGAAGGTCAGTTAGTCTCAAAGGAAAGAAAGAGAAACAAAAATTACAGCGTATTTAGACGCAATTCACCTCAACCGCTTCTGGGCGCGTCCAACCTGTGGCGCGCGAGTGGTTTGGTGGATAGGCTTTTGAGGACTTGGAAGTATAGGCAGATCTTTGACAGGCTGCGGTAGCGGGCGGTTGGGCCCTCCTTGCGCCTGATCTGCGTATTTGAGGAGTAGGTCGCCCATAGTGGCCTTCCTGAGAGCAGTTGGTATCCGGTTGAGACGAATCTCAATTCGCGACCTGAGGCCCTGCGCCTGGAGATGATACTGGGCGCGTAGTCTGCGGGCTCGCTCAGTGACTACAGGAAGGCAAGAAAAGAAAAATGTCAGCCTGTTTTACACTTGTAGAGGTCGAAATCGCGTACTTTCTAGTCGCAGGTTCTCGATCAAGGCTTGCTTCTGCTGCAAGGTGATTCCCGTCTGTTTCTTCTTAATGGGAGTTCGTTGTGGTGTTGAAGGGGTATCGGAGCCGCTGGATGTCGCGTGTTTCTTTTGCGAAGCGCTCGACTCGGTCGAGGCTTGCTTTCTTGGTCGTGTAGGAGCCATGGCTTTGAATGTATTGTGGTTGTGCCTCTCCTTGAAAGTACTTGTAAAGGAGGGAGATCAGGAGTCGCAATGCGAATGAGGGAATGCGAATGCGTGCATGCGGTCGTGCAACAAGTGAGACAATGACTTGAAAGTAAACAAACTAAATCAATGAGTGAGCTACTGCTTGCTACTGGTTATGTAATCAACACAATCTGACCCGCATAATAGGCTTGTTAGTGAGTTAGTCTCTATACCTAGAATGTCACATTTTTGCACGTAAAACAATACACTAATAAGTGCATATACATTATTTCTTAGCCATTTCTGCATGCACCGATCTTGCACCTACCAGGCTGAACCGGCCTTACGACACTCGAAGCTCCAACAACCAGATTGTCAAGCATCAGCTACCAACTTGTCTCTCCACATCTCCTTACCTCCCCGACTTGCAAATTCTCTACCAACGGCGACCTGAATCTCTGGACGTGAATACCATACCCAAAGTCACCAAATAAACAATCTAGTGGCCCAGCGCCCTCATTCGCAGCTACAATGGTTCTCGAGGCTGTTATGGTGGTGGTGGACAACAGCGAAAGCAGCCGAAATGGAGACTACCAACCAACCAGATTCGACTCACAGGTGGACGCCGTAAATGTGCTGTTCCAGAGCATCACTCAGGGCAACCCAGAGTCATCCGTCGGCCTGATGAGCATGGGCGGGAAAGGTCCTGAAGTGCTCGTCACCCTCACCACAGAGCAGGGCAAGATCCTGGAAGGCCTGCACAGGACAAAGAAGAAGATTGGAGGATCGTCTCATCTGAAGACGGGTATTCAAATTGCGACGGTATGTTGCTTCTCCCATGCATATGTGTTGTGTTGATGTGTGTGTGCTGACTTTGGTTCGTAGCTCGCCCTCAAGCACCGACAGAACCGATCCCAGCGCCAACGAATAATAGCATTTGTTTGCTCCCCCGTCGAAGATCAAGAGAAGGAGCTAGTACAGCTAGCTAAAAAGATGAAGAAGGGCAACATTTCTGTTGATTTCGTTCTGTTCGGCGACCTCGACGATGATGCCACGCAGAAGAAGCTGCAGGCATTCAACGAGGCCGTCAAGGGCAACGAGGGTTCACACTTGGTCGTCATCCCGCCTAGCAGCAAGCTGTTGAGTGACCAGCTGATCTCTACACCCATTATGCTTGGCGAAGGGGCTGGAGCGGGCGCAGGTGGTGCTGGTGGCAACGACGAGTTCGAGTTTGGATTTGACCCGGCGATTGAACCCGAGCTGGCTCTTGCTCTGCGCATGAGTATGGAGGAAGAGAAGGCCAGACAAGAGAAGTTGGCAAAGGAACAGGAAGAAGAGGCAAAGAAGGCATCTCTAGAAAGTGTCAAAGAGGAGGCCGAAGGCAGTGGCAGTGGAGGCAGTGCGGACAAGGACAAGGACCGCGGCGATAAGATGGATACTTCTTAATGAGCATCATAATCTTGGTGCCTTGATTGAAAGTGTATACTAAATATCCAGATCCAGTGGAACCTTAGAGGAGAAACGCTAGACATGATAATCACGATTAATTTGAGGACTGGATATTGAGTCTAAGTTTGATGCCCTGATTATCCCGCTCCACGCAAGCTACCGACCCTAACACTTCCCTTCTCACCGGTTGTTAATCTCTCTAATGTATGACAGTAGCTTTCTGTCAAAGATGTCGCATCGTACAGGCATCTCTAGAGAGTAAAAGGGATTTTTCATGACGTAATCGGCGTACAAGTCGTATATCTTCTTGATGGTCACGTCCACATTGGTCTGGGTGGTCTCAGTGAAGAGCAGGAACTTGGTGCCCGTTAGAGTATTAAAGCACTGCATTCGAAAGTTCTCCGTCTCCAAGACCTCCAGTCCAGATGATGGCTCTGGTCGGCCAGGTGGATCGTTGGTGCCAGGAGCAGGGGGCTGTGCGACTGGCTTGACCGGATTCAAACGTGCGGTAATGGCATGAACACTAGAAATAGGAGTAATGAGCCTCTGCAGAACATGAATCCCTAATAGTGTGTATCTTACCCGTGGAAAGTTCCGGCTAGCACAAGATAGTCATTTGTGCTGATTTTGTTGAGGCCGCCGTCGTGGAATGTCTTGTTATATATCAGACCGCCGGCCTTGTTGATGATGATGAGAGAGAAGACAGTCCTAGGTGATATGAGTTAGATTTGGTGGTGTCTAGCTCGTGGGGACACAGGACGAATGACATACATGTTGTAAGTTGGATTAAGGTATGAGTAGATGTGAAATGTTGTTCTCTATAAGGCCCTTGCAGGCTCATGAATCCATAGAGGTGAGACCATGAATCCTATGATGAGTGAGTTCGGTGCTCATGCCTGAACGACGCAGGCCGACAATTCCACCTGCAGGGGTACACAGAGCTCGCATACCTTGTATCCACTCCTGAGCCCTTCTTGGTGTGTAATTTCTTCTTTTGCGGTCCTATATCGATTCTCCGTGTGTTGTTGATCGTAGAGAGTGGCTGGCTACTTTGAAGCCACCTTCATGCGACGGCGGTGCTGGAATATAGCGAGCGATGAACAGAGCGCCGCTGCTTTTAGCGCCAGATTGTATATATCGGTCTCCTATAAGGCTTCCAGGGGCAAAACAACAGCTTTGTTTGTCGAGAATAGCTTGAAATTTAATGGAAACCAAATTACAATTAGATAACTTATCTTCTGAACAGATGTTATCGCACAAGTACACCTTGCGTCATGAATCTATCAGGTCGCAGTTGCAGGTGCAGTTGCAATACGGAGAAATAGCACGGAGGGAGAAATACGGCAGCGGCAGCGCTAGTCCTATTAAGGCAACGTTGAACGCGCCTTGAGCACAGGCTTAGAAAGCGGCTGGTCGCCAGAACTTTGCGAGAGTCTCACCACAATCAACTTCCTTGCTGCAGCTACATGCCCGGGGGATTGCTCAATCGTTTGCTTTCACAATTAATAAAGAGCAACCCCATCTGCACTCTCCTTCTGATGACAGTCGCTCTCTAGAAACTGCAGCAGACGCACTAAACACAGAGCAACCATGTCTAATCGCACGTCACGCCCGAAGCCTCCTCCGCCAGGCAACGAGGAAGCCTCTGCGACCCTCAACCTGGGCGAATTCCAGCACGTCGACACCCTCACTCTTTCAGAAGCCGCGCTTGTTCTCAATGCGCTGGTTGCGAAGCGCCGGAACGATCGCAAGAACGTGAACGAGACAGAGTATGTGCAGAATGACTCTTGCAGCTGGAAGATGGAAGACGAGGCAGAGGACGAAGGGTCGCTTTCTTTGACGGATGGCTAACCGTGGAATCGCCTCTTTTTTGTAGGATGCTGAACCAAACTCTGAACTACCTGGATCACTTTGCGCGTTTCACGCAGAAGGAGAACGTCGAGGCCGTTGAACGCCTGCTCAGTGCGCACAAGGACCTGGCGAAGTTCGAACGCGCACAGCTTGGTACCTTAACCCCCTAGATTGCGGCGAGAAGAGAGAAGGAAGGAGGCAATATGACGGAATGGCTAACAATGGTTGTCTTTACAAGGGTCACTTTGCTGCGAAAACGCCGACGAGGCCAAGACGCTGATTCCGTCCCTAGCGGACAAGATCAAGGATGAAGACTTACAAGACCTGCTGGACGAAATATCGAAGCTCCAGAACCGATGATGACGAGGGGATGTGTTATGTTTTGTCTCTCTCTGCCGAGGTATATGGCCATCACGAATCGTTGATATATTGCTCCACGAGGAACCGAGAACTCTAGACTGCTGATATACGGATACGCAAGACGGATGGATACAGCCGGATTAGGGCCGCAGGTGTTTGCATCGTCTTTCTCTTTTTCACATTTTCTTTTTCCAATTGTTCTCTGTTTTCTTGCTGCTTGGGCGCTTGGGAGAAGGTTATATAATTTGTTTTACGCGCGGACAATTGTAAAAGTACGGTAGGGCAGCTAAATACCCCTGATAACCTATGGGAAAACGAATTCGATTATATTGTCTTGTCGACCTATACTCTGTGCCTGCCCTGGAACTTGCAGAGTTGGTATGAAAGAACGAGGAGAATATTATTATTTGAACAGTCGTTTGTCTCAGGCCCAATTTCCCCATGTTGCTGCTATTAATTCAAAGCATAGATGTACCAACGTCAGAATTCCGTCGTCTGATTTAGGCATTCATGCTACATGAAAGAGCAGCTTATATGATATGGCCTTCTCTATCCCCTTCTCTCTCCTTTCTCTCCTTTTTTTTCTCGAGAAAGATTGTCACCGCCGTACTTCTCGTCACCCCTTTCTTACATCTATCCGATCCAGTCTCTACGTCTTATCCCAGGTGCTTATACTGATTCCAGTGATTTACATACACAGGGTGGCCATCGTCTGTCGGTACCGAAGTGAGGTTAGCACGAGGGTCCGTACAGGTGGCCTCTTGGACGGGCTCAAGACGAGATGCTTTGCGATCAGCCTTGCCTGGGCTCGACGCGCTCACGGCAGGTAACTCGACCGGGGCGGCGCTGCTTCCGTCCATCTCAAAAGCACCACTGGCCGGTCGATAAGGATCTTCGGGCTGATCTGCTCGACCTAGGACTTATTAGTCAGGCAATACGGATACATACATGGTTACAGTTTCCAAACGGGACTGAATCTCACCTCCAAAGGGCGCAAAGGGATCACTGCTTCCTTGAGTGCCGTTGGCGCCAGTTGGCCCATTATTGGGGAAGTGCTTTTCGTCGACAGCGTCATCTCGGCCGTTATCTTGGCGGAGAACAGAGTCGGTCTCGGATCCGCGACGCTTCTTGCGGCGTACCAGCGCAAGCATCAGGACCACGGCAATGGCGATGAGAACGGCACCACCAACAGCAATTCCGACAATGGTTCCTGTTGATAGAGGACTTGCGCCTGGAGCCTCAGAGGAGCTTGCTGTGCTGTTGTCATGGGCAGGTGAGGATGGTGGCACATCCGTGAATGTTGCTGTGATTGATGCTGTGGTTGGCGTGCCAGTTTTCGTCGATGCGGTATCTGTGAGGTCTGAGGTGGAGGTTGATGGCCTGCCCGTGGTGATGGTTGTGTGCCTAGTGATTGTGACGATCGAGTTGTTTGGGATCGTGTGGGTTATGCCAGAGTCCGTCATGATTACAGAAGATTTCTTCGTGGTGGTTGTTGGCTGCGACGAAGAAGTTGTCTCTATTGCCTGTCGGCTCTGATCATCTTCAGTCGGAGTTGGCGTCACCTCGTCAGATTTCGGCTCTGAGGTTGTCGAACTGTCATCTTCTTTGTCGCCGTCATTGGGATCTTTCAGTGATCCGAAGTAATCTGGACAAAAGCGCAGGGCACATGGATCCACGGAGCAACATCCTCTAAATTTGTTGGCACCACAGGCGTAGAACGTTGTGCCTGGCGAGCAGACATCTTCTTGACGGGCAACAAAGGGGCTGGAAAACATTGTGGATGAGAGGCGATGGCGAAATGGGAGTTTCTTCTCCTCGCAAAAGAGAAGGAAAGGGAGATGTTCGCCCGCTTCCCTGTGATTTCTTTCACCAAACAAGGCTACCTAAGTAGGGTTGGCAAGAAGGTTAAGTCGGGTTGCCAGCCAGCTGGCGAGTGTCTTAAGAGGTTTGGCCGGCAACTGTCAGGGAATTCAGGGAACCGTCTGCGTCGCATTCGACAAGCCCTGGAGCTTGTCCAAAACCGAGGCTGTGGCAACTTCCTGCCAGTAGCTGTGTGAAACAACGGGTAGAAAATAATCGATAAGGAAGTAAAGAAACGAGAAATGAACGAGAATGAACAAGAAAAGAAAAGGTGTTGGTGAGGCAGTGATGCAGAGTCAGTGTTTGGCGCTGGAATGGCTCCGGTCTGCGTGATGAACACTGCCTATTAGTGCCTTTGGAAGAGTTGAACAAACGTAGACATAGGGTCCATTAACGTAAAGAGAAGTCGCTGAAGAAAAAGAGACGAGAACAAAGGAAAAATGCTGTTTGGGATCAATGCCTGGAGACCAGAATGGATGAACCTTGGGGGTGAACAAACGCAGGCGTCAAGCAGGAGGCAAACGAAACGAAACGAGAATTTGAACAGTAGAAAAAAAAATTCTGATTCTGCTATCAACCGAAATGTAGTATTAGAAGACGTCCAATCCCTTACAGAGACGCTTCTTTGTCAGCCAAAGGCGAGGCATCTATGTCATATCAGGGGCACATCTCGAGTTGCCTCGTTTCTTGATTTCTTGCCTTGATGTTTTCGTGCTACAACGCCTTGACCTGGTACAACTATGCTACATTTCTATAGATATCTCGGGAACAGATACATACCGCCGTCCACCATAAAACACTCTCTCTAGCTTCTATTCTCGGAATCATTTGCATCGCTTCATGCAGTACCAGTCAAACGCATCCTGGCGGCAACTCGGGCCAATCTGCGATCCCATATCTACCCCCTACATCAAGAGCCAGCCGCTATCAGTTCCCTTGTGTGACTTCTCGTTGTAACTGTAAGTATTCTTCAATGGTCTCTGGCACACCTTTCTCAAACTCGCAAGGGGGGCGATTCGTCAGAGCACAAACAACTCGGCTGCTTGCAGACATCCAAAACGCAAACCAACCGAAGCACCACCTACTCCCCGCGAGGCTTCGCCCGTGTAACAAACATCTGCGTGAAGAAAAGCTTTCTCCTTGCCTGATAATTTTCTTCAACTTGGTTATATATAGACAGTTTCACGCCAAGGCACTTGTTGGGTTTATAAAACAATTGAAAAATCATTATATTAGGCTGCTGCGGTGAAAATGAAAGAATGGAGCGATAAGAGGCGTGGCTCTCATCATATGCTCCGCCGGGGGATATGAGAAATATGATGACCATTTGCAGCCCTTCATAGCTTTTCTAACAGCAGCTTGCTACCCTTGTTGCCCACAGGCGCCTCCGTCTTCTTGCCCTTCTTCCCAGCCTCGCCACTCTCGTTAGCCTCCTTGGCGGCCTTTTGCTCCGCGGTGGGTTCAGTCGCCGCCGTTTGCAGCTGCTTCTTGTTCTTCTTCAATGTCTTCTTCAGTTCCTCTGCACTAGTGAATTCTTCGCTCTCAAGTAAAGCCACGACGACGAATGAACTAGGTCCAGTAGCCCAATCCATGATGTGCTTCTTCACAATAGGGTACAGAATGTTGGAAAAGCCCAACGGTGGCTCAACCAGCTTCACCTTTCCAGTGGCTCTGTCAAAACGGCCACCTTGGATAAGAGACTTGAGCATGCGGCCTCCGAATGGTGTGTTGGCAATGTGCGACCTAGGAGCGAGTTCGTCTTCTGCTGGTTCCTGCTTGGGGCTACCGCTGACAGACTGGGCGAGGGCCTCGAGCGCTTTCTGCTTGTCTCCGAGTCCAGAGAGAAGAACATCGGCGACAAACTGGCAGCCGAACGGTGTTGCTGTGAGGTCAGAAGGTGAGGCCGCAATTGCATCTATCAAAGAAGGCGATAGAATTGCCGCAAGCTCTTTGCGTCGAACGTCATCCTCCTTCTTGCTTGTGGATTTGCGGATCTCATGTACCTCCTTGAGCACCTCCAAGTCATAGGCGTTGCTGGCAGGGAACAGTGACTTGGAAAAACCTTCGAGTAGATAGAGAAGTGTAATTCTGGCATTGGGGTTGTTGGCGGCGGCAACAATGTTCTGTGCGACTTCCTCTTCTTTTTCTCCAACAATCTCCGGGAATATGGCTTTTGAGGTGAGCTTCGTGTCGTCGATAACATCGTAGGCTGTCAGGAGCACGATGTGACCGTATTGATCTCCCGACATCAGCGTAAAGGTATCCTTGTAAGCTTTCAGCAGCACCTTTCGATCCTTGGCCGTACCGTATGCCAGCAGCAGGCAGACGAGCCTTGCGCCAGAGCGAGTAAAGGCAAGGTTCTTCAGCAAATCGCCTGCCTCGTCGCCCTTGACCAGCTCCATAAATTCATTGAATTCTTCGGATCCTGGCTGGGTATTGGTGTAATACTGGAGCATCGCGTCGTGCAGCATGGTGAAACCGGTCATTCGTTTCTGGACTAGTGAGTTGATAAGGTCCAACAGACTCTTCATGATTGGTCCTCGCTTGCTCGGCTCCTCCTCCAGGATCTGCTTCAGATCTGAAGTTGTCTTGATGTCCTTGGTCAACTCCTTCAAAGTGAACTCGGGTCCATACCACTCGCGCAATAAGAGGGCTTTCTGCTCCTTGGTCGCGACCGTCCGGTAAATGTCGTCCAAGATCCACGAGGCCTCAGAGTGGTTTATGAGCTTTCGAACTTTGCCGTAGAAGTTGGGGATGATGATGTCGCGGATTTCATCGTCATTGTGAATAAGGAGCTTTCCAATAAGGAACTTGGCATAGCGTCCTTCAGCAAGCTGCGCATAAGTTCCCTGGAGCTCCTGAGCAATCTGCTTTCGCTGCTCCGGTGTGGAATATTTGATCGCGGTTTGAACAGCTCGGACAGCGTCATGCTTCAGGACAAAATCTCGGATGCGGCCTGTAATGATTTCATATAGCTCTGCCACCAACTTCTGTCGCTCATCCTTGGGAACGTGGGACTTGAGGCGCAATCGTTCCCAGATCTTCTTGGTCCGCTGAACTTCGTCGGCTAGAGGTTTGGCAGCTTTTCGCTCTAGAGCAAGTTGCTTCTGCTTCGCATGCGACTCCCGAGAGCTTTGTTGCTCTAATTTTAAGTCAGCAACAAGCCAACAATGCAGGCGCCAGAAGAATAAAACATACCTGATCCAGATGCCTTCCCATTTGATGTCTCCTCCAAACGAGGCTTCTTATTCTTAAAGTCACCCTTTTCTTTCCCGTCTGAGGCAACCTTTCGTTTGCTATTATACGTAAGGGGTTTGGTCGCCATTTTGGTTGACGTATTACTTGTTTTAGAACAAGCAATTGAATTTGATCCTTTGAAGTCAGTCAAGTAGACTCAAAAGTCCAGACATCTGATATCAATGGGCCGTCGGCTAGTGGTAGAATAATTTTTTTTTTGGAATATTGCCGGGCGGTGAACACTAAAGTGGAACAGAAATCTTTATCTTATCTCACAAGCGCCACCAATTATGGCCAAAAATGGATCCACTACCACGTACGAAATGTCCAGCGTCTAAAAGCCAGGCGTGAAACCTGACGTCTATGTCTGTATGGGTATCATATTAATACTTTCTCGACATTTTCCCTATACCAGGGAGAAAGTATTATATACTGCTGCATTATTCCTTGAGAAAACGCAAGCTGCGATAAATCTACATTGTTGCCATTTTTTGGTATCAATTCAGTCCAGACATCTCAATATATAAATCCGGCAACTCGATCAATATGTACATATGCATGCCAAAGATGATGAAATGCTACCAACTAAAGCAGAGAAAATAAGAAAAAAATCCCATGAAACAGCTCAATTCCCCTTAAAAGGTGGGCCCTTCGTTTTTGAAGAGCCAATCGCTATTGGCGTCAATCATGAAATTGGTAATGTTAAACTCGTTTGGCTGGTACTGAGGATGATCCAGACTCGCGTTTCCCGTAGGTATGTCAGAGTTTGACATTAGCCCTTCGGTGGCTCCAGAGAGGTTCTCTCCGCCAAATGGCAATCTTGGAACGTTAAAGAAGTTAAAAACGTCCAGATACTCCAGTTCATTCTGTGCTGGCGTCTTTGCGGGAGTCATGCCCCCTAAATGCCCGTGACTCTGGGGACCATTTCTCGGCTGTCGCGATATTAGGAAGTCTAGATCAAATGCCGTCCGACGCATGTCGGCTAGGATTTTGACTGAGCTGGGTGTGACTCCGTTGCCTTGTCTTTCGCTGTCTCGATGCTCGTCAAGAACTCGCTGTAGTAGCCCAGAGTATCCAGCAGCCACAGGCCAGTACCGTCCCATCTCGCGCAAGATGTCGACTAAAAAGGAGATTTGGGGAGAAAGCTTATGCTCGACCGTGGACCCATGGACTAGAAGCACCCGCGCAGCAACCCAAATTGTGAAGGCAAATGGTGGGCCTAGTTTTGGCAGGAAGCCATTGTTCACAACAAAGTCTCCCAGTGCAGATATATTTTCGACAGCGCCGTGGCATCTTTGTGCGGCAGAGAATGATGGCGTGAAGATGGCTGATCGAGTTGTTGGGTAGGCCGCCGAGGAATGCAGTCGAATAACAGCGGTATGGTAGGTCGCATGGAGCATGATCCAGTTACAGTTGAGATTTCTGCTTCCTGGCTGAAAGACTTTGCCCATATTCCCAAACTCCCCAGGAAGAGCGAAATTCCAAGATGTCAGCTCCTTGTCAAGCTCCTTGTACTGAAGCTGCCACTTTTCAACATCGGTAAGCTTCCCGATATCAACAGGCCGCTTCAAGAACTTGTGTATCTTTGAAAGGATTCCGAGGATTTCAATGTAGTAGGCGAAAGCACCCAGATTCTCAGGCCTCCCAAGTGTTTGCTGGTGGCTTTCGTCAACGTTTTGAGCGCTCGTGACGAACCATCGTGTTTCTACTTTTTGGTTCTCCATCCACATGTCGTCACGACAGGGAAGCATTCGGTCAATCTCCGTATCGGCCAACGCAAACTCAAAGGCAGTAGCGATAGTTGCGTATCTATCGAGAAGATATATCATCCAGAATATCCTCCTTCGTGACTCCTCTTCTATAAAATCTTTTGGCTCGGGAAGAATCATGGCGCGAAGCGTGTATATCGAGGTATAGAGAGGCGCCACACTGAAAGAATTGGTCTCAACGGCCAATCCCAGTTGCACCACCGACCTAGTGATGAGGGCCATAATGTTCCACCCGGGAGGGCCATTGCTACTACCGCATAGATCCAGGGCGAGTATGAGCAATGCCAGAAGCGACTTAACAGATGAGTTTTCCATTCCGTAAAGCAAGACTTTCTGCTTTGAGACGCGGTGATAATGCTGCCGCCGCTCTTCAGTAAGCCTAGGGTCGCTGGAGAACCGCATAGTAGTTGCAACTATGGCATGAAGGAGTATTCTGTCTGCCTCTTGAAGATCGGAGATTCCAAACAGATTATCCAGAGTAGTCCTTCGGTGAAGTATTGGACACCAAGTGTTGATATGTTTAAAATACAGGTCCACTAGATTGTACACTAGATTGTACGGTGGCAAGTCATCAGCATCGGTCGAGGGTAAAGGCGCGCCTGGCGTAGGCGTAACCGTCGACATGGAGATGCCTTGCTGAGCCGGAAGGTCGGATACGGGACCGGAGATGGAACCGCCAGGCAAAGGCGTTCGGCCCTGGTACTCGTTGTGAGCCTGTTCGGTAGAGGCAGGCCCAGAAGGGCCATTGCTTGGATGAGAATTATAGAACAAATTGTTGTTCATGTGAGACGGTTGATAAAGCTTCGACGAGCCTAGATTATTGCTGGCCTCGCTTTGAGTATCGTGATCGCTCGCAAGATTCTGGCGTCCAGCATGCGCACCAGCTTCGGAGTTCTCTGGACGGAGCGATGGCAGCGGTGATGTTTGGAGCAATTCAGAATGCTTCCGCAGAATTTCTTCCATTTTATCCAGCCTCAGTTCCATTTCACGGCTCCGATTCTCCAAAAATCTTCCAAAGCCTGCTCGCAAACCCGGCGGTTTTCGTTCCTTGTATTCGCATTTCTGGCCATGACGTTTACACCAACCACACGAAGGCTGGCCGCGATCACATTTCACCTATAACGTAGAAGACCGAGAAAAACGTGTTAGACAAGCCAAAGATATTCGAGTAATCGGGTAATAGAGAGATGTAAAAGAGAGTAATACCTTGCGCTGCTTGCATAACTCGCATCTGGTGGTTAATTGGTTAGCAACAGATTGCAATTGGAACGAAATCAAGCAAGATGAAGTTTGTTGCGGACTCGATTTAATCAAGCTATGGGTTCGTGCTTCGGCCTAGGGTTTCGCGCCAGGATTGAATTTCACACAAGGGTTCACCCATAACGCCAGGGAGAAGATAGGGCAGCAAACGTACGAAACTGAGATGGGCCGCTTGCGCTTGGCCGTCTGAGAGGTCTGGTCCGCGTCATTGTCGCTCTGGTCGTCGCTGTCAGGCTCAGGCTGGCGATCAGCGACGGAGGTGGAGGACGGCGGCGACGGTCGTTTGTTATCCTCGCTACCGCTGCGCATGACGCCTCAGGCTGACAAGAGACGGAGCCTCGTAAGGTGAGCCCAGGTTGCTCGAACGAAGCCTTGTTCGGTGGATTGACGATCCGACACCGACAGCCGTGATGATTGGGTGGTCGGTAAGCGGGGCGAGTAGATAGACGGCGAGCGGTGAAAGGCGAGCGGCGAGAAAGGTTTGGAGCATGCGCGCGCGTGGTTTCGGGATAAAGACGAGCGGGAGGATGTTGGGCGTCCGGGTCAATGATACTAAGCCGATGATGCGGAGCTGATGTTTGTCCTGGGGCAGAGACGGAGCAGCCAGGCCGCGGCAGAGCTGACGAGAAGCTCATTGGTGGCTGCAAGTTGACGAGAGCCGGAGGTCTGGCCTACTGCGGGTTGCTAGTGTGCGGAACCCACAATGTGGAGATGAATGAACTGATGGGGAAGATGAATGAGGAGAAGAGGAGATTCTTGGACGAGAATTATACACGTGAGGCTATCGAATTGCTGAAGCCGATTTCGCTGAGCTATAGGTACTCGAACTCGTAGTTTTTGGGTACCTACGAGTTGTCCATAGATCTCTTACCAGATTCCTATAGTCACCATTTCGAAACCACTGCTAGAGCCGTTCATTGCCATGCATCATTTCTTACCCTAGGCGCTTAGGGGGAAACCTGCCTATTATACCTAATAGCCAATAGAGAACCATAGGGCTTAGCAGCGGGATGCAGTAGGTGAACAGGTGTGATATTCATCGAATGCTGTGTACTTAGGTAAGTCGAGTATTCAGGCTCATCATAACAGGCTGTGTAAAAAGATCAGGTAATTACTGCTCACTGCCTGCATGTGCATGCCAATTCTATATTATCTATTATTACTATTAGGTAGGCAGGCACTATCTTGCCGCCGAGTCTTACCTCTCTATCTTTCAATTGCTATCTCTGTAACTCGTAGTTTTTCTTCACGACTCGTAAAGCGCCCGTCCCTGGTCCGAATCTGCATCGTTCGACCACGACACATATCGTCACATCTCGACAAGGCGGCCTTCGGGTCATCTCAGCCCGATACTCGTCAACACCACCAGCACCCCACATGTGTGATTTGTACACAGTTACCCGCATCTCCAGTGGCCGCCTTAAACCCATCTCTACAAATTAAATTCACCAGATCTCGTCTTTTTTCCGCTGCTGCAAGTTATTCCTTCTGTCGATTTGGCCTGTAATCATCATGCAAGGCTCTGTAAGGCAGTTTCCTACGATTAAAGCCATTCGATCCTACGTCATTGGCGGCGTAGGCTCCGGTATGTACAGACTTCAGATATATTTACGGCTCGAGTCTCAATTGGCATGTTCTTACCATTGATGTGCAATAGGCGGTGATTATCACAATGTCAAAGGAGGTCACTGGTATGTAGCATTCTTACGAGGGCTTATTGCACTTCTGAATAGTGATCGCTGATTCTCTTTCCAATAGGCTCATTGATAGTGACATCTCCACGCCATGCTCACAATGGGCTCAGTACCGCAAGTCGCGTACTAGTTGGGGTATCAACGTTCTTGGCTCCTTTCTGGTTGAGATAGAGGCATCTGATGGGACTGTTGGCTTTGCAACTGGCTTTGGAGGTAAGAATCCTAGCAAGTCAGATCTAAAATCGAATCCCCTCACAATCCCAAAATCATTGGAGCTCTTACGGTATTAACCCAACCTTCTACTAGGTCCTCCTGCCTGCTGGCTGGTTCATCAGCATTTTGAGCGATTCCTGGTTGGAGCTGATCCGAGAAACACGAATCTTCTCTTTGAGCAGATGTATCGTGCTTCCATGTTCTATGGCCGCAAAGGACTTCCCATTGCCGTCATCTCTGTCATTGATCTTGCACTCTGGGATTTGCTAGGCAAGGTCAGGAACGAGCCTGTCTATCGACTTATTGGTGGGGCAACCAAAGAACGCCTCAACTTCTACTGCACAGGACCCGAGCCAACCGCAGCCCGAGAGATGGGCTTCTGGGGTGCCAAGGTGCCGCTTCCCTTTTGCCCTGAGGAAGGCCACGAGGGACTACGGAAGAATGTCGAGTTTTTGCGCAAGCACCGTGAATCTGTGGGCCCAGATTTCCCCATCATGGTGGACTGTTACATGAGCCTCAATGTCTCCTATACCATTGAGTTGGTCAAGGCGTGTTCCGAATTCAACATCAACTGGTGGGAAGAGTGCTTGTCTCCCGATGACACGGATGGCTTCGAGCAAATCAAGCGTGCGCACCCGACGGTGAAATTCACGACTGGTGAACATGAGTACTCTCGCTATGGATTCCGAAAACTCATCGAAGGTCGCAATCTTGACATCATTCAGCCCGATGTCATGTGGCTGGGCGGCATGACGGAGCTGCTCAAAGTCTCGGCCATGGCTGCGGCATACGATATTCCTGTGGTTCCTCATGCCAGTGGTCCTTACAGCTACCACTTTGTCATTTCGCAACCAAACACGCCATTTCAAGAGTACCTCGCCAACTCTCCCGACGGCAAGAGTGTGCTTCCCGTCTTCGGCGACTTGTTCGTCGACGAACCCATTCCAACCAAGGGCTATCTTTTGACGAGCGATCTGGATAAGCCTGGATTTGGCTTGACCATCAACAATGCCGCACGCTCCAAACTCATTCCTTCGAATTACCTCCTTAGCCCTCCACCTGTACAGCAGCCCGCGCCCCCCGTTAATGGCGAGGGCAAACTCCACAATGGCGATTCAGAACACGCGCCAACGGCATGAACGAAGTTGCATGCTAGAAGAAGAATATATGGCGATGGTTAGTAGTGTCTACGTACATAAATAGATGTGTCGTCAGGCGATCTAAGCGAGCTCATGAAGCTACGAATATTGTTAATAGTTTTTAAAGGGGAGGGCCATCAGATAGCAATGCAAAGACTGTAGCAAAATTCACACATATGTACAAGTTTCCACAAGAGTAGAATTCCGTCACAATTTGCCAACAACACGATTTTGTCAACTTTTCTCTCTCTGTGCATATCTCAGTGTTGAACAAGGCTCCTCCTTGCGTGATAGAGACTTCAATGTTGGTTAAAGCATCGAGCGCAAAGGGCCTACGAGTGAGGACATGGATATTACGGGTAATACTCCATAAAATTGCATCGTGCTAAAACCTGGGGAAGTTTTGGGGAATCAGCATGAAAAAGCATCGTGACCCACCAAATTGAGATGACTTGCCTGCACTTTTTGCGCTCACTCCCCTCGATCGGAAGAGATCGTGAACAATTTTACGGTGGCCGTTTCGACCCGCTCTCCAGCCAGGACCCAGAACTTCACGATAGTTCACCATCCCACCGTATTGTGGGCCAAGCAAAAACGGTGGCTGCTTAGTCGGGGTTTCCTCGCCCTAGCAGGCCCCGAGAGCTCGGATTGATTTCTGCCGCAGATTAACGGATCTCGTCAACGGGGAGCCGCATTTATAGGGCCATCGGAATAACCTCACGATAGATCTGGCATCTAGAAAAGAAGACATTGACCAGAAAAAGGTGCCATTAGCCGCCGCGTCTACAAACCTTTTACACGCGCCTAATTAGACTGTTTCCCCGCATTGTGAATACGGCAACAAACAACATCGATTCTGTGAGACCTAGTGGCCTCTGTTTCTTATTACATATTGACTTTTGAAAAAGTTCTATATACAAGCACTTAGCTGCTTAGACTTGGCTTCTATCGGGAAATTTCAGGTTTCATCTCAGATCGACACAGGACTACAGTCGCCACTACTATCGCCAGTATGCCGCTAAAGGGCCTTCTGGCAGGCAAAACCGCGATTATAACAGGCGGAACAACTGGTATCGGACGTGCCATCTGCCTCGGCTATCTTCGTCAGGGATGCAACGTTGTTGTTAATCACCTCGGTCTGGAAAAGGACCAGAAGCACCTAGACTCGCTCATCGCTAAAGCGGGTGCCATCCTAGCAGAGGACCCTGCCGCTGGTCGTCTTGCTCATGAGGCCGGAGACGTGCGCCAAGTTGAAACAGCGGCCAAGCTGGTGGCTGCGGCGGTTGAACATTCAGGCCCGGCACGGCGCCTCGACATCTGCGTCTCTAATGCCGGAGTGTGCACTTTTGCCGACTTTCTGACGCTGTCGCCGGACTTGCTCGAGACCACGTTTAGGACGAATGTTGATGGAGCCTTTTACATCACACAGGCGGCCGCTCGACAGATGGCACTGCACCAGAGCCCCTCAGGCGGCAGCATCATCGGCATGTCGTCCATCTCGGCGCTGGTTGGTGGCGGCCTCCAGACGCATTACACACCGACCAAAGCTGGTGTGACGAGTCTGATGCAGAGCACCGCGGTGGCTCTGGGCAAATACGGCATCCGTTGCAACGCGTTGCTACCAGGGACGATTCGCACGCAGCTGAACGAGGAGGATCTGGCTGATGACGCCAAGCGGAGCTACATGGAGGGCAGGATACCTCTTGGGCGAACGGGCGATCCGGCGGATTTGGCGGGGCCGGCCATCTTTCTTGCTTGTGAGGAGCTGAGTGGTTACGTGACGGGTGCGCAGCTGCTGGTGGATGGCGGTCTGTTTGTTAATCTACAGTAGATTTGGCATCTTGGGCAGCGTGGCTATGTATTGTATCTGGATTGTTTATGCATTGTTTCAAACATTTAATGAGAGTGTTATACTCCATAGATATGACTTCCAAGTCTCACCACCACAACGGCGTCAGTGAAAGGGCCATCTACATGTACTTGACTCTGTAAGAATGGTATGACTTGGCTTGTTTAATGAAACAGCGGCGGCCCTTTTGCGGTAAGAGTTCTGAATCAAGGAAAAAGCGCGCAGGGTCCGTATGTCATTATGGAGCTCATGGTGTTTTGAGCCCACAGCAGCTTGCTGCCGCCATCCCTGCAGGCCCCTGAAATCTGTGACGGCCAACGGTGACTGTTACATACTGGAAACGCTGTAGACGTCCCAGACAGGCAATGCTCCGAGCTTTCACTCTATTGTAGGCGTACCGTATTGCCGTCTTTCATTGTTGGCCTCTCGGTTTGAAGAATCAGCTACCTTGTCCGTTGGTTTCCGTGGGGGATCCGCAGCCCCGTTCCCGGAGCCGAGCGTGAGCAGCTACAGGCTGCCGTGCCGGAAAAGGTGGGTCGGTATTGACGTCACAGTGGAACCGCCAGTCTGGATGCCTTTTTTCTCTTTTGCATGTGTCAATCAAGGCGGTACTTGTTCCTTACCAATTAATCAGGCCGGATTGGAAGCGGTCTACATGTACTCACTCAGGCTTACGGCGATCCATGCGGGATGTTGGCGACTTTGTGGTACTGTGCGTATCTCGAGACATCCCCAGACATCATCATACATAGCAGGCAGCTTTAGGTACCGGCATCACTAAAACTGCAGGCGAGCATCCTCCTGTTCCTAGATGTCGCTCAGATCTACGCCCTAAGGTGATCTGTAAAATCTCAACTCGGCCGCTTATCATCTTGGCCTTGTTCTCTCGTTCGTCGTAAAATTTTTCTTTCCGTCCAAGCCAATAGGTTGGCTTCCCCTCCCACCATAAGAGTTACACGAGCCCAGGGGTTGTAAGACGTCTCCGATGAGATCGCCATTTGCCTCACCTCATCCGAGCCAGCTGTCACGGCGGTCTTATCAGTACTTCGTTATCATTCGTTCACTGATACAAAAAATGCCGCTGGAAAGTTCCAAAGATATCCACTTTGGAAGAGCGGGAAGGGCGATTGGAGGGAACGTCATGATACGTATATTTTCGTACTGTATCCTGTTCTTGGCGTTTGCCACTATGAGCGCCGTTCGCATGTGGTTGTGACGACGTAAATGGTAATGATCCGCGGCTCTCCCACGTCCAGTTATTTCCAAGCACGAAGCTGATAACGAGGCACGTAAACGCGGCTGTATACTGTGGCAGGTGAAGTATAATTCAAGTACTGTAATAGTATCCAATTAGGGTATTTCTTATGGCGCCTCTATCGAAGAAATACCAAATCACTACCTAGGTATTCCCCGAGTTATCGCCAATGACATGTCAAGGCGCGCCACCTGCCATCACCGAGAGGCTTCCTTGGCTTCGTTCCTGGGCCATTTCCTGCTAGGTAGTTTCACCAAGGCTCTTCTCAGACCGCAAGGCGCAAGCCTCTTCAGCCCGCCTACGTAGTGACTACGCGCAATTCTCCACAGCGCCGTCATCTTCCCACGACTTCACGCGTGTGGAACCAGACTGTGGATAAACAACTGGAGACACATCACTGCTTGCCACTTTTCTTTGACGAAATACAGACAATGAAAGACAGAAAACCTGGAGAATGAAATGACTCAAGATGCTCGAGCAATACTCGAGTGGAACCACGTGGAGACCCCCAGAAACTCTGTGTGCACTCAGGGGGTGCGAGATGGAGTGAAAGATCGAGACGGCGAGAGGTATAAAAGACCCAGATATCCTCACCGTTCGAGACGGTAGAACCATACATCCACAGAAGCCTCACTAACTATCTAATACCTTGGAGAGTTGTTATTTATTTCCCCATCACTCTTCCACTTCTACCCCACAAACAGCATTGAATCATTACACCAGCAACAGGAGTTATCAAACTCATCAACATGGCAACCCTCAGCAAGGAGCAGCAGACCGAGTTCTACCAGCACGTGGCTCAGGTCAAGAAGGACATTGACGAGAGAGTAGCGGATTCAGACTCCATGCCCAGCTCACCCGAGTTGGCGTCGTCAGTTAGCTCTAGAGACAGTGTCTCCTCCAGCATCCCAACTCCCATATCTCCCATCGATTCTTCTGCTGTTGCCGACTCTTTTGTCTTTGCATTTGATATCGATGGCGTGCTTGTCCGAGGCGGTCGCCCTATCCCAGAGGCTATCGAGGCTATGAAAGTCCTTGACGGCGAGAACGAATACGGAATGAAGATGTAAGTCAACATCACAACACGCATACCCATTGAATTATGTGTCTAACTTTGAATTTGTCCCCAGTCCTCATATTTTCTTGACCAACGGTGGTGGCAAGACTGAAGAAGAGCGCTGCCAAGATCTATCAAAACAACTCGAGCGAGAGATCAAGCCCGGCCAGTTCATCTGCGGACACACTCCCATGAGAGAAATGGCTGAGAAGTACGGCACGGTCCTTGTCATTGGAGGCGAGGGTGAGAAGTGCCGTTTCGTCGCCGAAGGATACGGCTTCAAGGACGTCGTTACACCAGGCGACATCATCAAGCACAACGCCGCCACAACACCCTTCCGGAAGCTGACACCTGAAGAGCTTGCCAACTCCCGTGAGCGAGATTTCGATGATGTTGTCATCGATGCCGTCTTTGTGTTCGCCGACTCTCGTGACTGGGCCGGTGACATTCAGATCATGCTGGATGTGGCCATGTCTAAGGGAGGGCGACTTGCAACTCGCAGCGAGACGTTTGATGAGGGCCCCCCATTCTACTTCTCTCATAACGATGTCGTCTGGTCTGCTGCCCACGAGCATGTCCGTCTCGGCATGGGAGCTCTCCGACGCATGTTTGAAATCACATTCAAGGACCTCACTGGCGGCAAGGGCAAGCTGCACACGCACGCCTTTGGCAAGCCTCAAGTCTCGACGTTTGAGTTTGCCGAGCGACTGATGCAAACCTGGCGAAGCACCGAGCACGGCATCTCTGGTCCTCCCCAGACGGTGTACTTTGTTGGTGATACACCAGAGAGCGACATCCGTGGCACCAACGCCATCAATGACGTTGCCGACAACGATTGGTACAGCATCCTGGTCAAGACCGGTGTGTATCAGGAGGGCACAGAGCCGACTTACAAGCCTCGCGCTACCGTGTCTACCGTTCTTGATGCCGTGAACCACGGTATCCAGCGTGAGATGCGCAAGAAGGTGGTGTCATCGCTCAAGCGAGACGTTTTGGGCAAATCAGACTGTGTTGCAGCTGACCCAGCCATCTTTGATGAAGACATGCTTGTCTCTGCATAAAGGTTCAACGATATAAACACTTTGAAATGGCATATTACGAGCCGGAGTATTTGGAGTTCAAAACGAGGAAATTGAAACACTTGGATTCGCTAATGCGACACGACTGGTTCTTCCTTTTCTTTACACTTTCTCTTTAAGATTGGTTTCAGAGCGCAAGTGTTGGCAAACACTTGTATATCATGACGGGAGAGGATAGCTATACTTCTCTCATTATTTTCTTTCTTCTTTTTACACTTTCTTTCTCATCAGATAGACTGATGCCCCTTTTCATATACCCAAGCGATTATCAAACTGATATTAGAGCGCATTACAATGAGATACTAGACAGTCTCTTCTACATAGATTTATAGATTGGTCTATAGATAACTAGTCTTTAAAGTATACGCAATTGTCTACAGGATCCATGACCTTTGCTCTGTACAAGTGACATGAATCAATCGTCAAAAGTAAACTTTCCCCATGGTGATGTTGCAACCCAGCCAGCGCTGTCAACGACTTCCTGCCTATTAGAGCGTCTTTCAAAGGCCTCTTCCATAGTCACTCTCATAGAATATTCCGCAACGTGATCACGCTCAACATGAAGCCAGCCTTTCCATCCAGCAACCAGGTCACCCGCTCCAAGTCCGCCCAGCACAATCGTACCCCAGAATTCACGAGAGAGAGACGCCGCCGAGGAGCAGTCGTAGACCAAGGAGCGTTCGGCATCTGCGATGAGTGATCGGATGAGTTCGACGTCGGTGCCTGAGACTTCGCCGTATGGCGGCTGTTGGACATAGACATGCTGCAAGTCATCATCCGTGCATGTGAGGCGAGTAGTATCAAAGCGGCCGTCGAGATCGAGGACAAACAGCGTCATGGAATGAGGCGGCGATACGAGCGTTGATATTACTTTGTATATCAGTGGGAGGCTGCGGCCAGACACGGATATTGTGGGCGCCTGGGTGGCTCGAAATTGCCGGCTGGCGAGATGATCAAGCTCATCCAAGTGCGTGCTTTTGACTCGCCTGGTACCGGTCCCGATTGCCTGAGTCTTTTCTATGGAGAGTGACGAGCGAAAGCTGTCAAGGATCTATTGTCATGTCTCAATATTAGCATCGATTATCGTAAAAAGTAGTGGCCGAGTGTATTGGTTTAGAGGTGTTGACAGCTGAGGTGGAAAGGAATGTCCTTTTCTTCTTCCTTTTTCCCTCTTCATCTACTTTTTTCCCCCATATCTTTGAAAATACACCTCTGCTGCTTGTTTTTATCATACAACCCCATATTTGTGAAAATTGTGGCGATTTGTTGCACCTTGGGTGATTTTTCGCATCTCCAGTCACACCTCTCGGCGCATACGGAAACTTTCCCAAGCACCACCGTCGGAATCTCATCAAAAACTCACCTCCTCCAAACTGGCCTCCTCAACAGCCTTCAGCAACTGTCCGCCTATCGCCGCCTCCATCCTCTCACTCTCTCAATCAGGATCTCGCATATAACCCAGCCGCAAATGACGCCTCCCTGCCGCTCATTCCCCGCGTCGGAGCTGCCTCTTCGGATCCAGCAGGACGCCTCGGGCCGGCGCCGGAAGGTCGATGGTGCAGGCTCAGTGTCCCGCAAGATTGATCTCTCGGCGTGTGAGCTTTTTCAGATGCTGCAGTACAAATGCGAGGTTCAGCGGCCGCTGTCGCGCGAGAGCCCGGTTCGGTGCTTTGCCGTAGATCGGCTGTTTCGAAGGTAGAGTTTGAGACCCCACCAAAGCAAATGACTTTTGAGCTGTCACTGTCTGCCCCTCGGTTGAAGCATTGAGTCGCCTGGTTAATGCAATCGTTACTGACGATGGGGGGAAAAAAATAGGTGTAAGGACAAGCAAGGCACGTTTACTGTAGAGACAACGGCATGGGAAGGGGAGAGGGCTAGAGTGGACAACGGCCCTGAAGGTACCAAGACGAAAGAACCGCCTAGGCCGCACCAGTGGTCATCGAGCTGGCATGATGCCGACGAAGCATCGCCATGATGCGCCTGGCTTCTTATATTGCGACAGACGGCATTACAAGTTCTTTACCGCCCTGGACACTTGATCCAAACCTACAACGCCTGAGAGGGTCCCCGCGCCACCAGGATGAGCAGTATAGGGGATGACTCGAGCATACATCTTAAACCCAGACGCTCACATAATGCTACACACTACAGCCACCTTGCTCAGCGAAACGATCATAGAGGCTCTCTGAATTGATGATTGCGCTCATATGATATCGAACGTTGGTTTATAAAGCTTACAAAGCTTCGTGACGACGAGGAAGCTATAAACCCGTCGGCACAAGAGTCACATAGAATAGCTACGGAAAATTGTATTCTCATAGCACACAATTTGCATATAATTGGAAAGGAACCACCAGCGCCATTTCCAGCAACAAGCAAGAGGGGTCGGTATAGCAATAAATATAATAAGCCAAGTGAGATAATTGAATCGTATTGCCCCGAGACTTATTGGTCTAAGTAGAGGTTCGCCTGGCTGCCTTTCTTCCGTGATATTCGACATCTGTCCAGCAACTATGCTCCTGCAGGCATGAACAGTCCATTGGCCCATTCATTTCCCATCTATTCGACCAGCAGTTGTCCATGCCGCATTCCCTCTCGGTCCATCGATTATACAAATGCCCTCCTTACTGTGACGCCGCGGCGGCACGCTCGGCCTCCTTCTTGGCGTAGTAGGCGTCTCGGCCGTTGGTTCGGGGCATGTGGTAGCCGTACCTATCCCATTATTAGACAGTCTTCCCTTGCAAATCAGAGTCGGTTCACTATTTTGAAGTTCCGTACCAGTACCAGTTGGCCATGATGAATCCAGATCCTATAACGAGACGTGAGCCAAAGCGGATAAAAAGCCAAAAAGTCGCATAGCTGTGTCAAAGCTCTGCGGACAATCGGGGGCCAATATTTACCAAGACCGACGCCGAGGTCAAGGATGAGCTGTCGCCGCAGCATCTGCACCCTGTGTTAGCTACTCCAATGAATTTATAGCGGGACCTGCCTCGATTCCCAGTGCGATACTGCGCCATTGGCCGGAATAGGGACGTACTCCAGTGATCGGTGCGATAGCCATTGCGAAGAGAGAGCTTTCCAAGCTGTTATGAAGCCGTGAGATGCGTTGTTTGGCGGTTTGGTGAACTCGGTACAGCGGAAATGGAGAATCTGCTATGGATCAAACCATGGTATGGTCTGATGTTAATCCCGCTAAGGCACGTCACGTGACAGCACAATACCGGCCGTCGGCGGATTCTCGGGTGTGCGAAAAAGAGCGTCTGGAGCTATGCGATGGGTTTAGTAAATTGGGAAGATTGAATCATTCGTTTTCTTCAATGGGTTGTAGATCAGCTAGTTGAGACTCGTTCTTCTTGCTGCTGCCATCTCGGATCCAATGAGTCTACGGCTGGCCACTCGGCGGCTGGCGCTGTCAAGTAATACCTCTACCGAAGAAATACATCGTCTTATATCAAAAGTTCGCTGGCTAATCAATAGCATTAATTGGACACAGGCCCGTCTTCTTCAGCCTCATTGCTGACGCCGATTAATGGAATTTCACACGGAACCGTTGGCGTACTGACTCAGCGTCGTCACAAATGGTCGATCAATGTGTTTAAAGGATGGGGTAAATCCAGTTCCAAAGAATCTGGCGACAGAGGCCAGGACCCATCCGCCTCTGAATTGGACGATCCCAAGAAGCGACAGCAGTTCTTGCAAAGGAATATGCGAGGCGGAGTCGAAGACAACATTTTCCAGGACGAAATTGAGGCTGCGAAGCCGGTAATCGATTCTCCAGCCGCCCAAACGACAGAGGAAAGGACGAAGGAGAGCCTAGCAATGGTGGTCGATCCAGATGCCCGGAGCCGTATCCGGTGGCAGCGAAGAAAGGTCATCCAATCAGTGCGCCGCAACGGGCAGCTGACGAGAGAGGAGAAGATCAAAATGACGGAGCGCGAGCTCATTCACAAGAGCGACTTTTTCCCAACTAGCGTCAAGAAGCTGGTCATGTTGGCACGACAGATTGCCGGCAAGCCCGTCGACGAGGCTATCCAGCAAATGAAGTGGTCAAAAAAGAAGTTTGCGGCCGAAGTCAAATATCACCTGGAAGAGGCGCGGGACATGGCTGTTGTTCGGCGTGGTATGGGCCTTGGAAAGGTCAACGGTGACATTCTAGACAAGCCTCGCAAGGTGCGAACCAATGATGGCAAATGGATTGAGATTGAAGACCCGACCCGCCTCTATGTTGCTCAGTCATGGGTTGGACGCGGACCCTGGCGTGGAAAGGAGATTGACTATAAGGGACGAGGGAGAATGGGTGTCATCCAGCATCCCAGCACCAGTAAGACATTACTAGCCCCCCCCCCCTTCTTTCAATAGCACACTTCAGATTCGGATTCGCTAACCCATGTGGTGATATAGGCTTTACAGTCATTCTGAAAGAGGAAAAGACCAGAATTCGGGAGTATGAAGAGGAGAGGGCTAAGGAGGCACAAAAAGGCCCTTGGGTTCACTTACCAAACCGCAAGGTACATGGCCAGAGACCATATTATTCATGGTAAAGACAAGAGAATGAGGATGGTGGGAATTCGGAAGCAATAGAGTTTGCATGACAATGAGCATGTACCTGTATCAACATATGTACAATGAAACGAAATAACGCACTCGGGCAACTGGATAGAGTATTTCAGTTCTGGTTTCCTGCACCACGCAACTTCAGACTCTTTGAATAGTATCCGTGCTCAAGAGATGAAGAATACACACACCCCGTCTTGGCTTGAAGCGGCCCATCACCGATTGTATTTTGTAGCAAGCGTCGGTTAATACATTACACAGAGGCTTACTCCGGGGGAAGAAAGGCGTTGATCTCTGACCGTCACTTTAAGCCCATGATTAGAGTTTGCAACATAACCCATACAGTTGGAACAAATGGAAATTGGATCAAAGCTGGTCCTCACTCGTGAGCTAATCCCACTACCAGAGCACAGATGGCTAGTTCACCTGAGGACTATCAAAGACACGAGCTGCAGCTACACCATGGCTCTTGGCTGCTGCCGAGGTACCATATCTTCGTACCGGTTAGAAACCAGTTCGAGATCATTCGAATACTTTTCAAACGCGCCTTGGCCACGACCAGAACTGGGAGGCGGCGCAGAGATGTCGAAGGAATCGTGAGTTCGGCTGCGGTTTTTCAAGAAAAAGAAGACGCCGGCAAATGCAATTGCAACTACACCACCAGCAACTCCGACTCCAATTCCAATAGCCGCACCTTGAGACAAACCACCTGCCGGAGCAGCTGCGGATGTTTCAGTAGACGTGGGACTAGAGGTAGAGACAGAGGTGGAAGAAGCAGCAGAGGTTGTCGTAGGAGGCGGGGAAGTTGGTTTAGACTAGGTTACCCAAAGTTAGCAACGTTGAAGAGCCTAGGCTATAGGACGAATGTGAGGACACATACCGCGGGGATTGTAGAGTTTGAGTGTAGAGGGGTTCCTGTCGGCGGAGCAGAGGGTTGGGTGGGAACGGAGGCCGGTCCTGTCGTGGCCGACGATGCTGTAGTTGGTGGCCCTGTGGCCGGTGGCGATGAAGACGGAGGTGCAGTTTCTGAACTCGGAGCAGATGTCGTTGGCGGCGATGTTGGACTTGGGGTTGTTTCGCTTGGAGGAGCCGTCGATTCAGACGCGCCTGGAGTCGCTGGTGGTGTTGAGGTCGGAGGAGCTGATGCACCAGTTGGTGTAAACGCCAATTGTTGACCTATGGATGGATGAGTATACAACATATCTTGTCCATACATTTGGATCCTTACCCTGACAAAAGTTCCCAGCAAGAAAGGCCTGGACCTGGACGTCCGTAGAGCCGCAACCAGTCTGACCACAGTCTCGAACGCCAAATCCGAAGTTGGCGTTTGCACAGAGACAGGCAGCGTCATCTGCACTGACGCAACCATACTGAGTGAATTGGCCTCTGACAGTGTTCGCACAACCAGGCTATGACAAGGTCAGATATTGCTGAAGCTTCAATAGTCGAATTGACCTACCACACAGGTGGGCGTGTCCTGGGCAGCAACACCATCGACGTAAAGCAGGCTCAGTGCACCAAGCACTGCTGGAAGAAGGTAGCGCATATCGAATAGATGGCTCTTAGTCGCCGGTCTCGCACGCTGAGATTGAAAATTGAAAAGATATTGAAGCCTGTTTTCTAGAACGAACTAGATGATCGGAAAGATAGGCTGGAGCCACCAGACCTATTTTTCTCTTTCTCTCCTTCTCTCTATCCCACTATCCCTCTCTTTTTAATGCAACGTCACGAAGATCCGGAAGAAGAAGGTTGAAAGGACGGGGAATCTGGAACAAAATGTCGACCGAGAGTTACCAGCACACACGGTCAGACAGCAATCGAAAACGGACTCGTAACAGGCTGCGCAATGTACGAGCAAAAGAATGAGGCTGAAGGAGTGGAATGCAGATCTCGCAAGTAAAGGGAGAACAGGTTAGTGACAATAGTCGAGGTCTGCGGATGGAATGGCCATAGAAGGGGGCTCGAAAAGGGAGGCAAAAGGAGCGTAAGAAGTGTAAAATTCGCAATATATTCGTAGGGAGCGTGGATGGTCTATACAAGACCGTTGTAAGTTGAAGAGAAGAAAAAATGAATGAATGAGGTGAATACAAGGCCGAATCGCAGTCGCTACAGAAAGACACGATGGAGGATGAAATTCAGCGAGAAAGAATGCCAGTAGTGGTCGCTTTACTTTAACCCCCCAGCTCCGTGTTGGGCTCCGTAGATCATTAATGATAGGGATGCAATCCCGGTCTGCGGGCCCACCTCCAGCACCTAGCCAGCGCTAATAACGCGCTCCAAATGCGCTGCTGTGCCTGGCTCCGTAGCGGTTGGGTACCTGCTGCATTCTGCAAAGTAGGGGGGTTGATCTGAAACAAGGAATCATACAGGCAAGGTCACCTTCCACGGTGGCTTCCAGGCGCCGTACGAGGCGGAAACAGGACTAGCATGGGAGTGTTAGTGTCGAGCTGGTTATTGCTTGACAATTTCATGCCCAAACAATTACGAGGCGTCCATATCTTGTATATTTATAACTCTAAAACTCGAGCTACTGCTTCCCCCGATGCGAACATTTACCAGGTAGCAGGTAGGTAGACGGATATCGCTACATATTACATGTACTGATTCACAATGAGCGCCTTAGGGAGCCGAACACTTTTTCTCAGTAGGTACATGTAATTACTGCTATCCACTGATCTGCGTCATACACTACCTTCGGTAAGGGCTCAACTGTCTGGGAGTCATCACAATTTGGAACATTCAATTACCATCAGCCGCGGCTGCAAAGCTGCCTATTACCTGGGCTGCCTAAAACTTACCTTAGTTCTACTACCTAGTAGTAGGTACCTATTAGGTACTTGAGTAGGTAAATTACCAAAGAAATCCTACCAGAAAGCTGCGAGAGGAACTCAAGCAGGTACCTGCCGAGGCCACCGCCAAGCTAAGGTGGGTAGCTCGGCCTTGCATTAGGTAGCGTAGAGGTACCTAAACCAGGTATTAGTAGAGCAGCACAATCAGCTTTTTGAGTTTGCAGATCCCATCCATCTCAACAGCTTACCATCGACATCATCCGAATCTGCTCTTCTTCTCACCCAATCTCGACTTTTCTTCCATCGACTCCCATATTGCGGCAACTCTTGATTTATGCTGCAGGCACTGTGATGCCGCATCGGAACGGCCGAAGAGGATGACCATGGCCAATCCTGTAGGCGAGGAGAGCTGGCTGGCCTATCTCGACGAAACCACACGCAACGCCCCCGATCTCGAGCAGCGCGTAAATGTCGTCGAACTTTTCAAACGCGCTGTCGGCGCGGAGCCCGGTAGTCTGCAGATCTGGCTGGCATACTGCAACTATTTCTGGTCTCTTTGGGCGGATAGTCAATCCGACGCTGCTGGGTGGCCTGAAGAAGAACAAATGATGGGTCGTGAGCTTTTCTCGTTCGGATCTGCCCTTGACCTGTGGCAGCAAGGGTACGAGGCTATCAAGTATCGCATCAACGACAGTCATATTCTCTGGAACCGCTGGATATCTCTAGAAATGGAGCTCCTGGAGAAGACGAAAACTCCAGAGGGTGTTAAGCGCATCACGCACCTGTACCGTGACCGACTTACGACGCCTCACATCACTTGGGACGAAACATCGCAAATGTTCTCGAGCTTTCTGTCGGAATATAATCGCGCAGCGTGGGAAGACTCCATGAAAGACGTCACCGCACTATCCCAGGATGCAAAGCGCCTGATGGCGGAGCGGGATTCTTTTGAGCTCAAGCTCCAACAGGCATCCAGGGCCGACGATGCGGAAGCTCAAAAGAAAATCATGACCGAATATCTTGAATGGGAAGCGTCACGCGCCCATGGTGGACAAGGCATCGCTGACATCAATTTCAACCTTTGCTGTGGACTCTATGCTAGAGCCTTGACCGGGGTATTCGCATCCGATGAATCGGTTTGGCACCAACATATAGTCTTCCTCTCATCCTCATACGCCGATACAAAAGCCCCTGAATATCTACTCAATGCCCTCCGCCGGGCCGTTCAGCATTGCCCCTGGTCCGGTCGCTTATGGAATAGGTTAATTCTATGCGCAGAAGAGGCGAGATTAGATTTTGCTGAAGTGGAGTCCATTAAGCATGCCGCGACGAGCGAGAACCAGCTGTACAAGCACGGCATGGAGAGCATGATCGAGATGTATGTGGCATGGTGCGGTTTTCTAAAACGAACCGCGATGGATGCGAGCGCTACAGATGAGGCTGTAGATGTGGCTGATGTAGGGCTGAGTGCCGCTCTCGAGGACGTTGAAGTTGTGGGCAAAAGATTATATGGCAAAGACTTTCAGGGCGACCCCAAGTTCCGGCTGGAGCGCATCTATATCCAATACCTGACTGAGAAGAAGGGAGCGATAGACGAGGCGAGAATGCAGTGGAATAAGCTAGCCAAGGCCCAAATCCACGCCGACAGTCACGACTTTTGGTTCCGCTATTATATGTGGGAGATGCTCATATTCTCTTCTACCAACACAAGCAACAGCCCTACACCCTCTTCTGGAGGTGGCAATTTCCGGATACCCGTGCTTGCCACCGCTGTTCTTCAGCGCGCTGTAAACCGACAGACCATTGACTGGCCCGAAAAGGTGCTGGAGGTTTACATGCAGCATTGCAATGATTATGAACAGTCGCATTCTGTTCGCAGAGCGGCTGATGCCGTGCAGAAAGCTGAAAGCAATATTGCGAAGCGACGTGCTCTTGAAGAAGAGGAGAAGGCTGCCGCATATGCTGCCTATTATAGCGCACAGCCAGCAGGTCATGGTGAAGCAACTTCAGGAGATGTCTCCCCAGGCCAGTCTAAGAGAAAACGGGAAGATCCAGTGGATTCACAGGAGCCCAACAGCACGAGCAGTAAACGCCAAAAGAACGAGCACGAAACGCAGTCTGGATCGCGGAGGGATAGAGAGAACACATCCGTGCTCGTCTCAAATCTCCCTGCAGAAGTCACGCAGACAAAGCTCCGCCAATACTTTAAAGAGTATGGCCACATCAATAATGTCACAGCTCTAGTACGGGAAGAAGACGGTCTCTCATCAACGGCATTGATTGAGTTCAGTACTCCAGAAGAAGCACAATCTGCATTACTCAGAGACGGCAAGTTCTTCGGGGAGTCCCAGATTAATGTGCGATCAGCGCATGATTTAACCATCTATGTCACCAACTACCCACCTGCGGCTGATGAAAAGTACATCCGTCGATTGTTCAAGGATTGTGGAGAGATTTTAAGCATTCGATGGCCCAGTCTGAAGGTGAATACACATCGCCGATTCTGCTACGTCTCTTTCCGTGAGAGTGAAGCATCCGCTAGAGCAGTGGCAAAAGAAGGCACCATTCTCGACGATAAATGTAAGCTCGTGGCCAAATATTCCGATCCCAATCGCAAAAAGAACCGCGAGGGTGCTGTTGCTGAGGGCCGAGAAGTTCATGTCTCAGGCTTGAGCCCCTCTGCTACAGAAGAGGAAATCCGTACAGTATTCTCAAAATACGGAACCATTTCGAGAATCAATGTTCCTCGAAACATAAGCGGGAAGGGCCGAGGTTTTGCATTTGTCGACTTTGCAACAAAGGATGAAGCTGAAAAGGCTACCTCAGAACTTGACAAGACCAAGTTTCTCAACCAAATAATCCGCGTCGAGATCTCAAAGTCTTCTAATGTGAAGCCCACGGCCCATAGCGGATCACACGACCGTGCATCTCCCGCACACCAAGCGAGCAATGATGCCGATGTTGACATGGCCAACCACGGATCTGCCAGTGACAAGTTGTCAGGCCCTTCAGCTGGCGACATCGCCGCGCGTACTATCGCCCTCATGGGCCTGCCTGACACGGTCAACGACGCTCGAGTGCGAGCGCTTGTTGAGCCGTTTGGGCCTATCGTTAAGCTGATTCTACAACCAGGGCATGGTGGCGCGAAGATAGAGTTCGCAGACTCTTCTGCTGCAGGCAAGGCAAGCCTGCAACTTAGCAATGTCGAGTTTGAAGGCCGCAAACTGCAGGTCGGGTCTCCCAATGACCTGCGCCACGCCAAGGTTGAGAGAACAGAAGATCGCATTGTCCCACGTAGCCAGAGTTCGGCTAAGAAAGACAAGCCGGCCGGCACCACGGCGAACAGTTTCTTACCCTCGTCGGTGATGAGGCGACCTACCGTGGGAAGACCAGGTCCAAAGCGAGGGCTCGGTTTCTCTGCCCCGAAAGTAATACCCAAGTCTGATGACACAAAGGATGGAGAGAGTACAAAGCCAGCGCCAAAGAGCAACGCTGACTTCAAAGAGCTCTTTTTGAGAGGCTCAAACCCCAAGAATAATACCGACAAGGCCGATACCGAGAAGACCGAGTAAACAGGAATGTCTTCCGTGGCTTGCCTCCAATTGAACTTGATATATCAGGAAGTAGCTATAGTGTTTTCTACTGAATTGACAAAATGAATTCTATCAAGTTCCAAACCTAGTATTCCCTTATTATCTTGCTCCGAAATTGCCATTTCGCCCAAGCAGTTGTCCCCTATCCCAATGTATGTTCCCTAGTAATTCTATGTTCTGTGGCTGGTCTCTGTAGTCCAGCTCCAAACGCAATGTTCTAATTCAGGTCCAAGTCTAGAGACTGACGGTGTTGACAATCTTATCTTGGTTGAAGTCCTGGGAAAATAGACGCTGCCACACGTCGAACCACTTCTCCTGCTGTGCAGTGAGCAGCTTGCCGGGTTGCTTGAAGGTTCTAGTAAGTAGTTCTCGCAACCGCGTGCGCAAGACTTTAATGACGAGCATTGTCTTCCAATCCGGAATGGCGAAACGACCCCGGTTACCATCCAACACTATAACGCCAGAGTATAGCTAAAAACAAATTGTATCAGTACGGTAACTCAACCGGTATGGGCAAAAGGCAGGCCATAAATGGAAATCCTCTTGACTTACATCGCAGCGTACGTCACCACAAAGCAGTGCTATCGAGAAAGGTTCCGTGGCACTGGTTTCATGTGCACGATAAACCCTACATCGATCATTAGATAAACGCCAACAAAGAGGCGTACAGATAGAAGGATATTCGGCAACTCACGATTTGGTTTGCATTATAGTATAATACGATAGCCATTTGATCTCGAACAGCCCTCGATTGACAGAGCTTGGGTGAAGGCTAATGGATTGGTTGTTTCCTATATTGCGGAGCCCCTTGGAACCTGGTGCATCTCTCACGAGAAGCTTGGGGTAGAAGCTCCATGCAATAACGGAAGTTGATACAATATCGTTATCGCTGTTGAGGTTGACTCGTTGGGGTACCTCGACAAATTGCTGCTGACGACGGCTGCGACCACCGGAAGAAAATCGAAGCTTCAATAAAGCTCGCCGCTCATCCTCCGTCAGGGATAGAAATCCGGAGTCGGCCAGGGACGTCAAAAGTTGCCCCTTTAGATCTTCAATGTTGGTGAGCGTCTGCTGATTGAGATAGTTCTTTCTGCAGAATTGGAATTCTTTTCCGTAACCTCCATTCGCTTGGCATACTCGCTTCCACGCTACATATGCATTGTAAGTTGTAAGGACATCCGAGTCTGCACGGCGGAAAGCTGCTCTCGCATTATTTGCTTGCGTCTGCTGTCCGAACGGAGCAGAAAATGGCGATTTGGACGATAAGATTGCCGCGACGGTGATGGCCATGTCTAGGCATTTAAATACGCATCCCAAGAGGATGAGTTTTCCCAAGAAAACATCCAGAGGCAATCTTGCCAATTGATAACCAAGAGGGGTGAGATCTTCTGTGCCAGTCAAGGCCCGCACATCCACAAGTGCGTCAACAGCCCGACGTATATTCTTTGCCGAGGGAGGATCCAAAGCGTCACCTAGTGTCTCTTCGATGCCGCCTATCTTACAGATCTTGACTCGTATCGCCAAGTCTTGCAAAGAAAGCCGGAGCATCTCCGGAGTTTGCTGATCACTCATAAGTGTATCGTGCCTGTACCGGGAGAACATGTGGAAACATAGTCCATTCTGCACACGACCAGCACGCCCTCTTCGTTGCTTTGCATTGGCTCTTGATATGAATGTGTCGATCAGCCTGGAAAGCTGCTTCTTCTCATCGAATCTCATTTCGCGATGTTTGCCCGTGTCGATGACACAGGTAACATCTGGAATAGTGATTCCAGTTTCTGCAATATTCGTCGCCAATACGATCTTTCGCATGCCTTGAGGTGGTACAAGAAAAGCTGCCTCTTGGTCCTCCATGGCGATCGTAGAGTGTAGAGGGTAAACAAGCCAGCCAGCGGAAAACCGAGGGTCTCCCAATAGCATATCGTTCAGTGATCTTATGTCTGCAATTCCAGGTAAAAAGACCAGGATTGCATTACTGTACTGCTGTAGTGATTCATCTATAGAAACTCGAGCGATCAGTTCCACAATAAGGTCGAGGTCGATTTGGTATTCGTTCATCTGAGCGAGAACCGTCTTGGTTCTGTTTGAATAGCCTGCGAGGCTCTGTGCCATTTCTGTTTTCAAGCCCTCTACTTCGATCTCGCCTACATCGTCATCAAGATCAACAAGCCGATCAGATTCCGAATTGGCGGGGGTATAGCCAGTAAGCTCAACAGCATCTTCTAGATAGCGGACCATGACCGGGAATGTTCTTCCTGGGACGTTAAGAACAGGCGCACCACCTAGGTATGCAGAAAATCGCTCTGCATCAACAGTAGCAGACATCAAGATAACCTTCAAGTCTTTCCGGCGTTTCAGGAGACGCTTAAGAACGATAAGAAGGAAATCGCTATCAATGGAGCGTTCATGGACCTCGTCGAGTACTAGGTGTGTAACTTCGCCAAGGTCGTTTGAACCTTCAAGCATTCTCATAACAATTCCCGTGGTAGCATATACAAGCCGTGTTTCTTTGGACGTGTTTGATTCAAGGCGGATGGAATAGCCAACGAGGGATCTAGAAGTCCCCAAGTCACCCCTTTCGTCGCCCAACTCCTCGCTTACCCGACGAGCTAGGGATATGGCTGAAATTCGACGAGGCTCCGTGCAATATATTTTACATTGTCTGCCTTGTGACAGCTCATGCTCCAGCAAAAACGCCGGGACTTGTGTACTTTTGCCGCTGCAACATTGTAAGCGAGGCGCAACTTGGACAAAAGACAAGCCCTCCACTTACCAGCCGGTTTCTCCGCAGATAATTATAACTTGATTGTTATCTACAGCATCCAAAACATTGTTTTTGAATTTCCACATGGGAAGCTGTACTCGATATTCCTAACAGGCGCGTCAGTTGGCCGTAGCGGTGCACCGGAAGAAGCATATGCTGATAACATACTAGCATGGCTGCATATTTCTTCCTGCCCGACTTCGATGCCCATAACTTTTTCAAATTGTCGTCGCTCTCAATGTTCTTTGATCGCTCGACATGTCCTGATTCGGCAGCCTCTGGCGAAGCCTTGGTATTATTGCGACCCCGGAACGCACCCTGCAGAACAACGCCGTCTTCAAGCTCTTGATCCTGCCTTTGACGGACAAGAGCCTTGAGTTGTTTCACGGCTAATCGATCTTGCGCATCAAAATGGCCCTTTTTGGCTTCAGCCATCTCAGACCAAAAATCGCGCCAGACAGTTGGAAGCCTAAGGTTAACTTTCTCTTCCTTAGGATTACCATTGAATATGTGGAATAGCGCCGCTGTGGCAATGTAGGCCTCTGATTGCTTCGTATCCGGTGTAGCAACCTTGGTCATAGTAAACCTGAAGTGTGAAGGGTCAATCACTGCTTCAACGTCCGCGCTGGCCACAATCTGGGCAGGGTCCTGCGGCTTTGACCACAAAATATCCACCGAATGGCGGTTAGCAAAACTAGCCTCGGAAACAACTGTAAACTTGATATTGACAGATGGGTCTCTGATTAAGGTTAGCACCTTGAGGACGATGCTGCAGGCGAGAGACCTAGTGTATCAACTTGCCTAGAACGACAGGCATCTTCCAAGATTCGTTTTGGGGTGACTCCTGTCCATTTGGAAAATTCTCGAATAATAAGCTTTACTCCGTCTGAAGAGTTTACTACCGTCTGGAGCTTTCCTGTGGTCGGGTCGACTTCGCTCTGGGGGAGAGATTCGAATAAGCCTGCGATATCGTCGTCTTCATTACTCTCGGCGAGGAGCTCTTGAGCCATCTTCTCAGCTATAGCAGTAATATCGTCGTCCGCTTCTAATGGTGGCGCGGGGTCTTCAGATTGTGACGGGCTGTTTGAGTCAGTGGCAGCACTCTTCCTAGCCAAAGCAAGTTGCTTCTCCAAAACAACTTTCTCTTTCTTCCATTGTTGCTCTGCCAAGAATTTGTCAAACAGAACATCAGATTCTATGGCCTTAAGTTTGGATTCCAGGTAAGCCACTGCTGCCATGTCCGTCTCATTTTCCTTGCCCTGCGGCTTGGTGGATTTGGACTGCGCTCCTTTTTCCAGGTGGCCAAGCTCGAGTAACTTTGCTTTTGTGGCGACGTATTCTGGTATCAAATCCTCCGGCTCAATATCACCATCGAATGTAGCAATTGGAGATGCCCGGGCTTTGCCAGGGCGAGTATTTGGTGCATTGCCTTTCTCCGTACGACCGGCTTGAGCTACGTTTAACTTGGGGGTGCTTGTGCGAGACGGGGGCCCAGATGCACTATCGGTAGCGTCTAAAAGAAATATATCAGAAAATGATGAGGATAAGGTCTACCCCTGGATCCAGTATGGGAAGGCTGACCTTTGGAAACTGCCTTGGTCCTGGTCCCGTACGTGGGGAGATCTTCAAGCGGAGATTCACGAGCGAGCCATTCCAGAGCTTCTTCTAGACCCCATATATAATCTCGAGGAGCAGCCGATATGTTTGGTGCGATATCCAAGATATGCTGTATAGCGCTTTCGACGATTTTTTCAGAAAAGGCGGCTCCGGAGAGCGTCTGCTGCAACGTCCAGATGCGTGATACCAACTCTTCTTCAGACGGCATCTTTCCAGGCCCAGCGTTTTCGGATGAAAGGCTAGAGGCATAGAAGCGACTTTCAGCCTTGATCAGGTCAAGGATATGATCCATCAATTCCCGAGGCAGCCATTTTGGCGTGTTGATAGTTTCAGCCTGGCTCCGAAGCAGGCGCCGATCGGTCTCCAATCGAGAGCACTGGCGTTGAGCATCTCGCTTGACTTTCTGCGAGTATTTTTCTACAAACAGCTGCAGTTCTGATTCTTCAAGCTGTCGTTCGAACTCTTCGGGGCTCAGTACGGCTTCTTTGGCTGTTGTTTGCTCGCCACTCGCCACGGTTGGCTTCGATGATAGCGGGGTTGCTTCTGATCCAACTGGAGGGGCAGTCTTGGGGGTGCTGACACCCGAAGAAGGTTGAGATCCTGTCGGCTCTGCTATTTCTAGGCGAGGCTTGGACGCAACAGAGGTCGTCGCAAAGCCTCGCGCCGGATTGGCTGCCGGCTTCTTCTTCTTCTTTGCGCCAGCCATGAGGTGGCTTGGGAGAAACGTTCGGCGAACGGAGGAGGGGGGAGAGGGGAATCGAGATCAACAAGTGCCTCTGGATAAGAACATGCTCGAAGGGCAGGGGTATTCAAAGGGCAAGTGAGTACTCGTACTCCGTAGATATGCAACAGTGGTGCATCAATATTATGGCCTTGCGTTTGCTTTATTCTAGCTACCTGGCAATAAGTTAATATTGTTTAATCTGCATTATATAAGCATTCTGACCTAATATATGGTATTAGAGGTAAATGGGTCTTCGTCTGCACGGATATTGACATTTATCAGTCAATTTTTTAGTTAAAAATTTACATATATAACTTATTTCTACCTGTAAATTCACATAGAAAAGTTAAATCTTCAAAACTTACGATAGCAGAAGCCATGGCTTTTCTTAAATTCCTTCTTTCAAGTCTGTGAATTCTATTTTTAGCCACCACTGGTGCGGAGTCGCATGTGACAGCGTTCGGATGGCCGCCGTACCTGGCATGCATGATTGCTCGGTACATGGAATACGGGTAAAGTGGTCAAGGAGCAAATGCCGAATCTCCAGCATCTCATCGCTGCCCCGGCACTTCCACATCGAGCCAAAGTTCATATTTTTCGTCACAAAATCAAGCATTTTGTCAACACGCTTAAATGGCATCTCGGCTGTGTCAAAACTCCTATCCTTGCCTGTCTACTTGGCGCTACACTAAATTGTGTCGACTAGCGAACCTAGTAGTTAGCCAATACTTTGACACCTGCGCCTCCTTGTCCGTTGGCCATGACGCCCGGGTATATTTGGTCATTTCGACCCCATCACGCTTTTATTCAGCTGGCTGACGTCGCAGTCATTTTGCTCCTCAACTCACGACTCCATCATTTGGTTTTGTTGGTCAATGAGCGGCGCTTCAAAGTGCTCAGAGAATCGTTCACAACGTACTCAAGGGTTCAGCTGAATAGCCCCCTCTTTACTTGCCGGACAAGGTTCAGGACTCAGCTATCGTTTGGGTAAAGGAGGCGTCTCATTTCCGCCTTGCTGCCTGCATATTCATATCCTCGTGATATGCTTCATGACTAGAGTCGTTCGCCAGCTGCCTGGATACAATGTTTGCCTTCGACCAAGCCGCACTACCTCAACTCACAACCCGTAAGGCTCTCATACTGGTTGACTTTCAAAACGACTTCCTTGATCCTGTTGACGGCGGACTGCCTGCCACCAAGCCGGAAGGATTTGTCAATCGCGCAACTAAGATAGCAGCAGCTTTCCGCTCGGTGGGAGACGTCATCTGGGTTCAGTCTCAGTTTGACAAAGCTCGTCCAGTTGAGAGCGACCAGATTGTGTTGTCTGAGAATGGGCCGGTATCCCAGTCTAGACCTGCTCAAAGCCGCAGGAGGAACGTCGTGGCTGAGGCTTCTTCTGATGAGCCACTGGACAATGAAGCCTTTCTGAGTCATGAGGAGCCCCTTTGCGTGAAGCCTTCCCACACGGGATGCAACATGCCCCCGGCCGTTGCGGAGGCCGTCCAAAAGCGGGACACGAAATTGACAAAATCTTATTACTCCGCGTTTCATGGCACGCAGTTGCTGCGCGCCCTTCGCGGTAAGATGGTCATGGAAGTCTTCATTTGCGGCTCCCTGGCCAATATTGGCGTCTACGCCACCGCCATGGACGCCGCAGGTCATGGCATGGCTATTACAGTCATAGAGGATTGTTGCGGCTATCGCCTAGAATCTAGGCGGGATTCAGCTATAAAAAGCCTGGTCGAGCTCACCGGCTGTGAGATTTTGTCCTCGAAAGAGGTTCTCAGCACTCTACCTTCAACTCCACCAGTAGTCGAAACACCCAAGAAAGCAGAAAATACGCCACCCGCCCCGCAAGCAAAAGCAGCTGGTGTTTGTAGTGATAAAGATCTTGTACAATCACTCCTAGAACTCAAGCTGGATTCTGGCTCATCTGGCCCTGCTACCACCGTGAATGAACCAAGCCCGAAGATTACTCCCAAGACACAATCTCAAGATCCCCAGAAGGAAATTGAGCAGACGAAGAAGATGGATATGGAGCACAAGACTCCAGCTGAGGCCGGCACGGCGGAACATGTCGAGCCAGTTGATAGCTCTGTAAACGAAGGCGATTCATCCTCTCAGCAGAAGCTTTGTGAAGGCGATGCCGATGTCATTCTCAATGCCTTGTCAAGCGGTTTAGCAGATGAAGCTTTTGAGAAGCTTGAAAAAGAGGTAGTTTGGCAAAGGATGTCACACCAGGGCGGCGAGGTTCCTCGACTTGTCGCTGTCCAAGGCAAGGTGAGCGAAGATGGCACCATGCCAGTCTATCGCCATCCCGCTGACGAATCTCCGCCACTGCTTCCATTCTCCCCAACCGTTAGAGCCATCAAGGATGAGATAGAGAAGCATCTCGGCCATCCCCTTAATCACGTCCTCATTCAATTCTACCGTGACGGAAACGACTACATTTCCGAGCACAGCGATAAAACCCTGGATATTGTCAAGGGTTCGTACATCGCCAATGTCAGTCTTGGGGCGGAAAGAACCATGACTCTTAGAACTAAGAGGCAGGTAAAAGATTCTACTGGAGTGGTATCGGATGATGGAAAACGAAAAATCGAACGTGCCAAACTCCCACACAACTCGCTCTTCCGGATGGGCTTGCAGACAAATATGAAATGGCTGCATGCCATCCGACGAGACAAACGTGTAGACCGTGATAGGTCGCCTGCTGAACTGGCTTATTCAGGCCGTCGGATATCTCTCACGTTCAGGCAGATTGGCACATTCCTCGATCGTGAGGAGACTATTATCTGGGGCCAAGGAGCAACTGGCAAGACTCGCGCCACTGCGCATGCCATAAATAATGGACAGAGCCCTGATGCTGTGAAGATGATTCAGGCGTTTGGCATGGAAAACCATTCGTCGGATTTCGGTTGGCAGGCGCATTACGGCGGCGGCTTCGACGTGTTGCATATTAGCAACTCTCCTAGATTCTTCGCCTCTGCGGATCCTGTAGTCAATATGCGCATTGTGCTTATGCTGGCCGAGTTTGGTATTCAGTTTGCCAAGGGCAGCATGGCTTCTGGCAACGATGTCCCCAGCGGCAATCAAAATAACCTTCCTGCGTCCTGGTCTACGCCTGTAAAGTTCGTTGATAACGACGCCGCTAGATCCGTCGTTCAGGGGGACATCGCCATCATGCTATATCTGCACTCCCGCTACGGGTATGGGCGCACTTCTGAGACAGATTCCGCTCCTCAAGGTCCAGAAAAGCTTGCAAGGCTATACAGCCAGATGCAACAAGGATTGAATCTACTACATGCCTGGCGGCAACTGAGGAGCGATGGGGATACTAACAGTCGAGCACTGCCCGGGAAGATGAAACAAGAGCTCGCTGTTTGGGACGAATATATCGTCGACAACCTGAAACAAAAACGTCCTCCATATCTTGGCGAAGACAAGTTGACCCTTCCCGACTTTGCCGTATGGCCAGTCTTGCACTCCATCGTAGAAGAATATGGCCCAGAAGTAACATTCAAAGGTCTGGATGGATTACGAACATACTATGAGACTGTTCGACAGCTGGACACTGTTGCCACGGCTTTAGGAAATCGATAATTCCCCAAGTCTACAAGGGAATATATTATTTCTGCTCCCTACCACTAGATTGATACCTTGCTTGCTTCCCGAATACCTACCTAGTCGTTTGGATATTCGCTGTTGGTCTAATCTTGTTGAACGGTCGAAATGGTAATGTTTGGATTCAATAGGTGCCAACTCCCCCACCTCCTTCATTACACGCTGTCTTTACATGTAAATACCCTTTGAAGCTGCACAGAGCAATCCTTATATTTAGTGTTGAACAACAAATAAGAGCGGCGTGTGAATGATCGGCCCACAACCTGTATACCCACAATAGGAGACGCAATTCTCCGAAATAGTACATTTTAATATAGCTTCAGAAAGGAACTTGCCGTTTGATGTTACATTTACTGAGCCGAGTCCCAGGGAAGAGGATATGTGCCTACCCAATCCGCGACTTCGCTCCTCAGCTGCACAATCTCTGGATCTCTATCCCCATTGCCAAGATGGTCTACAAAAAGCTTGAGTTTACCAGGCAACTTTTCGCCTCGCTCCTCAGCTGATGCTCTGACTGTCTTGTTAATACGGGTCGCGATGGTGACGGCGCGGTCAACAACATCAGCCACTCGTACAAAGTCGTCCTCGTGGAATCCGCGAGTTGTCATGGCAGGCGTGCCCATCCGAAGACCACCAGGTACCAGAGCTGATCGGTCACCCGGCACGGTATTCTTGTTTGCGGCAACGCCAACCAGTTCCAAAACGCGCTCTACTCTGCTGCCGTCGATGCCGTGGGGCTTGAGGTCAACAAGGACTAGGTGGTTATCGGTGCCGCCGCTGACAAGGCTATATCCAAGACCGCCCTTACCCTTCTCTTCTCCGAGGCGCTTAGCAAAAGCCTTTGCATTTGCCAACACTTGGGACTGGTAGGCGTGGAATTCGGTCGTCTGTGTCTGCTTCAATGCCACGGCAAGAGCAGTGATGGTATGGTTGTGGGGACCACCCTGGTGGCCCGGGAACACGGAGTTGTTGATTGGGCCCTCAAGGTTGTACATTTCATCTTCTTTCGTCTTCGGGTTCTGTCTTCGTACGCCCTTGCGGAAGAAAATCAGGGCTCCTCGAGGTCCTCGAAGACTCTTGTGGCTGGTAGTAGTGACGATATCGGCGAAGGGGAAGGGGCCCGGCAACACCTTGGCGGCGACAAGACCGGAGATGTGTGCCATATCTGCCACCATATAAGCGTTGACCTTGTCGCAGATGTCTCGGATGCGCTTATAATCGATCAATCGGCTGTAGGCACTAGTTCCAGCGACGATGATCTTGGGTCGGTAAATAGTGGCCATTTTTTCAAGGTTGTCGTAATCGATGTAGCCGGTGCGCTCGTCTAGTTGATAAGGTAGAGTTTCAAAGTACTTGGACACGGCGGATATCTTTTTGGTCGGCGTCTGATAACCATGAGAAAGATGTCCACCGTGAGGCAAGTCAAGGCCCATCAGTCGATCATGAGTATCCATAAGCGCCGAGTACACATAGAGGTTGGCCGGGGCTCCAGAAAGAGCTGTAGATAGGGTATCATTAGATCGAGTGCTAATAAGAGGAGATATGTTGGAACATCAATATTAAACCTGCCTTGAACGTTGACTCCCCAAGACTTGGAATCCAGGCCGAATGCTTCTAGAGCTCGCTGCTGGCAAAGTCTTTCAGACTGATCGATGAACTCGTTGCCGCCGTAATATCGTGCGCCGGGGTAGCCCTCAGAATACTTATCTGCAGGTAATGTTTGTTAGCTTAGTACTTTGAGTGGTCATTCTAAAGGACGGAGAGCTTCGGTGACTTACTCTGCATGACGCTGCCCAGCGCATCTAACACGGCTTGAGAAGTGAAGTTTTCTGACGGAATGAGGTTGATGAAATGCTTCTGTCGGTTTTTCTCCTGCTCCAAGGTTCAGCATGCGTAACAATCGCTGCGCGGTTCCAACCCTAGGTAATCAGAAACACGGACTTTTTCGATGATGTCAAAAACAGCCGGGTCGGCCTTCTCCAGATGCGCCGCAAGAAGCTGTCAATCCCAGTTAGCATGAAGGGCATGTCGTTGCCAATTGGACCTCTCCTGACCTGTTGCTGGCCATCCTGAGCGAGCGAGGCCTTTGTCCGTCGAGCAACGAGACATGCTGTGCTCACAGACGGCTTCGCTGCTAATCTCTTCAAGCCGCTGAGAGGCATCGTCGTGCTTCGCAGATAAGAGGCAGCCATGATGGGCGTTGGAACAAACAGACCAGCCTTCAATGGCGAAAGAGGGGAGAAAAAAAAAGACAACAAGAGACGGCACTAGCAGAAGTTGCGCCTGCGAAGGTTATGACAGAATAGAAAAACCTTGGAATATACCGGCGATGCTTGCCGCACATGCAGTTCCGATCGGCGCGATTCAAAAGCGGCGCTGCGTAGCCTGACCGTGGCTATCCGCCTCCAAAAAGTCTCGTCCCATCCCCCGCATACGAGCCCTGGCACTACGCCTACAGGATCGTGCACCGTTACAAATAGTTTCTGTGTTATAGTGGAATGAGTTACATAACACACAACTCCGTTACGTGGAATTATGGGAAATACAAGCTGGATGTCTTCAATTCCTGTTATCTAAGTGGACTCTGGGCCAACAACGGCCACAAAGTTCAACCGCTGGTGCAGAGCAACGATGTAGCTGGATTAACAGAAGAGGCATGTATGTACTCGCACATGCCACCAAAGCTTGCTCATCTGGCGATTCACGTCGGCTTATCCTTTTCCCGCCTCCCCACAGCTCCCCATCAGGTCCACGCATCGTGCTTATACTCTCTTTCGGGGGAAATGAGGCTGTTGGTGTTGGCTCTGCTCATTGGAATCCCGCTCTCGTTCCACGGGAGGGAGCATGCCGAATTGCTCTGCCGCCTCTTGACCACCTTATCTTGAACGGGGCACTTCGAGGGACCCTGATTCAGCCAAGGATTTCATACCCCGCTAGCTACCAAATGGCGCTCGGACTGATTAGATATAACAAATTGGATGTGATTTTCTATCTCACTGTTTCTTTTACAAGCCGCATTTCACCCGTTGCTAAATCATACGATATCTTTATAAGAAGTTATGCATCCATTCCATATCTCAAATCTCTCCTGTCTAAGTGTCACCTAAGAGTCATCAAGTCATACCTGGTACCTATGCCTATCACAGGTACGAAATGCTCGATATAGTGCAACACAGATTGAACGAATGAATTACCTCGAGCATTTACCATTTCATTTTTTTTCAATGCTACATGCCACAAACCCACCGGTACGACTGTAGAAACCAGAAGGGCGTAGAAAAAAAACCCAACCCGTAGACTCCAAATGCAGCCCCTCAGACCGAGAATGTCCTTCAAAATGGTTTTACTCGTCATCCGCCAGCAGGGCATTTCGCTTTGCCGCCACTCTCTCCAACTTGCGCTCACGGGCAGCCTTGGTCTTCGCACGCTTGGCGTCCATCTCATCCTTAAGGGCCTTCTCACGCTGCTTCTCGGCCTTGGCACGGTGAATCTAAAAGGGATTTGTTAGAACAGCATTTCTCTCACGGGGCCAGCCCAAAGTCTGATAAGAAAAGGTGAAACGTACGTGCTCAACCAGAGCACGCTTGTGCTTGAATGTGTTACCCTTGCTCAGGTGGTAGAGCTCGTGGTAGAGGTGCTTGTCGATCTTGCCGCTGGCACGGTACTTGACCAGAAGGCGTCGGAGGACTCGAAGGCGGCGCATCCAGAGGACCTGAGTGGGCATACGAGCGTCGGCAGTACCCTTTCTCTTACCGAATCCACGGTGTCGGCCTTCTCTTCGGGACAGGTTGAGCTCGCGGGCGCGGGATCGCGAGTGCATCGTCACCGGCTTTCGGATAATGAGGCCATCGGCGACGAGCTTTCGGATGGTCTGGCGAGAGTTGGCGTTTGAAATCTCGCTCTGCTCGCTGGGATCAAGCCAGATCTTGCGCTTGCCGCAGCCAATGACCGACGCGGCAAGGCGCTTCTGAGTTCGCAGGTTGACCCTAAATCGCAAAGAAAAAAAACTTGTGTCAGCACCACATCTCTTGCCAGCCAAAAGATTTGAGCTCAATCAAGGACCATCGTCTTCATCGCCCAGTTGCTGTCCATCCAACGGTAGTGGAATAAAGGCTTACATCTTGAATAATTTCGGTATTGATGGCCGGCCCTCGATGGCGATGAGGTTGGATGAAGTTTGGGGGGAGGGTTTACGAGGCCAGAATTTCCGGAGGCTCGTAGCAGTTCTGCTCAAAGTTTGTGGGTTCACGTGCACTAGGCCCGGAATTTAGCACACTTTCAAAGAGTGGGCTAAGCGAGGGCTCTGAAAAGTACTTAGTCTGGCACTTGCATTAATCGTATCACGTGACTCCCTGAACAGTTTGACGTAATCTCGACATTCGCGCCCTAAGTTTCACTCACGTACCTAGTAGTATAGTCTTATCACAGTCATCACAACGCCGCCTCTGTTGTACTTGAGATACGAATAGGACCTTATAGGTAGTCTCTGGATATACTGATTTCTGTACCTCTATTTTACACGAACAAGCCGCCATTGAGCCAAGAATAATCAAGAATAGCCTGATTATTCTACCTCACACAATCATTCATACAGTCTTCTTAAATACAATGAATGCCCACATAACATGTGTAGTTAATTACATCTCATCTCAAGTATTTTACATGATTGCTTTTTTCTATCGCGTCAATAGATACTGATACAATCCTGCCACCTCTCTTGGGCATGTATCTGCTTATGCAAAGGTCTCTCCATCAATTTCCACTTTCCCCACGCTCCATATCTCCCGCTCATCTTCAACCTCATCATTGGACAGGCCTAAGCTTCCTTGCCCACCTTCGGCCTCCCTCCGCTCTCGAGCTTGGACGCCAAGCCTCATGGCAACTCGTTTGAAGTAGTCGCCCATGCTTCTCTTAACATTTGGCGGTAGATCATTGCCCGGGCCCGCCATATAGTTATCGAATATCCGGCCCTCTTCATCTGCGACGCTGAATAACTCAATGAATGCTGCTTCAGCAGATAGCTTCACGGGTATCACTGGATCCCTGACACTCGCGAAAATCGGTGGTGCCAAAAGTGACACATGAGGTCGTACTAAATCGGCGTTTTTTCTGCTCAACGTTCGAATAATGACTAGCGCCAGCCGTCGTGAGTCTGTGGCATTTCCAGGTTGGATGACAACTGCCAATGTGTCGAATATCTGCTTGATGTCATCGAATGACTTGGGGGGTGATGAGAGCAGAAGTTTTCCCGTGGCAAGAATGAAGTTGTCCGCAATATATGGCTACACGAAATTTATGAGATTAGGGATAACAAAGGGGGGGTTAAAGGCAAACTTACTCTTTTATCACTCATTCCCCCACAGAGCAAGCTTGGCAGCTCATCGATGATACCACTTGACTGCAAGATACTTGGCGATTCAACCAACACAGAGTTCAAAGCCAAGGTAGATGAGTGACTTGGCTGAGGAGTAATGACTCTGTTCCGGAGCAGGCTTATGGCAACATCCTCGGCCACATTCTTAATCAAGGCACCGAGAAGCTTTGCATTGGTTACTACCATGGCATCATCTTTCTCATCAGCGTCCGAGTCAATCAATGACAAGATAGCTGATCTGGAGGATTCGCCCATGTTCGCGCCAGCTCTGCTGACAACTTCATACAAGGCCTTGAACATTGCCGTCCTCACACCGGGATCAGTTGTCCTTGCTCCTGTAACCAACTCGGTTATCAAAGGATCGATTCGAGGCGTGTAGTTGATCAAAGTCCCCAAAGCCTTTGCGGCTCTAGTCCTCAAAACTTCGCTAGATGTGTCCGCTAAAGACTTGGCAAAAGTGCGCTGGAGTTGAGGTAAGAACGGCTTAAGTGCCGTCGGCATCTTCTCGAGTAAGTTGTTGAGCGTGAGCAAAATAGCCGATTTGACCTCTGTAGCACGTTCTGAAACTACACGAATGAGCGGACCTGTGATTTGAGTAACAAATGGTTTCAGCGACGCTTCGCTTGTACGGTCCACGATATCCGAGATACCAAGTGCCGCTTGTACTCTTTGATCAACAGTTCCGTTAATGAGGCCCTGTAGGAAGATTGGCAGTATAGCACTAATGCCCTTAGGAAGCTCGAATCCTCGCAAGTTAGCACCTGCAACGCCAACACGCTGAAGTGTTTGTCGGGTTGACAAAACGAGCGATTCCATTTCTTCCTTTTTAAGTCTCTTCGTGAATTCGGCGAGGGCAGCCCAAGAAGCCTTCACCACATCCGAGTCTCCGTCATCAAACGAATTCAACAATGATCGAATAATATCCTGGTTATAGCGAGAGTAGTCCACACTAGAAACAGCGAAAAAGTTACCCATGTGTCGAGCTGTGGCAGCTCTCCGCCGGTGATCTTCATGCTTAAGGAGACTGAGAAGAACATTCATCACGGTATTGAGGCCATCATATTCGTCAATCGATTGGATCACGGTGTCGAATGATGTCGCCAGCTCCTCACGTAAATCGTCATCGCTACAATTGATCTCATTCTCCATCAACGACTGAATGATGTTGGGGAGACGGCGGTTCATAGATGCACCAGCAACCTTAGATAGGGAAGCCAGAGCCTTTGCATCAAACGCTGATATCGGTGGAGTTGTTAGAGTTGGGATAAGATTGGGTAGAATGATGTTGGACCGGGTAGCCTCGGTTAACAGCGTGAGAAGTGCCGATAGAGCATTATCTGCTTCATTCTCGGATCGCAGGAGATTGAGCAGGAAGGGAAGAACTTGATCAACTGCCCGCTTGCCAAATATCTGTTGAAGGGAGTCAAACGCCTCGGCGGCAGCCTCTCTAACCTCCGCATCTGAGTCTATGAGTGCAGTGCGGACAACAGAAATGAGTGTCTTATCATGGTCCTCAAGAGATTCTGGTGACGCAGATGAAATAAGCTCGCGCAAAGCAAGACATATGCCCTGCTTTGCATCCGTATCTGTTGAAGTTTGCAACCCCATCTCTAGAGTGGGCAGGAGAGTGGCGAGGACACCGTCGCCAGCTTTCCGAATCAGCTCACCGAGCGCGTTACTGGCAATAACTTTATGCTCCATGTTGGAGCTTCCAAGTCGCTTAATCAGAAGACTGGTAAGGGTTGGCACCAGCTCCTTCAATGTTCTGGGGCTGTGGACCAGAGCTTTCCAAACTGAAATCGCAGCGGAACGAACCGCTCCAGCAGTGTCGCATCGGCAAATATAAAGAGTTGACAAGATCTTGTTTCGCTTCTCTTCCCCAAGCACTTCCTTCAAGGAAGCACTTGCCTCTTTAGCATTCTCATCTTCCTCGTCTCCTGGTTCAGCACCAGCTTTCACACCTGTGAGGTTGAAGAGAAGATCGCCAACAAGCTCAACAGAGCTAAGACGAATTCTGTAGCTGTCATCTGCCAGGCCTCGCTCCAATTCAGGCAGAAGAAGATCGACAGCTCGAATTGCAAAATTTTTGACAAGCAGCCGTCCAGCGCGAAGAGCTGTTTCGCGAATAGACTCCACGTCATCTGCCAGACCGGCGAGAATAGGAGGGACTATACGGCCCAGATATGCGGAAAAGCTGTTGCCAAAACAAACCGGGAGGAAAATGAAGAGAGACATGAAACCTTCGCGGACTGCAGGCTTAGAGGACTCTACATTTTGAAGAATGGTTGGCAAGGTTTCCTCGAGTCTGCTCGTGCCCAAACCTGCTAGGACTTCGCTCAAAGCCTGTGCGGATCCTAATCGGTCACCAGCGCCAGTATCCGACTTCAAAGTCTGCATCAACTCGGGGATTAAGTTGGGCAATGCGTCCTCTCCCAGCTTTTCAACTAAGGAGCCGAGAGCTCTGGATGCTGTCGCTCGAGTTGTTGGTACCGGGTCAACAGCCGCAATCTTGAGCCCAGAAACGAGGACCGGTAAATGCATGACAATGTCTTTCTTTTCTGTCAGATGGGCTAGACTGCCAATCACCTGCGCTGCCTTGCGCTTTGTGTTGGAGCGATCGCCTAGACCGCGTTGAAGGATTCGGGTGATCAAGGCCAGAGAGGGGGCGTCAAGGTAATGCACAAACTGAACCTTGATCAATGACTCCAATGCCTCATCGGTGTATTTGGTTGGGTCGCTGAGAGCTTTCAAAATCACATCCACCAAACTCTTTACTTCTGGATTGTTAATGACATCACCAAATCTCTTCAAGCTTCGGTTGGCGGCGGCCCTCACTTCCTTGTGACTATCGTTAAGCACACCGGTTAAGGGAGGAATGATGTCCGGCAAACTGGTCGCGAGTTGGTTTGGATCAAGGTATGCCATTGCACCGAGAAGATCGCAAGCACCTCGCTTGCTACGCCATTGTTGATCATCAAGTCCCTCCAAAAGCGTTGGCATGATCTTCTTGACACCATACGAGCTCAGATTACCAAAGCAAGCTTTCGCGGCTGCCAAGCAAGCATCTCGGACATCTGCATTAGCATCTCCAAATCCGCTCAGAAGCAGCGGCACTATTTGAATGACGTATGGTTCAAAAAGGCGGCCAAGCATAGTGGAAAAAAGTTCAAACGCCAAAAGAGCAGCCTCTCTTTGGTGTGAATCCTTCTTATTTTCCATAGCTCCTCTGAGATCTGACATGATTCGGAGTTCCTTGATAGTAGATATGCCGCTACCAAGGATCAATCCTGCCAGACCGTAGGCGGCTCCTCGTTGGGTGGCATACTTCTTGGAGTTCAGAAGCTCGTGCATCATTTGTTGTATATATTCGGACAACTTTGACGGATAGGCTTTGATCAGAGGAGGTAAACATTGGGCAATGGCATATTGGACCATCTCAGAGGGTGTACTCAAGGTTGCCAAGAGACGCTCAATCACAACGGGAATCTTTTTGTCCCCCGGCTGAAGGTGGCGAGCCAGGGCACCATACATAATAACCACCGCCTCGTTGACGCGATCCACTTCGTCGCTATTCTTGTCAGGCTGCTCCAGGGTCGTTTCGAACTTCTTCATCAGCTCGTCAATTATGTTGCCTCCTTGGAATTCGATGACCCGAATAGCAGCATCAAGTGTTTCCGTTCTAACGGAGGCATTTTTGTCTGCCAGAGGTCCAGACTGGATCAGAAAATCGAGTAAAGGACCAACTTGTGTAGATTCTAAGATGTTTGCCAGTTCTTTGATGGCGGTCGCTATACCATGCCGCGCTTCCCATGGGTCAGATAAGTCCATTTTCTTTGGCATCCCGAATTCGTCAAGAAGTTGGACTTTTGGCTTCGCCATCTCCAGATAGATAGACT